CAAATGACAACTGATGCTTCTACTCCTAAAAAGATGGATCCTGAAATGACTACTCACAAACCAATGGAAATGATGACTAAAACAATAGCTTCTCAAATGTCAACTGATGCCGCTACTCCTGAAAAGATGCATCCTGAAATGACTACTCACAAACCAATGGAAATGATGACCAAAACGATCGCTCCTCAAATGACAACTGATGCTTCTACTCCTAAAAAGATGGATCCTGAAACGACTACTCACAAACCAATGGTGATGATGACTAAAACGATCGCTTCTCAAATGACAACTAATGCCCCTACTCCTAAAAAGATGGACTCTAAAATGACTACTCACGAACCGATTACCACATCGAAAATGACAACTGAAAAGACAACTACTCAACAAATCACGACTGATCAAACGACTACTTCTAGAATGACCACTTTTAAGATGACAACTGGCGAACATGTTACGGATAAAACAACAGGAAAGACGACTGGTGGTAGCTCGACTGTTAATAGAAGACGATTAAATCACTAATCTATTGAAAATCAAGGCAAATTGAAAAAGAAACGCTTTATATCTTCTTAAATTTAAATATAAATAATATCTATAGCTGCTATAAAAAATGAATGTATCAATTACAATACTGATATTAATTAAATAGTCAATTAAAAATAGTTCAACCTAATCATATTGAGGCGGTGATGATAATCATTGAACCTTTCATTAATACTGAATGTTTCCTTGCCTGAATACATTTTATAATCTTCAATATTCCAATGTTTTCTTCTTCCATAAAGAAGTGATACTTTCGGTCAAAAGTTAGAGAAGTTACAAAGCGATGTTACAAACATTTCGATTAATTTTCAAAGGATGTTTAATGAAAATGCTCCAGAGTTAAATATAGATTTTTCTTAAGAGTAATAACTCATGGAAAAAGTGTCAATTGTAAATGACAATGAATATTCAAAAGGTGAATAATTAACAAGTATTGACTTAAGTACTTACTCAATATGTAATACATAACGAGGCTATCCTGTATGTTGAGGGTTAGAATGTGGAAAGGATTTTGAAAGCATTTTTTTCCTTATTATAAAGGACAAGGTCGTTTGACAACATCATCAGAAATTATTTGCAGATAGAGAAGAATTTAAACAAGAGATAAGTAAAAATAGACCGGTTTAAGAAAATGAACAAGGATGATAATACGTGTCCAATTTGTAAAGAAGATCTAATAACTAAGAAACCCAAACGATTACCATGTAATCTATCTCATGTATTTTGTAGAGATTGCCTAATTAATTTAGAGAAATATTTACAATTAAAAACTGGTGATAAATTCCCTTGTCCTATTTGTAAAACCTACTCAAAATGGCCAAGAGGTGGTGTTGACTCTTTCTCAGATATCGTCATTTTCGACAATACAAATCAAATTGAAAATGTTGAAGATATCTACGTTGAAAGAATTCAACAAGAGAATTTTGCAGATGAATTCAAGAGAATCTTATTAACAGAAATTAATAATTCAGAAGAATTGAAAAGAAGTGAATTGAATAAATTAGATAATAAGATAAATATTCTTAAAGCATCTATTAATAAGAAACAAGCTATTTTGAAAGATGAGTTGGAGATTTTCTATTCTCAGAAACAGTCAAAATTAAGAGAGATGATGAGGGAGTGTGAATTTTTGAAACAAATTCCACCATTATCCGGAGGAAGGATTAGTTGTATCTTCAGAGAAAAATACGATTCTATTAAGGAAGAATTAACAGAGTTAAGAGAGAAAATAGTAAAAACAGATGCTATACTTGTAACTCCCAACGAAGATGTACAAATTGGATCAGTAGTTTTCTCTCATTCTGATCAATCTCGCGACAAAAGAGAGATTTTCGTCGAAGGTTACCTAAGTAAAATTAGATCATTTAATGGGGCGATCTTTGCCTTTTCATCAACGAAAGATACAATAAGTTGGACAAATATTGAAACTGGAGAAAATATGTCGTGGTCAATGAAGCAAAATAGTGGATTTTTAGATCAAGAAATATGCCTAGGTGGAGATGGATTAATCTATTTATATCATGGTACAAATTTTGAATCTTCGAGAATTTTTACGATAGATTCTCATTTTAAAGAAGCTAGAAAAGAAAAAAAAGTTAAAGCTTACGTTCGTCTAACAGATCCCCAGTACATAACCTTTTCAAATGTTCTATTTTTTATGACGGATTCATTATTTATTATGTATGATAAAGCTCAAAAATTATTGGCAAATATGGATTTAAAAAAATCAATTATCGATTTAAAAGTTATAAAAAACAAGGTTTTCTTTCTACTTTCGAATGGTAAAATAAAGAAAGTTGAAAATGGAAGTTTAATTGATTTAAAAATAACAAAAATTGATGGAAATTTTTCAATAATTGACGATATAATTCCAAAATTGAGGGATGATGATAAATTTTTACTTTTTGATGATAGTTTTATATATATGGTTACTGAAAATTCAAAAAAAACAACTGCTTATTGCCAAAAGCATTTATTTACAAATGATCGTATAAAAGGATATAAAATTGGAATAAATAAGGTCATTTTTGCTGTTGTTAGCAATAGAATTAAAGATAAGATTACAATGAAATATTTTGATTTTTAGTATATTTTTTTTTATGTTCTCTTTGGTTTTTAAAAAGCTGGATAACATAAATTTCTCTTTTTAATTTTTTTATGTTATTACAAAAATAGAAGCTAATAAACAATATTTTTCAAGAAATCTATCTCTCTCTCTCTCTCTCTCTCTCTTACCTATTTTTCTGCGCTAATATCTTTATTATAGGATTAGAAAAGCTACAGCTCAAAGGGATATTCTTATTATTTATGCTAATTTTAAACAAACTGATCTGCTGTTAAATGTAAATTGATACTTAACTCTGCTCATTATTTCTTCGACAGAGGATTGATTTTCAACATCATTCAGTAGTGTAGTAGAAGAATGATTTTGAAAATATTTTACTTTCTTTCAATTATAATTATAACTCAAAATCTCTTTGTTGGAAGTAATGATTGTCCTCCACAAAGTGTAGATAAACTCGATTTTAAAACTAAACATTTACGAGAAGACGACAACACAGTAACTTTGCTGATTGAAGCTAAACATCAAAATTCTACCGCACCTATTGTTTTTCCGAATACAGTACAATTTAAAAACATTAAAAACATGTTTTATATATTTAGTTACGCATGTTCAATAAATGGATATGATGACATATTGCACTATGGCCTTATGTATAGAGTGAAAATAGGTAAATATAGGAAAACAATCATTGGTAATGACAATTAGATTTTTTTAAGATCCTAACACTGATATATTTTCGTGCCTGAGTTATGGAAAGCAATTGTATTGTTCAATGTTAATTTAATAATATATATATGATCAATTTAAAAAGAGTTAAATATGTTTCTTTCAACAGAGAATGGGCAAAATGCAATAGAAAAAGTAAAACAAGAACAGAGATCACATTGGCAGTTAAGTGTTTTAAAACCAACAAACTATGTAAATTGTTTATATTATAGATACAAAAAAAACCCTTAGACATTTCTGTAACTATTTATAGTTTTCTATCATAATAACTTCGGCAAGAACGATCGGTCTTTAGTATATGCTCGATTCAATAGAAAATCTTTTCATTTTTGTCAAAATAAAACAACTAATATCAAAGAGTTGTGTAAACTTTCATACGAACGTTCACAGTTTATATTTTACAATAAATTTAAACAAAATATCACTGAAACGTTCTTGGCAATAAATTCAACATCTATAATAGAAATTAACGAAAGTCAATGCAAAAAAATTGAATGTACAGATGAATTTGGTTTGTCTTGAAATAAAATTTAGATGAATTATACAGTTACTGACACGTTTTTAAACTTTTTCAGATGCAACAATTGAACAAGCTTCAAATTATTTTTTTAATGAAAAGCCTAAAAATCATATTGTTGAACCAATATTAGCAAGTCCAAAATATGGTCCTTTACCCTTTTTGTCGGCATATGATAATATAAACCTTGGAATACTCTTCTCTCTAACTTGTCAATATTTCAATTATTCAACATATGACGATTACCATGAGCTGTGCTTCTACAAAGCTTCGTATTACTCAAAACATTCTTTTGCATTTAAATGTGACTTGTCAGCAAGAAATTTAAAGGATTGCAGAGTCGGGAGGTTTTCTTCAGGAATATCCATTTGTGAAATAAGATGCAAAAATCTAGAAAAAACATTTAAAGGTTTAAAAATTTTTTTACGATATTATACCTTTGATTGATAGTTAACTTTTTGTTTCCAATCTAGAATCTACTTTTCGACTGTATTCATCTAAAAACAAGATTTTTTATGAAAAACAGAAAGACAAACCCGAGATAATAACTGCTGATTTACAAATACATAAATTTCACAAATGGTATAGGGTTGTTGTTCCACAATTTTCTTACTTACATGGACGGGTGATTTCTAAGTTTAATATAATTATTAGAGAGATATTCACGTAATTACATTCTTTCTTCCTTCAAGTTTATATGTAGTCATTTTGGATACAAGCACGCAACTTTCCATACTTACAATAAAGATTTAGATGAGAAATTTACAGTTTTGTTTTCTATACTATGTAATCTAAATGAAACCAATTTAAATCATTGTGAAAAAATTCTGTTAAATGATCTTTTTGTACTTGACGTTGCTCTTTTGAATTGTCGAAATGATTGGCCTTCTATAGGTCAGAATAATCTTTAAAAAAAAAACAACCTTTAATTTGCTATAAAACAATATTTCACACTTTTTTCAGAATGTTCAGAAGAAAATGAATTTCACTTTCAAGGAAAATGTTTAACTTTTGTCTCATTGTCTCAAAGATTTAGTCTAATGCAAGCAAACATTTATTGCGAAAGAAGAAACTCCACTTTATTGAATTTAGCCCACTTACACAGCATTAAACATGTAAATATGATGTTACAGCTGTACGCGATTTCGTTAAGAAGAGGAAAAAAAGCACGCCTTAGTTCTACAGTGGGCTATAAAGCTACCTTTGGTAAACAACATATTCCTACTAAAATGGAACGATTGCTATTAATTTACATGTTTTTTTTTTATAGAATTTCACTTCCCATTAGGTAAAACCGTTGAAAAAATAATTAAAATCTCTATCTAAGAATTAAACTCTTTTGAAATTATTAAAAATATCATTAAAATTCTAAGCTAAAAGGGTAAAGATGGATAAATTTAATAGATCAGTAATCGTTTCTGGAGATAACATACCTTTTGACATAATCGGAATTCATGGACCTAATTTACTGAAGTACTTTTTTAAATATATAATTTTTAATATGTTTTACTCATGAATATGCATTAAAAAGAAATAATTTACATTATACATTTGATTGTTTAACACAATTTCGAAGTGACTTGAGAAAATATTTATCCATAAAGAAATATGGAGATTGCTTGTTTACCTTCACCTATAAACTTAACTATACTTCTTGCATGAAAGATTACTATTCCAACTTTTTATGTGAACGTACTCGTGGTAAAATAAAAGTAATTTCTGTTTCTGAGGATTATTAAACTACTTCTTCTTTCAGATCTTACTCTTCTTCCAGAGAATTTCTCGTACAATAGTCTTGATGTTAAAGGGTTTTCTTCCTGTCCGAAAGGGTTTTTCGCCTGTAAACCCGAAAATTTTTGTATTAGTATTGTCCAAGTTTGTGATGAGATTCCTGATTGCCCAACTGCCAACGATGAACTAAATTGTAGTGGTTCTATTGAATTTATTTGCGAAAATATGGAAAGAGTGCCAATGACTTCCCTATGTAACCATCGGATTGATTGTTCTGATAACAGTGATGAAAAACATTGTGGTAAAATTATAATAAACAATGTGCAGTATAACAAAATATACAATGATTAATTCTTTTATAGAATTTAATTGCTTAAACAGCAAGTAATATCTATTCTTAAATAGTTTTATTAATCAATAAACAAAGCTTATTTTAAAAACTAAAATATATCTAGTTTTCAATGTAAAACTGGTAAATGTATACCAATGAGACAATTTTGTGATTCGGAGATCAATTGCATAGATAGAAGTGATGAAGACTGCAAAGGTAGATATCATTTTTATATCTGCACTTTTACATGCTTATCTTTTTAACAGAAAATTGTACCACTTTCTTTTGTGAAAAACGTTGTCTAAGAGACAAAAACATTTGCGATCTGAAACAAGACTGCACAAAGGAAGCAGCAGAAAAGGACGAAATTCCAGAGCAATGTTTTAAGGGATATTATAGAAACTTGTAAGACAAGAACGAACTTTTTTTATATGCTTTGGTAAAAAAAATCTTTAATAATAAGCTTTTTATGCATTTTAGTTCCAAAAAAAATTTCCTGAAGTCGGGTTGTGATCCATTGCAACCCGAAAAACAAATATTTATCAGACATCATTATAACAAATCAAGTAGTGAAACTTTTTGTAGGGTAAAATATGACTCAATGGGAGAGCTTATAACAAAACCACATTATCCATTTGAAGAATTACGGGAATGTTTACATATCAAATGTAAACAACACGAATATCAATGTCGAGACAAAAATTATTGCATATCGTTGGAAAATGTTTGCGATGGAATAAGTCACTGTTACTTTAGCGACGATGAAATAGCTTGTGGTATAAATAATTCTCATTTGTAAACAATTTGGAAAAAAATTTCCCAACAGAAACTTTCAAACCAATTGGCTCGTTTAAATGCAAACTTCAAACAATATATTTACACTTTAGTCAAGTTTGCGATGGAATAATTAATTGTCTTTACGGAAATGACGAAATATATTGTATCGACTATTCAAATCATGATTGCCCAAATTCTTGCGACTGTAATAATATTTTAAGCATTCAATGTAACATCCTTCATGAAGGGAAAATTATTGACCTGAATTTCACATACTCTTTTAAGAGTCTCTCCATTATAAATATGCGAGATATTGACGATGTCAATTTTCTTCATCCTGAATCGCTTTCACACTTATCAATTACGAATGGTCTTGTCACAAAACTTCCAGATTTTAGATTAATCAATCTCTTTTATCTTGATCTCTCTAATAATCAAATTAGACAAATACAAGATGTTCAACAGAAATTGAAATTGCTACAGTATTTAGATTTAAGGAATAATCCAATTGTATGGGATAAGAAACTATCTTTAGCTTTTTCTTATAAACAACTTATGACACTTGATTTGTCTGGAACAAATATCGGACATATTGAAAAACAGTTACAGAATTTGACAAAACTTCGAATACTTAAAATGGCAAATTGTAAAATATCCTATATATTCGTTGATGCTTTTAAAGGAACGCAAGATTTGAGACGCCTTTATTTAAATAATACTGTTCTCCCTTTTATTCTATCAATAACAATTATCAAGCCATTTATAAACATTGAATATTTTTTCTCAGAGAGATTTGAACTGTGCTGCGCAGCCAGGAAATGGCATTCATCGTTAATAAAATGTACACCAAAAGCTTCTGTTATAAAAACATGCTCAGATCTAATTGGAATAAAAGCACTTAGAGTTATTATAATGATTGTTATATTTTGGGGTTTTTTAGGAAATATTGCTGCTATAGTATATCGTTTAAAAACTATTACAAAATCCATGGAATTCATTTACATGGGTTTAAGTTTATCCGATTTCTTGTTAATTATATATTTACTAATAATAGCTAGTGTCGATCAGAACTTGAACGGCAGATATAGTGAAAACGATCACATTTGGAGATTTAGCATTTGGTGTAAAATAAGTGGTATAATTGCAACCACTTCAGTTATATCTTCAAATGTCTTCCTTCTATTAATTACAATTGATAGATATGCGGCTATTTGTTTCCCTCTTGAATATCAGAAGCATTCTTTTTCAAGTTTCAAAGTTGGAGTATTTACATTTATCTTATTTATCATTATTATTTTCATCTCAGCTTTACCGGAAATAATTTTCAAAGTTCGCTTCCTCTATTTTATTAAATAGTTTAAAGTTATTGACATTTTTTCAATGCATTATAGAATTATTTTTCAAGATCACCAGTATGTTTTTCTTTACATTTAACACCAGAAAGAGTTAGCGGTTGGCTATATTCATTTATCATAACTGGAGTATTTAATTTCATTCTCTGCTTTTTAATTGCTGCTATATATATTAAAATTTTTATCATAATGTTCAAGTCGAAATCATTTTTAACTCAAGGAAATTTTATAAGCAGAATAAAAAAACTTGCAACAGCTAGTGCTATAATCATTTTTAGCAATTTGTGTTGTTTTGCTCCAATATCTTTATTAGGTAGAATTCATGTTTGTTTATTTTAGTTATCTCTATAAAATACTATTTATAGCATTCTTTACTGAATTTGGATGGATCACTCTAAATAATAATGTATATCCATGGATCATTGTTCTAATCACACCTATAAATTCAATGGTTAATCCATACATTTATTGCCTATCTAAATACATATCTTACAAAAACTTTCTTAAGAAAAGGAAACTAAAGGAAATGTATATAATGAATTTTTATTCAAAGTTATACTGTATTTTATATTAGTAATACTTGTTATATTGAATTTTTTAGAAATAATGCTATTCGGGATCGAGAATATTCTGAGAGTAAAGCATGTGACTTTTTAACTTTTTAATATATTTTCTCATTTTAGAAAGACTATTTACCTTTTCAGATTGTTTATTTATTAAACAAATGATTACAAATAAGATTTATTATCAAATTGGTAGAAATATTAAGAATTTCAATTATGTTAAATTCAATTTATCTATCTGGAAAATATATTATTTGAGTAAAGATATTATCACAGCAATATCAGTTTTTCATGACAGAAAGTTAACTTTTTCAATGAAATTATCAGAAAAGAATATTTATTTTACAGTATTAAATTCATATTTTTCAAAAATATAGATTAACTTATCAAATTAATTCATTTCTAATTAACTTTTTTATGTTAATAAATTCAGAAACAAAGCAAGCGAGTATCTTTTTTCGTTTCAATGGGAAATCTACAATTCAATACCGACAAGAGGAAACATCAAGAAGATCTTACTTACTTTGGTGTTTATTTGAGAAAAATTCTTCAAAAGAATTCAAAAAATTTCATATCATCCACTTGAAAAGGATTGAACAGAAAACTCTTGAATATTGATTATTTGCTATTACTTTTTTTGATTGCGTAATAATAAATCTGTTCCTTATAAATTAATTGTAGTAGTTTTTGAAGAAAACAAACATGGACGCCTAAATTCAAAATCATTTGAATTGGCTTTGGAGAAACGCTTTAAGAAAATATTCTTATATTCTATTTAAGCATAGGGTGAAAAAATTGAATAATTGTCAGAAATTATTCTTATGACACTTTTTATTAAGTTTTACAAAAAAATAATGAAATAATTATACATTAAAATACGAAAATAAATAAAGATTCAAATATGGCGTCTAAAGCAATAGTTGACTTCAACCTGGACGAATCTGATGATGCCTTTGCCGAAAAGTTAAAAAGTAAGATCCTCTATGAAATTGATGTTGCTGAAAAGGAAAAGAAGGCAGAAATTTCCAAAATTCATGAGGGTGCGGCTAATTTAACAGCTTTAATTTCTAAAAATGAATCTAAACTTAATGAGGAAATTGAAATATTCTACTCCAACCGTCAATCTAAACTTAAAGAGATATTAATCAACTGTTCAGTTTTTGACAAAGATAGGGATATAAAATCAATTCTTAGTACAAATAATAAAGTAATCAAGAAAGATTTGTTAACATCATTCAATAAAGCAATAGATGGTACAGCTGAATTTGTAAGTTCTGATAATGAAATTAAATTAACATACGGATCAATACTCTTTTCAAATGACAAAGGACAAGGGCAAAGGAGAATAGAATTAGAATATCCAGTAATAAAGGTCAGATCATTTGATTCTGGACTATACGTTTTCTATTCGGCCAATTATAGAAATACTTATTTACCTAAAATATTAAGTGGGGAATATGCTGCTAATAATTTCCAGCCAGATCAAACAACTCTTTCTGGTGCTGAATACGTATATTGTATGAATTTGGAAACTGGAGAAGTGCTAAATGAAAATATTAATGGTTTTTCAATCGTAGATATTAATGCTTTAAATGATTTGGCCTATTTAACAAATGATAAAACAGCTTTAATGCATAATTTTTCAACTATGAATAACCTATGGAGTACAGGTTAGTTTGCTAATTTTATATTAATTAATACTTAATTATTATTAATCTTATTAAACAATTTAATTCTATTTTTACTTATTAGGCGAACCATCTCTTTACCAATATCAACAACTTAATGATGTGTCTACTCTATTCTTAGCCGATCAAAAGATATTTATGAAAAATCTATGTATAGATAAATCAAAAGACTTTGTCGATTTGAACATTTCCAATACTGAAGGATTCTATTTGGACTTGAATCAGGGAATTTTCGTTAAGAATACAAAATTTTTATCCAAAGCAAAAATAAAAACATGGAAACAAGATTCGTCGGAAAATGAATTGGTTCATTATATTATAACTAAACAAGAGAAGCTTCTTTTCGATCTATTATATATTTATTCAATTAACGTAGAAACATTTGAAGTAACCGTTTTTATGCAGAAAAATATATTCCCGGACTATTGCATTCTGGGATATAAAATTGTTGATGAAGATACTGTTGTTTTTGCCTTGTTCGATAAAAAGAATATTTGTGAAATAATGTTAAAAATATGTCGACTAACTAATTAAATATGTCTTCTAATGAAGGGGAAGTTTTTACAGAAAGTGTCTCGTTTGTTTTCGTAGTTTGTTTTTGTAATACAGGATATTGTGTAATTGATGACTAATTTTAAGCATTGTTTTTGAGAAACGGAAATTAGGTTTTTTTTATCTGAACTATTGCATAGTTCATAGTTTTTATACTATTAAATACATTTGGAGACTGTGGCCTGAATAGAGACATCCAGAAAATATGCAAAATTTTTTTGAACAACGTGGAATAGGCAGAAATTCAGCTGATCCTTTTAATTGCAAGAGACACTCTGAAAAGCCAAAACTCTCCAACGAAAAATCTATGAGCAACCTTAAAGACGAAATTTCAAATGAGATTGAAAAAATTAAAGAAAAGAAAGAGATGAAGCTTGCTCAGATTGAACAAGAGGTGCGAACTTTGAAGGCTGTGATAGCCAAACACGAAAGTATTCTTAATGAAGAAGTCGAATCGTTTTACTCGAATCGCCAATCGAAACTAGAAAGCTTGTTAGAAAGCATATCAACAATAGAAAAGCCTCCTACATCAAATGATGCAGAGATTCAATCTCTTTACAAGTCTACCTATTCAGCTCTTGAAAAGAAGCTCATAAAAGTGATAGAGAATACTCTATCAGGAGATATTGCTTTTACAGAATCAAAGCTAAACTCTCAAGTAACAATTGGAGAAATAACGTTACCTATTAAAATTCATCATTCGCATTGAAAAATAATTATCCAGGTCACATGTATTGTTACTCTGACGATTGGAGTGATTAATAATAATGTAATTAATAAATATAATTAAGATACATTGATCTTACGACACGTTTCGTGAAAAATCTACTCGCGTGCTACGGCCATCAGGTATTTTACCTTCGTCATCTTTATCACTGTAGAGGGCAAATAGATTCCAAATTTATGAGATACTGCTTTTACACCTAAAAATTAAACAAAGAGAGCGATTGTTTTTCAAAGACATTTGTATTCAATTTATGTATTATTAGTCGCTTATTACAAATAATTTTTCCAATAAAGTATTAATAACAAGTTTCTTAAGCATTTCAAAAGAAAACAAAACAATATTTTACCCTTTGTTTGCGTTAATTAATGATTTTAATTTATAATTTTTCAAATTAATTTCTTTTATATTTGCTGGATGAAACAATACAAATGTAACAGATTCATGACAAAATGGTCTATATCCTAAAGCAATAAAATCACCGAATAAATCTTCTTGTAAAAAAATAGCAACCTTTAATGATTTTTCATCAATTGAGTAGATATTTTTAGAATCAAATAAGAGTTTTTCACCGTTTTTAAGAATATTATCCAATAAATTATCAATAGTTGGATTCTTTATTTTGGTTTCTATTCGTATCTGTGATAAAGAATTAACAACATTTCGATACACTCGTTGATCTTCACCTACAGAGAAGGCTTTATTGCTTGAAAAGATTATGTCAACCATTGGATTTCGATTTACACATTCATCTCCGCAATAGATCTTGAAATTTGCTAAGAAAATAGGTGAATTATCATTTCGTCTAACGCATCCATAGGAGTGATTGTAATTAGCTGTTTTAGATTGAAATAAATGAATACAATTCATTAGCAATAATTATTGGATTATTAACACACCTATGCTGTAAATGTTGTCGATATTTTGATCAAAGTTCTTAATATCTATACAATCATTCGAAAGGTAATATATATCTTTTGAAATTTCAATATCAATTATTGAAAGCATTTTTATACGATCATTAATAATTTCTCCGGTTTCTATATTCATACAAAATATAAAATCCTTATCTGATACAGTAGAATCAGATATCATATACTGTTCTTTATACATACTAGCCAAATGCGTATTCCTATAGGAAGCTGAATAAAATGCATATATTCCAGAATCGAAAGATTTCACTTTCACTAAAGGATATTCGAATTTCACTTTTCTATCCAATTTCGTGAGAACAGATCCAATAGCTAACCTATTATTTATATCTGATTTAACAAAGAAAATTTGATCTGTTAATGTATTTTCAAGTAAATTCAGGAAATCGTCCTTTATTAATTTCAAATTTGACTTAAGAATAGAGGAAATATCACCACTTTCCACTGATGGAAAATTTTCAAGTACTGAACTATCTTTTAATATTTTCGACAGTTTTGATTGACGTTTAGAGTAGAAAACCTCAATTTCATTTTTCAGCATATGTTCTCGTTCTACAATTGAAGATAATAAAGTTGTACTCTCATTTTCAATTCTAGAGATTTCATTATTCTTCTCAATTTCTATTTCTTTCATTTCGTCTTTTATAAATTTCTTGAATTTTTCACAAAATTGCTCATCATCAGAACAAATGCTTGGTCTCTTTCTCTTTAAATTGACCTTTTTCATTATTTGATTTTTTTGAGATTGTTGTAAAAGTTCTAGAAAGTAAATAATAAATTAATATTTGGAGAATAAAATCAATACTAAAACTTTCCCTAACATGTAATCAGACTTATCTTTTTTTTAATAATCCCAAATGGTAATGCATTAGAAATTATTACAAATTTATATATTACCTTATAACTCAAAAATTAATCAGATATTAGGTTCTGTAAAACTGTAACTATTTGAACAAATGCCTCGTGAAATAGGTAATTTTCATTCATGAGCGAAAATAAAGTGATTAGGTAAGTTTACCATAAAAAATATCCCCGCCCAACTCAACCTCAATTCGGAAAAAAAAACATAGCATACTCCATTTAGGTTGCACAAAGTCAGAAATTTGCTAATAGCTAATTAGTTTTTTTTGTAAGATTCCTCTCTATTTTTATTTATGTTAAGTGATTCATTAATCCATTTAATTAGTATTCAATATAAAAATAACTCTCATTAACTTTGAACGCCTATTGACATTTATTTTGAATGTTTGTTTTCATTTGTGAAAGAATTTTCAAACAAACTGAAAAAACTAATTTTAAAAGCTTTTCAATAAGTTTCAATGAAATAATGAACAATTAATAATATTTCAAACTTATTAATCAGTGGAAGAGAGCTTTTCTTTTGAATTTATCCGTAATTGGTTCAATCCTACTAATTTCATTTCCAATAAAAATAACTTATAAGGTTTGTAAAGTTATGGAAAACTGATATTTTTCCATTTACTATTTTTACTCCAAAAAAAAAATTTCATCTTTTAATATCGTCTTTTTTTTTTATTAGTATAATTTTAATTATCGCTCAGTCGTAATATTCTATTAACGCTGAGAATTTCTTGCTTTAAATTTTTGTTAAAATGGCAAATAATAAGGAATCATTAAATAATAGTGAGTTATAGGGTTTTTGGCTGAAATATTCATTCTAATATTTTTGTTTGAAAAGATATTTATGATATTATTCGAAACACGTGGCTAATTAATTCTTTTCTTTACTTTAGATTTGGATCGTAGTTTCGTGAACGGAACTGTATCTAATAATACTCCGCTTCTAGATGAAATCTTTGAGCTAAGAAATATCATTGACATTTGGAAAACAAGATTTATGGGTTTGGAAGATGTGGCAATTGAAATGAGAAATAAAATTGATGAATTATACGCCGAGTTGGATGAAACAAGATTGATGCTGATAGATAAAGATACTGAACTTGGAGAGAGTCAAAGGCATAAATGTTATTTAAAGATGAATTTGATTAATGTATTGGATATGCTTCGCAATGCATATTCAGCATCACTCCAAAAGCAGAATTCTCTTCCTTCAGTATACATAAATGGCTTATATGAGTATAGAAATGGCACATGGTTTCGTTTAATACCTAGAAGTTTTTCAGAAGCTTCGCTTACCGATTCTAATTATTCTAATGACTCTACCGATCAAGATTTTGATGATACCGACGATGAAGAGAGCGAAGATGGTGAAGATAGTGATGTTATCGAAGATAGTGCTGCTACTGAAGATGATAGTGAAACCGATGATGATAGCGAAGATGATGATTCAGATAACAAAGACAAAATTATTGCAGTTCGAAAGAAGGAACCCACTTCAAAGTGTTCAAATTCGAATCAAGGAAGTTTTAATAATACACTTCCCCAGAAGATAGCTGTTAAAACACAAGCTTCAGATGTAGTTAATGATTATGATAATATTGAAAACTGCTCAAAAGAAAATCATAAATTTGGAAATGTATTGGTATCTCCTGGAATAAAACATCAATTGGAATCTTCTGAAGAAAAAGAGACTTATCGCTTGCCATCAAATTCGGCTAGCCCATTTACTAGAAAGAGAGCTAACCAGGGCGAAAACCAAACCAGCGTCTCTAGCGATCAAAAGAAAAGACGAAGATCAACTTCCGAAGTAGGACCTCCTCAGGTAAGATATATGACTCGTAAAAGTTCTAAGGAAAAGGGTACTCGATTTTCACAATCGAAAGTTACACCTGGAAAACCGTAAACGTCTTAAATAAGGAAAGAAAGTTGCAAAATTGCTTTTTTAACTTTCTTGTTTTGTTAACTGAACAAAATACTTTTTGTATTTTGTCGATATTTAAATATTTTTGTACTTTGTGACGTATTTGTTCATATGCTTACTTAGTTTTCAATAGCTCTTTGGTTATTTTATTTGGTTATAAAGAAATAAATACATAATTGAAGACGCTTAAAGCCCTTAAATAACTGATACATTATTTTTTTCAACGTAAAAATGGAAGCAACGCCTTCCCAGAAAATTAACATACAATAGAATAAAGAATGATAATAAATAAGTGAACGTTTAATAATCACTTGAATATGAATTATGAATGAATTTTCATAGTATATATAATGTATATCTATCTATATACTGTGTAGAGAAAAGCTAATCATAAAGATCAGAGAGAATTCGTTGAAATGTTTAGCTTGCTTATTTCTCTTCTAATCATTAATCCTATTAAAGGAAATGATGACAATTGTAATATATTAAATCCAGTCTACTATGGTAATTCTGACATTGATCAAAATAATTGTACCACCTACATTGGTTGTTGGGATACCGTTAAAAATAGCTGCTATTATGGAAAAGATTACGTTTCCGGATTCGTTCGTGCCAGGGGATATTATAAACAATCTGAACCTAGCACAAATACAGTCTACTTTGAAAGTTCCCCTTCAACTATTGAACAGTGTAAATCAAAGTGTTTTGAATATTGGCTATGTAACTGCTTTACATATTCTAAAATACACAAGCTATGTAAGGTTTTTAAAGACAATTGTCTTACCGTTGAAACTCAACATACTGACTATAGAACGTATAATAGAGTGGCGTTTGCTAATTATACATGCTATCATTCTCATTGTGAATCTAGTGGATCGGATTTAAAATTGAACATGGATATGCGCGAATGCGTTAGGCAGGCGGACGCAGATACTACTAGAGAGTACGGAGAATTCAGTATGGCAGTAAAACAAGAACTGAGTGAAGCTTGCACTGTAAGAGATGGATTATGTAGTGTTTACGATCCAATAAATAAAATTTTGCCCTATAAGTATGTTTGTATGAAAGGAGCAATTACAAACTCTATTTATAATCCTAAGAATCCGATTCTACAACAATTTACTTGGGACTTAAGTAGCTGTTTCAATATTTCGTTAGAAAAGCCCTTTAGTATAAGACATGCATGGCCAACTGTGGGAACAGCTCAACAGACTTTTGATGTAAAAATTATTGGTAAAAATTTACAATGTTGTCTGCGTAACAAGAATATAGAAGAATCTTCAGGCGTTATAGGTCTAGTATTGGCAGAATTCCAATCAGATCCAACTTTTAATACAGTTTATAAAACTTGCACCTATATTAATGGCGATGATCAGAATTTTTGTTCTTATAGATGTTCTTGCGACGAAGGCTATTGTGAAGCTGTCTATATAAAAGCATTTGCCAAAGATGATGAAAATATGTCTATATGTAATTATGAAATACTCTAAAATTAAATTATGAATACACTATTAAAATAAGAGAAAAGAAAAAAGTCGTTCTAAAACAATGAAAGAAAACGTAGGCGAAATTTCAATAGAACGAAATAAAAGTCGTAAAAGGCGCGTTGGCTAAAATGATGAATATTTCAACTGTTGACTAGTAATGATTATTCATATACCTTTTACAAAAGTATTAACATAGTTCCTATTTTTCTTTTCCTTTGCAATTTATAATAAAGGAATTGGATGGTTTACAAAATAGGATTTTTATTACGATATCATTCAAAAATGCCATTATTTAATGTCAAAATGAAACTACAAATTAGGCAAAGAAAATATCAATTGTATTGCTTTAAAGTATTTGACATTAGACATAAATTTTCTTTAGTTTTTAATATTGTACTTTTCCTACAAGTGCTTTATCGTTAGTTCTCTTAGTTTAATAGTAAAAAAATATTAGAGCAGGGAAGAAGTGTTATATGTTGTAATATAGTAAGGAATAAGATAGTAGTATGATAACCAAAGGTGCTACTTCAACGTTAATAGTATTACCATAATTACCACATTTTGGTCTTTTATAAGAAACTGATATTACGTTTGACAGTTTACTTGTATGACCAACATCATCAATAACTGTGAGTCCAACGAAAAAATTGTCTGAGCATTTCTCTATCATTTTCATTTCAAATTTCTCTTTTTCGCCTGATTCCTTCGGTACGAATGTCTCTATACCTTCAATTACCATCGTCGAATTAAACGACTTTCTTAGAGACTTTGACGTTGATGATTTTCGGAAATCATATTTTCTTGCTATATTTCGACATGTATTGTATATAAGATTGATAATTATAAAGATTTAACTTAACTGACCCAATCCAAAATTCCAGTCGTCACCTACAGCTGTCCATTCGAATAATATGAGATCCTTGTCCCAATTTACACCAGTAAATTTTAGATCTTTAACTTTACTTGGTGGAAAATAGTCTACTTCACTTGTAAAGTTTACAACATCCAGAAAATTTCCAGCTGTTATCCTTTCAAATGGTTTTAAAAATGTTATCTTTGACGATGGCGGGGAGCAGCCATCAGATTGGTCACTTATTCCATCTGATTTTTCTGATGTAGAGAAGAAGGCCTTTGATTCATAATTAACGGCGATATATCTTGCAGTATATCTTCCATTGCCGGTAATATTGGAAAAGAATCCAGAATATATTCCATCATTAGCAAACACGTCGGCACCAATACCTTTATCATTCAATTGAATTTCTTCAACAAGAATACCGGTGAAGAATACTTGTGCTACAACTTTAGCGTTTTCTATTGCATAATCTCCAACCAATAACTTTGATTCGATCTTTACAGCTTCGGTATTTCTGCTAAAGTCGAAGGAAGTGGTTTTAAATTTTCCTGAGAAGGAAATTTGAGAACTTTGACTATTAGTGTAGGATATTATATCAACGTTTATTCTAGTTTCAACACTTCCGGATTGACTTGACACGGTGTATGTCCATTTTCCTTCAGTAGCTGAAACTGTTATCTTTATAGTATTAGCTATGGAGTCAATTTTGGTAAAGTTTTTGATATTGATTTGATCTCCATTCGGCGATTTTAGCTCAATTTGAATATTATTAGGATCAACCAGCGTAGCTATAATAAGGGAGAAGCTGACAGAATACTCATCAATCCAAAATTGGGTTGTCTGCTTCTGATTAGGTAAGATATGTACAACGTTCTTTGCAACTTGTGTTGCTATATCTTTCTGACTATTTGAATTTTTTCTTGAGCGAAGACCTTCTTGAATATTTCCAATGCTACGTAAAACTTCGGAAACTGATTGTTCATTATTGGATACTGTTTGTGCAGTTGTAAAAAACGTTTGTCCACCTGTTGCATCTGCTATAGCCTTTAGAAAAGGAGTTGCATGTCTTGTTAACATGATGCTGTAAACAGTGACGCCTGAATCGTAGGCAATTTCTTTCGCTCGTTGTAAGTCGTCATCGTCGGATTCTCCATCTGTCATGAGTATTAAAATACCTCCCCGAGCAGCATCACGTAAAGTCTCTACTCCGCCTTTTACTCCATACATGATGGAAGTTCCACCAGAGGCATAATTAGGAACCTTCTCTAGGATTCCTGGTTTATTCGCACTTGTTACAGTTATTAAACTCTGTAAGACTCTGTGGCGATTATTAAATCGTACAATACCAATGCGATCACCAGGAACGACATAATCAGTTATGTACTCGATGCAGGCTGAATATACAATCTGTCGTAGGGGATTTACGCCCCCATCTGGTATTTTATCCATACTGCCTGAAACATCAAGAACCAGTACAATATTTAGGGTGTCTGAAGTTTCTCGGTAAAAATGGAAATTTGGCCTCAAATTGATATTTCCTTGTTGAGCAATTGGTGGATTGTTGCCGTTTCTAAAATCATCCGATTCCCTCAAAACCTCCCAAGCACTTTTTCCATCACAGAAATAGTTTTGAGGTGTTGGAGCATCTGAATTATGTCTTTCATTTTCTGGAATGTCTTCAGAATCATCACAAAATTTCGTAGCCTATTTTCATTAAAATTAGTGTGATACTTATACGATAAAGAGTAATACAAACCCCACTAAATGGATAATACATCGCGCTTGCCGAATCATCTGCCTTTATCTTAAGTTTGCAGTTTTCTGGAACTTTTAGACATTTATCTGTCACTTGACACTCTTTGCCTTTACTATCAATCGTTTCAACTAGAATACTCTTGCTACATCTGTTTTTCATATTTCATATTTAACTTTTTACACAATCACTATAGTTATTTAGTAATCGGTACCTGATTGCCTCAACTTTGTTTCCAGCATTAACATAATATGCCTCTGATTGATCGAAAGCATTTCCGAATTCATCTCGAAGACCATATAAAAGATGACCAAATAAATGAAGCATAAACGCTTGTGGTTTTCCAAAGGTACTTTTATCTCCTACTAGGAATTTGCGAGTAAAGTGTATGTATTCACCAGGTTCACCGCATTCTTCCAAATTTAGCACGTATGGATTATGTCCGTATTGAGCATTGGGTTTTTCAGTCACAATAATGCTTTCTACAGGTATTTGATTAGTAACTTTCGTAGAACTAATCGATGTCCAATTTTCTAGAATGAAAAGAAACAAGTATCATACAATCTGGATTAATGAAAAGTGTGATGAATATCACCTGGTATTATAATATTGACATTTTCAATGTAGCCTCTTCTGTTAGTAGCTTTGAAGAGAGCTTCAGAGCTATTCGTTAATAGCCACTGTGAAAAATAAACGAACAGTTGTATTTGAAAATAAACCGTTATAAACTACTTTTTACTTTAAGGTTATCGATGACATTTTTAGCATCAGATTCATCAATATCTGATCTTATATGCACGGTAAGTCCTTCATACTTATTTTGCTTCAGAGGAACTTTTGCTTCGTAAATGAAGACGGCACAAAACAAAACGAAAAGTTTTACCAACATTACTACCTTCTCTCCGAAGCAGTCAATGTCAATAGATCTCATTCTTATAGCTTATCAAATGATTCATTCATTTTGTTGGATTTTCTTGAAGAAGAGATTTGCTTTTCCTATTATTCGGTTTACACTAAAAGCAAAATCATATTGTTGAAATCTAGATCTTTTATTGGAAAGAAAATGTTTGTTATGTTTTCTTATTTTCACTTTTTTAGTCATAAATTCTTTCTTTCGTATTGATTACATGAATAAGAAGGTTATATGCATAACGCAGAGGAGGTATAGCATTCCCTCAACTTTTTCAAAATTTTATGGATATGAATATCCATTCATGAGCTATTCGTTTCGTAAATTACTCAAAATGGGTATAAAGCTTATAAAAATAAAGAAATATTTCATTTTAGAACATATTAGCATATAATATCTTCAAAATATTACTACAAAGGCTCAATTCAAGTCTCATTGAACGATAATTAATCTTTTTACTTCCTATAACCAAAAAAGAATTTTTCATTACTACAATGTCTTTACAATCTGCTTTTTTGAAATCTTTCTAGGGTAAAAGGGAAGTTTTTTTCTACGACCATAATTCTTATTAACCAATAAAGTTCAACTTTTAACAGACGATATTATATTTTTCTAATACATTTAATATCTGTAATAACTCAGAAATCTTCTTACACGAACATTTTTCTTCATATTTTATTCAAATTAGTGTTTTAAACTCTGTGAAATCTTCAAATGGAAAGTATTTGGGCGACTTAATTTTCTCGTTTTCGAATAAATTCTTACCACTGTATTGACATTTTTGCTAATTACTTTTCTAGTAAGACTAGAATTACTAGAATTCCCTTATACATATATATATATATATATATTATATTTTCACATCTAGAATAGGTGTTAATCAGTATTTTCTTTAAAATATACAGTTTATGACCTATGACTCAGGAATACATTTTTCAATAGAGCCCCATAAGACGTATGAGGAAGTTATATACGAAATTATTCCTTTTGTACTATAAAAGCTTATTTTCTATTGTAATTAAAAATTCTGTGAATACATAAATAGGCTGAATACTTTCTATAACAAAAATATAAAAATAACTGATTTTCTTTATTTTCTCTATACAAACTAAAAAGAACTGTAATGCAGTATAAACAATCAGCAATATTTTATTAAAAAGACAAATATTTCAGCATTTTTAAACGTCGTTTAAAGCGTCTTCATACACTCCTTACGTGTTATTCATAGTTGGGAGGAAACAGTGAATAAGCGGGAGGAAGTTCCGAGACATTCATTCTATGAAAAGATATTATACGTATTTTTTACTATAATAAATAATAGAAATATGTATTCAATGACCTATTAGAAGGGTCGTTGGGGAAATGACCAGTAATATGTGGTTGGCAACTTTCGGTCACCCGTAGAGAAGATTGGTTCTGTATTAAATAAATCACTTAAATAGATGAAATGTATTGAGTGGTACTTTGAAAAATAACTTGGAAAAGTAGGTAATATTCTCTCGGAGGTATTGAAGATATTTCGGATGGCGAAGGTAACGGTGGAGGGATAGATCTTCCAGCGATAATCCAAATTCCTTTCTCAAACGAGAAATCTTTGAAAACAAAGCAAATAAATTGATTGATATGTAATCAATAAAAATAATAGTACCTATACGTCGAATCGATACAATTAAACTAGGAATAATAGATAATATTGCAAGACCAGATATAAATTGAACAGGACCGAAATATTGACCTAATATCTTGCTGCATGGACAAAAAGAAACAGTTTTTAGACTCTTATTATTTAGTAATTATTAAAAAAATAACCAACTCTTTTGGAGAGCAGAGTTTCCATCCTTTAACTTTGTTATTATATACTTTTATAATATAAACGCTTAATATAAAAGCGTAAATTGCGTTAAGTAATATCAGTATTTTAAAGACAATTAAAAACTTTATATCACATTTCTTATGAGCCCGATCAGGTAGGCTAATAAAAGCGAATAAAATGTCCAGTATCAAACCGAAGAGAATAAGAGCAAATGCAATTGTTATCAGATATCTAAAAGAATAAAAGTTTATTCATAGTCCGAAAAGGAGGTTAGTAGTAGTTATTATTATTATATACTTACCCTTCAATATGATTTGCAGTTATTACACATAATATATCTTGATGAGATACATTTTTTGCAGTTGTTTCATCGATTCTATTCCATTTGTTAATAGAATTACCATCTTTACGGTGATATCTATGAATTTTTTTAAAGTCTTCTCTATTAATTAACAAATGAGTTATTGGGCTGCTAACAAAACTAAAAACTAATATAGGTATAATCCAAAGAGATGAGACGCTTTTCCTAAGAGATTTCATTTGAATTGGAGAGGAAAACCAGCTTTAGCAGCGCTATAGTCGCAGGAAAACATGTAAGAAAATCAATAATCAAGTAAAAAATGTAAATGATACTTCTACAAGAGTTACAGTTGTATTTTTAATTAAAGCAATTAAAATAAAGTTAAAGAATTAATTTATTTGCTTGCCTCTTCCAAATAAATATTCTTTAAGGAATTCCGAAACGGATGGGAAGGTTAGGAGGTTCGATTTTAAGAAAAATCTTATAATTTACTTGTATGTTGAGTTGTTCTTTCTTCCGATTCTCCTGTCTCTCTCTCTCTCTCTCGCTGTCGCTTTCTATCTATCTATCTTGTTTATATTAGGGATTCGAGGAATTTAATAATACTTCCCCAGAGGTAAACTCTTATTAAATATAGAATCTTTTTAATTAAAATATCATACTGTATAATATCCGTTTTAATTCAATAGATGGCAGTTCACTCTCTATATAGATTTCTCATCTAACAACTATTTAATCTCACTCTAATTCGTTAATTTATGCACTTTGTATATAAAGAACTGACATTTTATTAAAGACATTAATTCTAGGTTAATAGATTGTTGCGTTAGAGAAAAAATAAGATGCAATAAGGTAGCGTGGCCGAGCGGTCTAAGGCGCTGGTTTAAGGTCGATAAGAGATAAGAAAGATTAATACACCAGTCTCTTCGGAGGCGTGGGTTCGAATCCCACCGCTGCCATATTTTTTTCAAGAGAAATCTTTAACTTTTCACTCGAAACATTCATTGAAAAGTGATTTAGAGAATGAAAACAAGTTATGCATGAGCGTATCTAGATAACGCAAAAAGAAATTTAGAGTAAGATGCCACTATTCAAATGGAAGTTATTACAATTTTGAAATATTATCGTGAAACTGTGAATAATAAGCTTTAGTCTAGAGAGGCTATTGATTTTCCGGTTTGTTTTGCTATGAATTGACAACGCTACTACGCATTTCATATTTCGTTTTCTAAACGTTAGAACGAATGGAATCTTTTGATGAAATTATAGGATTTGTGTTCTTCTTATCAGTAATAGTCCTAAGCGTAACATCTGGTCCTATCTCTCATATTCTACTTAGCAGAGAGGATTTTTCCAATATTCTTAAATATCAATATAACATTGATAATTCAAGTTCAAAAAGAGTAGATATAAATGAATCAATAGCCAAGACTCTACAATCAAAAGATGTTTGCGTAATTACGCCATACCAAGGTGGAAGGTAGGTTTATAATTTATTAAGTTATTACTACCAAAAATGAATAACCATTGAAATAGTCACAACCAACATTATTTCCATTTCTTTATTTTTTTTCTGTGTTTTCTCCCCAATTAGTGTTCTCATATACATCTCTAGCACAATATGTCTTATTGGAATAGGATGCGGCGGCTTAATATGGCTAACTAAACTAAGAGAAAAATACGTAACAAAGTCGAGGATGTTAATTTTTATATGTTACAATATTTTAACAATTGCAAATAGTATTTACATCTGCGCTCTTAGTTTGTATTACGCAAGAATACGAGATTATTCAATAGATGGATGGAAACTTTGTACTGGGAAGAAGTAAGCTTTACTTTTGTATCTTTTGGCTTAGTTTTAACTTTTTTTTTTACTTTTTAACATTTTTATAGCTTAGGTATTAAAAAATATATGGATTATTTACCTTACATTGCTGGTATATCACCGATTTTCTATGCATATAACCTATATTTTATGATAAAAAGTAAGCTATACAATCTTTCTCTCATACCTACAAACTTTTCATTTTCTTTAACTCTTGTTTGTAGCCGTTAAACAAAATAAGACTGATTTGGTATGCTCAAGTGGCACATCTCCTCATCAATTATCAACGAACAATGAAACATCTCCAAGTACTGAAGATATTGATGATAATCAAACAAATCAGGTTTTTGATTTATCATTTTATACTGTATTAGTTTTAATTTGCAATTCTTTCCTTATAAACAAAGGGCGTATCTTCCACAATTTGTTATCAAAATCAATCCATACCTCCACCAGAATATTCAAATATCGAATTTAATAGGTTTGATATAAAAGTTTAATTCAGTTCTTATACAATGTATATAAAGAAAAATATCTCTATTCTCTTAATAGAATGGATGAGTCTTACGAATATCCGCCACCATACGATTCAATACCACCAAGCTATGAATCTTGCGTATTTTCATTGAAAAAGGAGAACACTTCAAACGATAATTCAAATAAACCCGTCTGATGCTTGGAAAGTAAATAATGGTGCTCTGTACATAATAACAAGTAACCTAGTGAAGAATTTAATAATTACAGTTGAATTTCGCTCTTCATTTTGCTTATATACTTTTATAAATGAACAAAGTTTCTCTCTACGCTGTTAAATCATATTAATATATATATATATATTTAAGTTTTGTTTACCTCAATATAAACTAATTTAAATATTTGACCTAATTAATTAAAGATTTAATTAAGACATAAAGTAATTATATATACTAGAGAGTTGAGAAAACTATATAAAGTATATGGCTTGGATATTTAAAGTATTAAACACTTTTTATATAAATTGTCTTGTTTATTTACAAGTTATTACTTTTGAATGTCAAAGTAATACTTTATTTTCAAGTATGTCAACATCTGTCGTAGTAACAATACTGATGAAATTGCAAACGTAAACAAAAAAATGTGACCTGAAAAAAGGATTTTACGGCCTTAGAGATCTAAGATTGTGCTATTTTCTACATTATGACAAACATTTATCCTGAAAGTTATTATTTATTAAAAAGTTATTTCTTGTGAGCTAGTTAGTTTAATGAAATGATTCATATATTCAGTATAAATATTAAATAGAATATCTCTGTCTAATCGAGCATGCTATCGATTACGAAACACATTCTACCTATTTCTTCATCATATTTTATTATATAAATTCAATTTGATTGGTAAATTAATGGATTAATGGATTAAACATTTTGTTTTTTAGAGTATTTACATTAAAATCATTATTAATTATTACAAAGAGAACATTTTTGGTATATTGTTTAATATTTTAACTGATGAAATATAGGAATAGACTATAAATAGAAAAGAAATTGATTTAACTACGAATGTGGATCAATGAAGACTAATTCTCACAACCTAGATGTAAACATAAGCGCATGTGCTATTTTCAAAAATTATATTTAGATTGGAAATATAATGTTCAAATTATATTATGTTACCGTCAACTCCATCTAGTATTAAAATCTCTCATATTATCATTTATTTAGGGAATTTCTTTCACTGGAAAGATCTAATAAATAACTGGAGAATGGGAATAACAGAGCCTTCTCCAATAAAAAATGATTTGTTATGTTTAATCAAGTTGGCTGTATGTTATGGCAAAGTATCGTATTTTCTTTGTTTTCCTCTCTACATATTTCATATTAAAAGAAGTTTTATTGCCTATAGTATTGTTGCTGATTCTGAAAAAAAGGTCTAACATTTCAGAATAATTACTAAATCAGACATCAATAAAGTACTGACCCGACATTCAAATATTGAATTACCCGAATCAAATTTATCCCAGGTAACTATTTATTCTTCTTAATGTAGTTTTTTTTATTTTTACTATATTTGTACGATGGAAATTATTAAATTGAGAGAGAGAGAGAGAGGGAGAGAGGGAATATTTAATGATATATAACGAATAATACTTTATATATTAGCTCCCCTTCTTCTTTTCTTATAAAGATGGAAATCAACAGTGTGTCATAGCCTAGCCCTTCAATCAAATATGATTGAAAAGATACTCAGAAATTAAAGAATGACACTATGATAACTTTGTGAAAAAGCTTTAAATACAAGGAATAACATATGAGTTCAAGTGAATAACTATTCACTTTTTCAAGGTTGTACAAGTTAAACAGTCTTCTTCTTTTTTGCAACAAAAGAACTTTCCATTTCTATAGAAATAGGTCAACAGTAAAAAAAATACTGATGGTTAATACGAGTTTGTTATGTAATAGCATTGAAATTATACTAATCCGGTAGCGTGGCCGAGCGGTCTAAGGCGCTGGTTTAAGGTCCAAAATATTAAAACAATACGGATTAATACACCAGTCTCTTCGGAGGCGTGGGTTCGAATCCCACCGCTGCCACAGTGATTTTTTTTTTAAAAAAAACGTTATCAATAGTCTTATTAATATTTATTAGCAAAATGAAACACTTTCCAACACCAAAAATCATTTTTAAAGAATACTTAAAATGTTCAGAACTGACTTTTACCAAGCATTCAATTTTGGATGCTCCAATTTAAAACCTCTATAGACATATTAATTAGTAACTAGGTTATATAGTATATTTAGTAAAGAGATTAGAGAAGAGATTAGTAAACAATCAGCAATTAATTTTTAATAAACAAAAGAAGAACATTCAACAAAAAGTTTTACATTTTAACAAAACAACCGTCCCGAGAGTCTCTTTGAATGGAATGATTTAATATTATTATAATTTAATGATTTTTTATTAAAAATATAAAAAATATTTTAATAATAATAAGTCTATTCAATAAAAATATACTATAGAAAAAAAATGTAGACCTATCGAGACTACGATCAACCTTTTTCCGTTACATTCAAAAGTAAAACTTTCCATCATTTTGTTTTCCTGGAGAGGAGAAAACTTTTAAATAATTTATAAAGGTTTTATTTTTGTTATTACTATCTCTCTCTCTCTCTCTCTCTCTCTCCTATACAATTGAAAGTGTTGAATTATAGCAGGTATGCAAAAAAGAATTGTTAGTTTTTCAACCTATATACTATTGATTTTTATATTCAGTATTGCCCTATTACTAAGCAACTCTGTAATGGCAGCCACGACTAAGGGTAGCATATATAATATTATTTTATATGGATTTCTCATCTTAAGTTTGGTTTATGGTCCTCTTGTTCACGTGTTAATTTCTATTGAAGATCATCATGAAGTTTTACAGTATAAATTCAAAAATTCAACCGAATCTAAACGGATTGTTGTTAATGAGTCAGTTGCAAAAAGTTCTCACCCTTCTTCAATATGTATTATAACAAGATTTCATCAAGTTGGGTAAGATATTTATGAATAGAAAACGCTATTAAACCACTATAAAACTATTAAAATACCTATTTTTTTCCTTTTCATATATATTAGACCATTTATAACGGCAGCAATTTGTTTCGGTATCATTGGAATATTAGCAGGAACGATTATATCATCAAGAAACCGTCAAAAAATTGTTCTATTAGATAAACTACGAATTCAGCTGGTTATTATCTTACAAACCCTTATTTTAGCTAATATTATCTACCTGATTGCTGTATGTATACATTATATGTATAAATATGACTATACAACTGGTAGATATTCTCTTTGTCCAGAGAATAAGTAAGGATAGCTTATTATAATATTTAAATTAGTAAATGTATAAGAAATTTACGTGTTTCAATAATAGAAAAAGAGGAGTGAAAAGATATTATAATATTCTTCTATTTATTGGTGCTTTTTCCGTAATTAGCTGCATCTATTTTCTAATACTTTCCATTATGGGTTTGTTTATATTTTCATTTTTATATACTGTATATTAACTGCTGGTTTGCATACGTTTATTATAGAATACCTTAAGGGAGAGAGAAATTCATTCTGTTCTCTGTCATGTCCTTTGGAGATTTGTCGAAAGAAGCCGACACCAGTTGAAACGTCTCATTCTATTCATATTTACCATTTGAGTCAATCGCATGTTTGTAATTTATTTTTCAGGGTTAACTTTAAGTTTACAATATTTAAAATAATTGTTTCTTAATAGATGCCTATACCGTCACAAACAAGGGATACCACTACTTCAACAGCTAGAAGGTTTGATAGTATTGAATAGATAATTTTATGTTTTATTTAAACAAATTTCAATATAGGGAAGACCAAAACGACGATCCTCCACCTTATGATTCGATACCTCCAAGCTATGAATCCTGTATCAGGAATAAAGATAATTCCCAACCACTAACAGATTCTGTCAATTCTTATCTTGCTGATGAACAAAAAGAATCGTCACTCTAAAAGAAACTGACATTTATCTCATTTTTGAAATTATGCTATAATAAAGTTATAAATATTTCTACATTTCAATCATCACTCTTGCGATATTCAGTGATTAACGAATGGATTAAAAGAGTTATTATTACATAATTTCTTATATAATGAGGTAGCGTGGCCGAGCGGTCTAAGGCGCTGGTTTAAGGTCGATAAGAGATAAGAAAGATTAATACACCAGTCTCTTCGGAGGCGTGGGTTCGAATCCCACCGCTGCCATTAATATTTTTGTATATTACAAACAAATTTATTATGTTGAAAGTCTAAGTTTAATGACGAACAAATGAAGAAATATTTCATATTTTCAGATCATTCAACCCTACCCCTCGTTATATGTTCCCATTTTTTTATCTATTCATCAAATTGAATAGTGCTGGTTTAAATTACTATTCAGAATTTTCTATATTTCAATTGCTCAACACAATAGAGATAATATGAAATGAATTATCTGTTGAAATTCGATTGGCAATTAAGGATATGTTTTAAATTTTCATTCCTATTTAATCCAAAAGTTATGTTTGGCAGGAAGAGACAAATAAGAGGAACCTTTTAACTGGATTATATTGAATAAAGTGAAATTTTATTGGCTTTTCATTAACAATCTATTAATTATTACTGAAGCCAAATCAATCAAACATTTAATATATACACAGTATATATATATTGTTAACGATCTTTATTCATTTAAAAAACATTGAATATCTTGAAAGAATTTCAATTATGAATAGCATTTAAGCATTTATTTGTCTTATAAATTTATTTTACCTTCATAAAATAGCAGCTGAAAGAAGGACGTTTGTTTTTAGCAGAAAAATGTCAATTTTAATTCAATTTTTAATGATTTTTGGCAAGCTGCAATAAACATTGAAAATATTTATAATATATTTTTAGCATTCGTTACAAACAAACACTTTCACTTATCTCAAAGTATATAGTTTTTGTTGAGGAAGTTTCGTTAAACTATTACAATATGCATTCAATTCTCCTTTCCTCTCCTATGAGAATTATTACAACTACTCTCAATGAAAAATTCTTTATTGAATGGAAGTAACCTTCAAATAAGTGGATAAATAAGTGGATTTTTATATTTCAATCATGTACAACATAATCGAAAATACTTAATAGCAATTTGACGAAATTCAATATTTAGATATCTGCTGCAGTTATTGATATTGAAAAAAAAAGGAGATTACTGTAACAGACGCAAAGCTAAAGAAAGTTAGCTTTTTATCAAAGAATAGATAATTTAAATATTCATAAACTATAAATAAACAAAATACAAAACTGTATACTACAATATTTTAATTCAGGTAAAATTATGTAATAATAGAAAAGATAACAACTCTCTCTCTCTCTTTTTCTCCCACTCGCTCGCTTACTTTCTTACAAGTCTTTCCTTCTATCTTTCAAACAATAACACAAAAAAGGATGCAAAAGCAATCTATTAATTCTCATTTAACTGTGTTAATACTCGGGAAAAAAACTTGTTTATCAAAGTAAGATACTGATCACTAAAAACTAATAAATACTTATGTGTTTGCTTTTTTTATAATAAGTTTTAAGAAAAGTACTTAGGCCTATAGTAACATGATGATAAACAATCTGTTTATATATATATATATGTATATACAGCATATATATTATAATTATGTATTGAAGAAATACAAGAATATAAGTAAATAACATAAACAATAAAAAAAGAAAACAAAGAAAGAATGAATTTATATATCAAAATATTTACAAACAATACAATTATTGAGTTCGTATTCGTTTGTTATAAAATAAAATTCATCTTTACTAATTCTATAACCAAATATTTTGCCGTGTTTCAATATTTTTCTATGTCTATACGAAATAGCTTTTTTCTCCTTAACAAATACAATATATACTCTCTGCTCGTCGCATAAAAGTAAATTTCCCTTTAACAGAGGACTTATAATGTCATTTCTAACTGATATTTTACCATCATCCAATTTGACATCGATAAAATTTGTTTTACCTTTACCAATGTCTAATTCTTTAATTGTACCATTTTTAAATAGTACAAATACTAATTCATCTTTTGCTTTAACATTGCTAATTGGCAATTTTAAATCCATGGATAATAATCGTTTAGATCGTTTCTCGTAGATCATTAAATTTGAATATCTTGTAAAATATATATGATCTTTTGATGATAGGAAACTAGGATCGCTTAGGATTGGTGTTTCTTTAAAATCTATTTCAAATTTCTCTTGATTAAAGCACGTATCAATCATATAAAGCTTCTTTGAATGCTTTAAATTCTCCATTAAGAAATATATATAACCATCTCTTCCAATACAAAAATCTATAATTGATCTATCCCTATGAAATGATAAACTTGATTTTGTTTCGATATTATAGCAAGTTGGACCAGGTCCGGAATTGATTACAAATATTCCGTCGTTACAATAACGTAATAATGCTATTTGCCCATTTAATCTTATAGATCTCTCATTCGATGGTTTATCGGATGGAAGTATTATTATTGAACCAATTTCTAAACTATCTAAATTCTTCACTGTCTTTAGATAAGCATCTTTCTTAGCCGTCATCTCTTTTTCGTGTAGAAGATCTTCTTTCATTACGTCGAAATTCTCTTTTAGAATTAAGCTTACTCTACTTCCCGATAAGGCAGGAATATTCTTTAAAAATTCAGATTCTTCTAATATCTCTTGTAGTTTGTTCTCCTTCTCGTCGAAGAAAGTTTCCAATTTATCTCTCAAACATGCTTCCTTCTTGTCAATAATTTGCTTTAGGTTGTCAATTTCATTCTTTAATTTACCAAGTTCTTGACTCCTTTTCAACTTTGTCTTTTCAATCTCTTTCATAATATCATTATAAAAGTTTTCTGCAAAGTTATCTTCTTTCATACTTAACAGATTCGATTTATTCGATTTTCCACAATCGTCAGTTTCATCTTCAAAATGAACTTCCGGAAATCCATCAACACCTAGTTTTGGCCATTTCGATATAGTTTTACAAATAGGACACGGAAATTCATCTCCAGATTGTAAACGAAGAGAAATGGCAATATTTTCCAGGCATTCCGAACAGAATACGTGTGATGGATTACAAGATAGTCTTCTAGGCTCCCTTTCCACAAGAACTTCAGTACAAATAGGACACTCAGTTATGTAATCTCCCATGTCTTTTACTTTCATGGAAGCGTTACTTAACTTTCTAATTAATTTGAGAATTTTGACTTGTTCTAACGACAACCAGCTAATAAAATAATTTAGCTAGGGATGGATAAAAAAGTGTTGAGAGTACATGTCAAGTAATTAATTATGCTTGAGCTCAATAAATTTTTAACAGCATAGCCGATACCTTTAGCTTTTATATAATTATAAAATATAAAAAAATTTGTACAAGTTTTCTTCTCAATAGGCCTATGAAGCTCTTTCATGTAACTCTTCTACAGACATATATATATATATATATATATATATATATAAAGTATATATGGATACAGTATGTATTCATATATACATAGTAAATGAAGAATGTATCACACTTTCTCGTATGTCTAGACATCTTAATCATGTGTGTAATTTGAATTGACCTATTGAAAAAAAACTACTCAAGGTACTTAAAAGATAGATAAAAGGGAACGAGAGACAAAAAGATATTCCTGCAAAGGAACAAACTGATTTACAAACATTATTGTAAAAAAATAGAAATATAATAAGATATTACTATTGATATAAGCGTATAACCTATAAAATTATAAGGGTATTATGACTTTTTATAAGCCTATAGTTATCGATTTTTAAATTTTCACAAAAGTAGAATTCCTTGAAAAGAGTACTAATAATTAAGTTTTTATCCTCATCATACATTCATGTTTCTATTACAAATAAAAAGGAAAAAAAAGCACAATACATTAAACATACAGTATATAAAGTTTATTACAAATTTATTACTTATTACCGTTGTTATCATATTCAAAACTAGGCTTATATTATATTAAAAATATTATTAAGAATTATTATAGTAATATGTAATTATTTAAAACGTTCTTAACCTATTTTTTACTTTGTGATTTGTTTGCATAACCGTTTTATATCAGATATGTTAATTCTGAATTCTTTTGTTGGCATATTCGAGGATATTTAAACGTATTGATAAAGATATTGGAAAGATAGGAAAGTGAAGAAGTATGTGTGTGTGTGTGTGTGTGTGTCATATAATAGGATATTAAATAAATAAACAATCAATCTAATTATAATTTGTAATGTGCTAAAATCAACTTTTCCATTGATAAATAAGTTCTAATAGAGAAGATAATCTCAGTATTTGTTAAACTATAACTTAAGATTCTTCCATAGTTGAAAATTCTTTCGTGACGATAGAAAATTGCAGTATCCGTTTTGGGTGAAACAACATAAATACCAGTGGAATTTGATAATAATACACTTCCTTTAACAAGCTTATTAATGATATCTAATCTAATAGAAAAGTCCTTATTGCCAGTTTCGATATCGTAGTTTCTGACTAACCCCGTACTAGTTTCTAAGCATTCAATAGTTTTGTCGTGAAACAATATATAAATATTTTCCTTCGATACCTTAAAATCGCAGATAGTTTGATTAAATTGTCTATATTTTAACGTTTTATCCCTATCGTCATAGATCCAAAAGTTATTATTTTCTATAAAGCAGATGTTATTCTTTATCCAATCGGTTTCGATGAAATAGATTGTTATTTTATCTTGTACGTAAAACCATTCAATCTTCTTTGATTTTGTATTGATTTTACCAATGGAGAATTCATCCGATTCACATTTGATCATGATGTAAAGATGGTCATTGTTATCTAGTGATGCGGACGTTACCTTTGCGTTGAATTTTATTAATTTCTCTCCACTTTCTACATCGTATAATCGATCTGTATTACCTGAGGCGACTAATGCGTAATGTTTATCGTTCGGCGATGAAAGGCTTTGGCATATAAATCCTTTGAATAATGTTGAATATTCGTATGTTGGCTGATCCGAATAAGGTGAAAGAATTCTTCCAATTTCTAATGTATCCTTACTAAATACTGGCTTAAAGAAAGCTTTTTCTCCTAGCGTCTCTTTTCTCGCCTTTAACAGTTTAGTTTTCATCTGCTTAATCTTCCATTCTAAAACTTCATCTTCATTTTTAAATCTTTCCAATTTCGGGTATGAACTAAAAATTTCTGCTTTTTCAATTAATTGCTTTATTTTCATTTTCTTATTTGCATAAAACGTTTCCAATTCATCTTTTAATATATTACGTTCTTTTTTAATAATACTAATAATATCATTAACTTGATTCTCTAATTTATCTAGTTCTTTTACTTCGTCTTCCCTAATTGAGATTAATTCTCTTGATAATCCCTCTTTAAAATCTTTTGTAAAACAATCGTTTATTCCATCTTCTTCGTGTCTATAATTATAACTTTCGTGTTCCTTTATCAGTTTACCGTTTCTTAGACTACCTTTAAAAGAACTAACCCCCTTTTCAGGCCATATAATACTTGTCTGACAAATAGGACAGCAAAATTCATAGCCAACTCTTATAAACTTTGCCAAGTGATTTAAACACTGCAAACAGACTTTATGATGAGAATTACAAGGTAAAAATCTTGAATTTTTCTCCTGTAAACAACTAGTACAAATAGGACAATTACTCTTATTATCAGCTTCCATAAACGTTATTTCTTTATTTTTATTCTTATCCTTGTTATTTTATCCTCCTCCTTCTTCTTCTTCTTCTTCTTCTTCTTCTTCTTCTTCTTTACGAAAAAGAGTGCGTTAACTCAAAGAACTCGTAGTAGCGTAAAGATTTTAAACAGAAACTCAGTATCTATCGTAAAGTGAAGAGTTTACTCGAACGAAAATACATATTTCTTAACAACGAATAGGTCGCCTATATATATATATATTAGTATACAGTATATATATTTAAAGATTAAATTATAGGCCCAATTGGTAAAATTTGAACAGTTTTTGAACTCTTTATCGATCGGATATCGTATGACATGAAATATGGGTTTATTATTAATTATCACACAAGTTTTTTATGCATAAAAAATGATTAAGAGGAGTAAATTTTACAAAAAAGAAAAAAGAAAAATATCATATGAATAATTAAAAAAGAAAAAAAAACAGGCCTATGAATAAATGAAAAAAGAAAATATAATTATTGGCGTTGTTAGGTATATTGAAAAAATTCCATTCTGTGATAAATAATAGAGGGATTATCTATAATCTCTCTCTCACTCTCTCTGTCTCTTTCTACCCTCCTCTCTTCTGTCACCTATCATTTCTCTTTTCCCTACATATCGTACGTTTGAGTGTAAATTTCATTAGGATTATCTTTGTTAAAGACGACAAAGGTTATGTCGTGAGTAGTGAGTCTATAGGCCAACAGATGTCCCTTATGAAAGATTCTATTCTGAGGAAATCTTATAAATTCCCTTTGTTTCTCTAAATAGATATAAACGTATTTATCGTCGTGCAGGAAAACTGAACCTCTTCTCAAAGGTGCAACAATATCAGTTTTAAGTGAAAATCTTCCAAATTCCGGTGTAATCTTACAGAATGTCGACGTACCAGAGGAACTATCGTACATCTTAATAACTCTATCTTGGAATAGATAAAATATTAAATTATTAATAATCTTATAATCCCATATATACTTTTTGAAAACTTGAATACCGATAATATTTTTAACCCTATCGTAAAGCATTAATTGATTAAAGAATTTAAATGAAATTCTATCAATTAAAAAATTCTCGGTTGGTTGAGAGACAATATAATAATTGGAACAATCCAAAAGTCTACTTCTTTCGCACAGATCGTGCTCCATATAAAATATTCTCTTCTGATTGATTCTAGCTCTTTTATCGAATTGTATCGTTGGATCTGGTATAAGATCTTCGGGAGTAAATAAAATATGATAAAGGTAACCGTCTCCTCCCAAGCAAATATCGTGAATGGATAGCTCATCGTCGGATAGGTCAATTTCAATATTTTCACCCGAAATTATATTATTCACGACTATCGAATACTCTTTCTTACTAACAACATAGATGCCTTGTACGTAAGATTTTACTATTTCGATATTTCCTCCAACAACAAATCTTTTGTCTTCGTGCGGAATTTCGGCATGAGTATAAATGATCGTTCCGAAATCTGGTCTATTTATGAAAGATGCAGGTTTAAAAATTGCTTCCGGTTTAGTTATTTGCTCTTTTAGCTCTTCCAATTCCTTCCTAGCCACTTTTAAATCTTTGGAAAAGACGTAATCTAATTGGCGTCTTTCTATCTCCTCTTCATCACATCCTCCTTCGCACGATTCCGTATAGCTAGTATCTTCAGCATCCTTTTCCGATTCCTGCTCCCTATTCTCCCTCTCCTCGTTTTTCTTCTCAATAGATTTACCCAGGAAACTGCAGCCCCTTAACAATTCTAAGATTCTATCCTCCTTAGTTTCGTAAAATTCTTCAATATAATATTGCAGTTCGTCTCGTCTACTTTTTATGCATTCTTCAAAAAAACTCGTTGACTCATTCAACCGAGCTATTTGTTCATCTTTACTTTTTCTAGTCTTTTTTATTTCGTTTCTGAGCATTATCATAAATGTTTTATTAAATTCATCCATCTCGATTTGCTCGTTTGAAACGATTACTTTATTAGATTTAACCGCATTTGCTACAGCAAATCCTAACGCACCGTCATCCGATTTTTGGGGTTGTGCTCTACAGGTTGGACATAGTAGATTGTCGGTAGGCTTTAAATTTTTATTCGTACATAAATTTTCAATGCAAGTTGAGCAGTATGTCTTATGAGGATTACAAGGTAATCTTGGAAGTACGCTTTTAGTTGTACATGCTGGACAAACATGGCAAGAATTTTCAGACATTTTCGCTAAAGTTGGTGGTTTTTTTTCAAATATCTATTAATTAATTAATTAATCATTAATAATAATTCAATAAATGCTATTATAAACATTCAAATGATACTTTTATTCGTTTATTAAATTGAATTTACCTTGTTAATGGGGTGAATCAGTTGATTTTTACCAAAGAGAAATGATCAGTTCTCCCGCTTGCCAGTCAGTGAAAGTTAATATAATACTGATTATATTGTTCGTTTTTTTATTAATTTTAAAAGAGTAGTATTCAAAAACTCAGAGATGAGCTTAATAGCTCAACACGTTAGATTCCTACTAGAATGGCCTACTGTACCTTGTATACATGCAATATATTTCATTTTCATGTACAAGAATGAGTAGTTTCATAAAACAAGTTCTTTGACTAAACAATACTGGACTGTCAACACATTTTTATCTTTTAGAAAATTTTGTTGATATTTTTTTTTTTATAAAAAAAAAATTCAAACTTTTTTATATTTTTATGAATAATACAAAACTAATTGACTAATCATTCTTTGAAAAAGTGAAAGAGAAAATAAATCTTTATAGAATTACATTAACTCATTAATTAAATTATTAATATATCAAATATAATATTTATTTTTTTAGCTTAGTATGCACATTTATAATGAAATGTGAATGAATACATTGATTTATTATAATTAAAAATGAACCTAATTTAAATATTATAATCTTTGAATAAATCATAATTCAATAATAATAATAAAAAAACCACTACTATATTATTGACATAGTATATACGGTTAAAAAACATATACAAGTACTTATGAATTACTATTGAATAGCGAAACATTAAGGTTTTATTTATATTATAATAAATGATGTATCTTTTCTCTCCTCCCTTCTTCCTCACCTAAACAACTTGAACGCTTCAAACGTAAAGTTAATAGTCGAATATCGCTTTTCAACAAGGCAAAAATGTACTTCATTCTCATTTCTGAAGTATGTATATAATCGATTCTTCTCAAACAGTACTCTTTGAGGATAGGCTTTAACTTCATCATTTGTAGGATCTATTATAAATATATAGAAATCATTTGTAAATAGAAGAAAATTCTGTTGAATTTTACTGATAATATCGTTTCTTATTGATATATTTTCTTCAATTAAGTTTATATGTAGATTCTCTCCTTGGTAATTAGTTTCGTTGATTATAGAATTTAAATTAAACTTTTGCAAGTTTAATTGATCTCCTAAAAGATATAAATACTGGCCCTTTATTTCTCTATGAAACCATTTTCCATAGAAAAATATATCACAAAATTTTGCTACTTTTCCAGTATTCGTTTCGTAGAATAATAGATCATTCTGATATTGAAAGCAAATAGTATTCTTGTAATCTAAATCTTCATTTGACCTTTCGAAGGGACACTGTATCAAGAATTTTCTATTACTATTATTATCCCATTTAAAAATAGCTGGTGGAAGCATATTCATTTCCTCATCTTCAGCTTTTCTTAAAAGAAACAATTGCTTCTTGTAGACTTCTAAATCAACAAAATTAGTATAAGAATAAGGTGTAGCTTCCCCTTTGCCTATTTCGTATAAGGTATCATTTGTCAGTAGATAAAAACAATTATAGCAACCAACTAGAGTTACAGCATTTGAAAATTCATGACTATAAGTGTAATAGGGTTTTTCAAGCATTGAATAATGTATTTTCATTTGTAAACTATCTAAACCAACCAACTGTAAATTAAGTGAAGCTCTTGAGAGGAGTTTATGTTTTTTTTTTAACTTTTTAAGTGATTTAAAGGCAATATCAGCGGTTGGAGGACAGTCCCTTCTTATTTGTTCAAAACCGTTTATTGATTTATTTAGCATATTCAACTTGGCTTTTTTAACTAGATCAAATATTCTAAATTTAGTTCTAAAGTATTCTTTTTTCTGTTTTATCGAATTAAGAATAGTTTCAAACTTGTTATCAAACTCTTCGCTACAAGACTCTTGGTATTCTTCCGAATAAACACCTGAAAATTCCGCTTGTTGTAAAGTATTATTATCCGTTGAACCAGTATCCTCTTTATATTTAACAATTTCATCAGGAAACATTGTACTCGATTTACAAACAATACAATCCGAAGTAATGACATCATTTTCGGAGTTTGGTAGTGATTTAAGAGCCGAAAAGCAAATAGAGCAAATACTGTGACGCGGACTGCAGTTGTAGTGCCTAAAATTTAAATCACTTACATCACACAATACACAACGAGTTTCGTTTCCAACAGTAGCTACGTCAACCATTTGGTCTTTTTGTTTTGTATATAGTTGCAATCAAGTGTTATATTAATATATATCAGCAAAGTTTATGGAGTGAGAGAAATGTTTAAATGGCAAAACACCTATCGAACAAAATTTTGGCCTTTAGTTACATAGAGGCGTTGGGACAGTTTCTCGAAAAGTGAATAACAACTTCCTCCTAACTTAAATGATCTGAATCAATAACTGTCGATAAAAAACGCGCTTAAACGACTTTTGGGGGATTAAGGCAACAATAGGGTGGTTTATCTAGATAAGCCATTTATCTCTAATGAAGATAGTGAGAGTATAGATAATTGGAAAAAGTTATTGAAAACATCTAACAGATTTGAACAGTCTTTAATAAAATGTTGTTATCTTTTCAATAGAAATTGTTTATTCATCATATTTTACTGATAGATAAAACAAAAGATAAGATAACATAGGAAATCAATTATACCTTGTATGATTGAAAATTTGAAAAAACGAAAATATAGAACACATCAAAAATATAAAAAAGAACGTATAAACGACGAATTCTTTTTTCAATATAACATTGGTATCTAAGTATTTTTTTTCACTATATATCTTTTATATATAATTGATAAGGATAATAAAAGAAAACTATTTATATATTATGTAAATATGCATTGTTTAATGAAAACTAAAATTTGTTGATGTCGATCAGTATCTTTCGAATTAGTACGTTTTTTCACAAACCTATTGTGAAAATGTACATATTCGTTAAAGAAATATTTGACCAAATAAAATTTTTCATCTTCAGAAAGCTTTAGAGAGAAAATCATTCATTTTAATTCAATTATTATTAATTAATTATGTTTATAGAAATGAAAACAAGTCAAACCATTTCCAATTGTAAACCAGATAGAAATTGGCATATTTCCTTTCTATAGATGTTATCATCGTAGTATCTTGTCAAATTAAATATTATTTCAATTAATTTCTTTATAGTAAATATCTAGAATGAATGATAAAAGATTATCTATTTAATAGTAATATAAGTAGATTCCTATACCTTTTTAGCGTAGGAATAATACTTTTTAATAAATCTACATAGATATATTAAATTTATATAGTTTGTCTCATTATAGTATAATTCCAGAATTTGACCAGCTAATTTCAATACATTCCAAAAATATGATGATTTTGAAACGTCATATTCGGAGATTGATTGAAATAGATTGTTAATTATGAACTGATATATTGCTTTATTACTTCTCAGATTTTCAGTTAATAATTGATATTTTGTTCGATGGCAGAATATCTTAATGAATAAAATAAGTTATAGAATAACCATGTATATAACAGTTTTATATATGAATATATACCTCGAGAAGTTCCATTATCTCTTCGCTATCTGTTGATTTATTAATATTTCTAGTTATAACTCTATAACCAGAATCGTAGAGGAACTTTTGAAAATAACTCGTTTTGTCCTGTCTCGTAGATATTTCGTTGAGTAGTGTACTAAAGGCATTACCCGAAATTTTCTGATTTCAAAATCATAGATAGTTATGTAATATATTTTATATATATATATATATAAATATTAATATTATTACAGTTAATCCTTTCATCGTTCTTTCTCCTTCCAAATTCCAGCCTCTAAATTCAGAATATATTCCTCCAAACATACCGAAAAACTTCAATCGTTTGTGTTTATTTATAAAGTTTCTATAAGAAAATATACATCATAAATTATTAATAACCTATTTTGTAATATTTTAATAGTAGAATAGATCAATTACATTATATTCTCCTTCGATGCTTGCCAACCGGATATATCAAAATGGGTTAATTTTTCCCAATAGCCGGCAAGTAATAAGTCATCAATCTTTTTGTCTGCTAATTCATTATCGCAATTGTAGGGATAAAAACCGTCTCGCGTATATGGAAGTATGTCAACGTGTACTCTTGAAATATTCAATTTTTCTATAGAACTCTTGTTAAGTAAAGAGAAATATGTTATATCAACAGTATAGCTTTTAGGATATGAAATGTCAAAGACTTTCAACTTGTAGAACTCTCTAAGACAATCTAAATTTGTAATACTTGTATCGGTTAACGTTAGTTCCTCAATTTGCGGTAATTCAAGTGACAGGAAGTTCAGTTGATTATCTGTAATGTTTGTACCAGTTACATCCAGTCTTAGTAATTGTTTAAAGCAAGTTAGATATTGCATATTCTGAATTTGATGCTCTAAATCAGAATTCTCCGAGAAATGACATTTCTTTAGATTCAATTCTTGAATGTATTTCGTGTTCAAGTAAGGAAGCCACTTTTCAAGGCCGACGTTTTTCATTAATTCCACTGTAATTGATCTTATATTATGACCTTCTAGAAACTTTAAAGCTCTTTCCGACTCTATCTTTATTCCATTAAACTTTACATCGACCAAATAGCAAATTTCACTATCAAAAAAATCCAGTAGTCTTTCAGGTATACCGTTATGAAATTCACTGAGTTCTGTTAGAAGGTTTTCAGCCGCTAAACGATTGATAAGCCTAGATTTCTTAAATATCTCCTTATCAGTAAATATTATATCATGGTTTTTAACAACTGTCCAAAAAGATAGTTCAATTAAACTTTGAAATTGAATCATTTTTCACACTTTCAACGACACAAGTTGTTCGCGCAGGCGCACTACAACAAGATTGAAAAAGATGCAAAAATAACTATTTCAGTATAAGTAGAAAAAGTTAAATAATTAAATAAATTTTAAATATTCTATTTAATGTATATATAAACGAAACAAGTAAACAAAACTAATTTTTTTTATATAAACCGGAAGTCGATTAATTAACCGGAAATTGAAAGAAAAAAAGTTTCATTCAAGTTAATCTTTATATGGAAAAAACTCAAGTTCAAAAAATAGATAGTCAACTAATGTTTATTTATTAACTAAGATAAAATACTTGTTTCTATCTAAGGTGCTAAACACTAAAAAAAAACAAAAACAAAGAAAAATACAAAATATTTGTCCATAATTAAGAAATTATGTGATCTCTAATAAAAGAATAAACGAAACTATCCGAAAAGCAAATGTTGTTACGACCTGAAAGATGTGGTGTAAATTCAATAAAGTATTCTCTAGCCAATAGGAATCTATCTGACTTATTCAGCTATAAAGAAGAAATTTTTTATAATAATTAATAATAAATATTTTATAATAAACAAACAATTTTACCTTTTTAACATCCAAGTTTGTTATAAATCTACATATGTGATTCTTATAAGTATCCCGATCAATATAAAGCGACGATTCAAATACTATTGGAAATAGTTGTCTATTGCTTAAATACTAAAAATCAAAACAAGACTTAAAAAGATGATTTTTAATTAGTTAATTAATTAAACTTACATATTTGGCGAAAGAGTAATATTTCAATATAAATTTATAGAAATGTTTAAACTCTCCATCGGTAATAGTAGGACCAAATCCACGGAGTAATTGTAGTAGAATTTTCAACAAATCCGTAAATCTTGGAGAATCGGTTATATCAAATTCATTTATCAATTCGAAAAGTCTATCAATAACGCTCCTATGCGCAATATAGATATGCTTACTCTCGTGACAATCTAATAGATATCTATACTTTTGACAGAATATCTGCAAATGATCAAATTATCAATATAGAATACGTTTTTCTATGAATTTTAAAGTGAAACTAACCAAAAGAACTTCAATAATATCATTTAAAAATTCTTCTGTATAACATGAACTATGAATTAGTCTTTTATGCTTTTCATTGGAAGCAAACTGAAGAAAGTAGCAAAAGTTGTCTCTACGGCTTAGTATCTCATTGAGTATTGTACGAAAATCATCCTTTGATATTCCCTTCAGAAGACAGAGAGAGAGAGAGAGAGATAGATTATGAAAACAACAGTTATCTTTATTTAAATAATTACCGTTAAATTATCAAAATTCTCCATCTTCATAAGTTTACGATATGGAACTTTGTGATTAGTAGCATTGAATATGCCTAGATAATTCAATTTCTTGTGTTTTTCCAAAAACCGTCTACGAAACAGGAAACGTATTAAATATTAAATATTGAATATATTAATAAAAAATATCTTGTATACTTTATACTCTCTTCCGAAGCTTCCCATCCCGAAATATCCAAATGCTTTAAATTCTCCCAATCAGCTTCTTTCAAAAAAACGTTAATTTTAAAATATCCCACCGCATTCGGCTCTAGCGGCACTTGCATATTCCTGCCTGTATTATCCTCTTTAGTAATATCCAAATACTCTAAAAATCTTAAATTTAACAGAGAATAATAAGATAATATCTCCATGTTAGATTTCGAAAATGCGAATGATAACTTCTTTAGTTTGTTCAATCTACGAAGATGATACAGTTCTCTTATTTCTGTTTCCGAAATGTTAACATCCTCTATCTGCGGAAGCTCGATAGAGATAAACCGCAGTTGGCGGTCCGTAATATTAGTAAGAGAAACATCCAACTTTCGCAACTGTTTAAAAGTTGCGAAATGTTTGATATTCTTCAACTGAACAGCAAGTCTTCGATTCCGAGAGAAGAAACAATTACGCAATGACAACTCCTCCAATCCGTTTGATTTAATGTACTTTATCCATCTATTTATACCAACTTTTAAAAAATTTTCGAATATCGTACTCTTTAATTGATGACCAATAAGGAAACGTAACGATTTTGAACATTCAATGTCCCTTCCATTCAATTCAACGAAAACCAAAAAACTAAACTCCTTTCTGAAAAATTTCCATAAATTATCAATTCTAGCTCCGTAACAGAATGAAAACTCTTTTAACAAAGTTTCCGACACAAAGCGATTGAGGATAGGATTTTTCTGACTTTTACCCAAAAAATAACTTGATATAACTGTATTCCAATTTTCAGAAATAGTAGCAATACAAATTTGCTGAAGACTTAAAACACTCGACATTATTAGCTCAGTATAAAAATTCAAATATTATTTGCGCATGCGCGTATAATTATTTCCTGTTAAAATTTTGATAAACATAAAAAAAAACCCGATTAATTTCCTAATTAACAAAAAAATGAAATAATTTAAATATACATATGTTAATTAATTTGAATAAATTAAATCGTAATTTTTCACTTAATTAGAATAATTTTTTAGCTTGTTTTTTGTATTATAGCCGTTATCAATGATGGATAAGTTATACTATAACTAGTTAATAGTTATATTCGTATATTGCAATTTATAAAATAGTTGTTTATTATTTTATTTCATTCGTACCACTTATCCAATTTCTAAAATATTTAACAATTTTATCGTGACAAGCTCTTGATCCTCTTCTTTCTAAGCACATGTGACCATTTCTCTCCAATTTATCATACGTTCTAAAATACGATTTAACCATAGTAAATCTTTCATCGTTATTTAACTATAATAACATAAGAAAACGGACTTAATAATTAATAATTGATTTATTTAAATACATATATAACTAACCATACTTATATCTAATGTACTAATAAACTCCCAAAGTTGTTCCCAATAACAGAATGAATCGTATACGTTAAATTCGAATATTCTTTCAATTAGTTCGCACCTATCCATAAACTATGATAAAATAGTAAAAGTATTGTTTTTTTTTATGTAAATCTCTCTCTATTTTGTTTTTTAAAAAAAAAAATACCATTTTACATTGTCCAAAGTTACTATAAACAAATTTAAAGAGAGCGTACAGATGTGGAGAATGAGTTTCATCCAATTTAGTTAATAGTTTTGCAGTCATTGGTAATATATTCCAAAAATAATCGGATTTATGTAGTTCATTTAATACTAAACGTATCATTATACTACTCAGTATTTTACCATATTCCTGTTTTTGTTCAATATCTACAGCAACTGCTGAATCCAAAATAAGGAAATACTTTTCGCAGAAAACCTTTTTTTATTAATATTTTTTGTATTAATTTTGTTTTTTTAAAAAAAAAATGGAAATAATATTGTGCTTTTATATTCCTTTTTACCGTTAAAGTTTCTTGAATATCAAGATTACTTCTATCTGGTGAATTGTAATACATTGCTGCACTTGCTAAACCATTTAAAAAGGGCAAATGCCTCGTTGTATTAATTCTCATTGAGATTTCATTCATTTCATTTAAGAATTTATCATTACTAATTCTCTAATGATTATAATTGAAAAAATGACAATAATTTATTTATAGCCTTAACTTGAATAGTAAAATTTTTTACCGTTAATTTACGGATATCTTTACCCCGAACGTTCAAACTTTTGTAAGATTCTTGATATTTTCCAAATAGGCCAATAAACTCTAAATTATCATATTTTTTAATAAATCGTCTGAAAGGAAATTAATTAGTCGATTTACTTAAATATTAAATTATTTTGGCTTCATTTTGCGGTTTTACTTAATAATATCTGGCCTAACTCTCCATCCTGATAGATCAAGATGCGTTATATCTCGCCAATCAGCTTCTTCGAGAAGACTATTAATAGTCCATAATTGATCATCAGATGTGTTGTAATTTTTTAAGGAACGTAAATTATCTCTATCTGAATTAGTTTTTTTGTCGCAGCCAAACTTTGAGATATTTAATTTTGTTAGATTTGTCATCTTTAACAGGGCGAAATAGGAACCATAAACCTTTGACTTTCTAGGATAAGAACAATCTAGTACCTTCAAGTAGGAAAATGCCAAAAGAACCCTGAGATCGCTGATAGACGTTTCAGATATATTTAAATCTTCGACCTTCGAAGCTAATTCATATGACATAGTATGCAAATGTGTATTAGAAATATCCGTACAAGATAAATCCAACTTTACTAATTGTTTAAAAAAACACAAGTTTCTTATATCTGATATATCTTGCCCATTTCTATCTCCATCATTATCATCCGTAAAGCGACATCCTCTTAATGAAAGCTCTTTTAACTGACTACCGTCTAAATATCCCATCCATTCACCAACTTTCCAACTAATTAAATATGTGACCTTCAATCTTTCAACAAGGTGACCCTTTAAAAAATTCATTGAATGCAAGTAAGTAACGCTATTCCCATTTAACCTAATATTTATTAAATCGCAATACATCTTGCTAAATAATTTCAAGAAACGCTCGGGAAATTCAATATAGATATGGTTAATTTCGTCAAATATTTTTTCAGCGTAAATATAATTAATAATTCCATGTTTCTTGAAAACTTCCCCATTTAAGAAATTAACTTCGAAATTTCTAACAATACTAAATAGAGCCATCTTTTCTAAACTTGGATGATTCGCCATTTTTGGTTCAGTATCGGATATGACTTGGCTATTGAGTAATTTCAAAACTAAAATTTAGCCTATAAGAAAAAAAACCATAGAAAAATAGGTCAATTTATTTCTCCAAAAATGTAAATAAAAGATCAATTAATCTCTCAATTTCTTATAAGTTCTATAATGAATTTAATATTGTATTATTAAAATATAACAAATACTGTCACTATATGATAATGAACTTGTACATCTATAGGTTAATTAATAATTAAACGTTGTTTATCTATCTTCGCATATACTTATGAAAAAATAATCGAATATTTTTGTCGTATAAATATTCCGTTTCTTGAGCTTGATAACCCTCTTCCAGTTTAAAACATTTATAATTAACCATAAAACACTTAGCCAAACTATGATATTCATTTTTCGATAGCTAAAAAAAAAAACAAATTGCAAAATTATAAATGAATTAATTGATTATATTAAAATTAATATGAAATTTTTAACAAACAGTTTCAACATCAACACTTTTCAACAACTTCCAAATAATCTTTCTATAACTTCTTCCATCAAATATCTTTTTGAAATTAAACAAATAACGTATTAAACCTGATCTATTCATTAGCTATAAAACAAAAAGAAACATAATTTCATTCTAATTATCATAATTAATAAATATTCAAACCATTTTATACAAGTGAAAATTGATTAGAAGTAACGAAAAAATACCAGAATTCCATGGAGTTATCATTTCGCTTCTTTTAATAATTTGAGGGACTAATTTGAATATTCTCCAAAAACTATCCGATTTATAATCTAGGAATTTAGTTAAAACAATTCCGCACAAGTTCAGATCGTACTTTAATTCTCGTTTACAGAATGAAGCATGAGTGTAAAATACAAATATTTCACTTATAACCTAAAATTGGGATAAATATATATTAAAAAACAGAACATTTCTATCAATATCTTTATAATTCTGACCTCAAATATTCTAGATTTAACATAACCAGGAATTGTATTTAAATCGGTTGTTTTCAAAGTTTCCAGTAGATTATCGTGACCCAAATATTTATCATATCTAGTTGCTATATGATTCAAATCAGTCATAAATTCAATACTTGATAATCCCTGTTGATGTGAAAACAATTTATAATTAAATACAATTTCTAATTAAATATACTGTATTATCGTACTGTTAATTCAAATATATCATTTTCTTGAAACTTTAGATTTCGATCAAAATCAATATTCGTCTTGAATAAACCCAAAAAACTCAACTTGTTGTGTCTCTGTACAAAGAACCTGTTGTTTTCCCCAAAGAAAATGTTTATTAGTATGTAACATATATAAATTCAATAATTACTTTAGTGAATCTATTGGAAGAATCCAACCAGACATATCAAAATACTTTAAATCCTTCCATTCGGCTTCTCTTAACAAAAAGTCTGTAAAATAATATTCTCCATTTCTTTTAAAGTATTCAGAAGGTAAAGTATTCTTGTAAGCTGAATGTCTTGCTATTTTGATTGACTTTAAATTTAATAATAGAATTAAAGATGGAACTGTTAATAATAGCTTTTCGTCAACTGGATAAGAGCAATCGAGAACTGTAAGCTTTGTAAATTTTTTCAACAATCCAAGATTCGATACGCAAGTTTCAGATATATTTAACTCTTGAATATTCTTTAATTTATGAGATAAATATTTCAATTGCAAGTTACTTAATTTCGTTGAAGAGATATCTAATTTAACTAAATGTTTAAATTTCGTAATAGGTTTAACAGAATCTATTTTATCTTTTGTATTATTGCATGAAGATTTTGTAGAAGGAATGGGAGGAGAACGTGGAGTATAGGGAGCGGAAGAAGAAAAAGATGCAAAAGAAGTGGAAGTAGTTGTAACTAGACAACCTTTAACGCAAAGTTCTTCCAATTTTTTTGCGTTAATTATAGATAGCCAATGATTTAGCTTTATACTCTGTAAATGACGTATACGAATAGACTTTAGCGGATGTCCATTGAGGAAATTTACTGCAGTCTTTTTAGTTATTCTATGTCCATTCAGGTCAACATTATGTAGCCAACATGTGTCTCTATTAAACACCTTTAAGAATTGTTGAGGTATTCCAATATAATAATCATCTATCTCCTTCAAGATTTTCTCCACAATATACGAGCATATAACTCTATGTCTAAAGAGTAATTTCTTAGCATAGAAATGAGTTTCAAAGTTCTTAGCTATGCAGTACAAAGTAAGGTCTTCTAAACGTGGAATTTTTAAAGTCATGATTTTTCAACGTTCTAGGAAAGATGTCTGCTCTTCGTATATTTAGTACAGCACTATATTGTAAAATTAAATTTTCAATATGAGTGGTGTCACTTGGTTAAAAAAAATATCCTTATCAAACCTCATAATTGATATACATTAAAACTGTAGCTATAGTAACAAATATCAATAAACAAAGTATATTTTTTTTAAATACATAGAATAATAATAAAAAAAAATTTTAACAGTTCATACGCTTGAACATTTTTGCGTTTTGTTATATAGACGCCATACCAACTAAGGTATCTCCTCCTCCACCACCACCTCCTCCTCCTCCTCCTCCTCCCTCTTTTATAGTATTTTTATTTGCATTCTTCTTGTAAAGTGATTGTTTTTTAGTGTTATCTGTGTAGTGGAGATGACTGTTTACAGAAACTTCTGGTGGTCCTTGAAATATCGCCCTCGTAGCCATTAACTTCTCAAGCGAATCTTGCGTTTGCTTTTCATCGAAAAATGGACTCTTTAATGTATCTCTGATACTATCGAAAATTTTTCTTTTATCAGCAGCAAACTGAATTAGACTTTGGTTGAGTTGACATAATTCAGCTTGCAATTGAATTTCGCAATTATTCACATACTCTGAGAATGATTTAAAAAGATCAGCAATTTCAATTTCCATCATCTTCTTATACTTTTCCATTTCATCCTCTTGTTTTCTCCTTATTACTTGGGATTTTTCAAATATTTGATTTAAAGTACGAATTTTACAACTATCTTCACCATGATCGTAATCGATACATTTCGAACAAAGTTGCTCAGCTTTACAAGTCAAACATAACAAGTTTGGTTTCATAACTAAATTATTGTGTTTCTTACACATTTCTTTATCAGTGCGCTGATCGTTTATTGATGCTTTTATTAAACTTTTTGGTAGACCATTAACGCCATCTTTTGAAAGCTTTGTCTTTGCTCTACAGTTTGGACACTTGATAAACTTTCCACGAGATATCTTCAAAAGACACTCGTGACAGAATATATGTTGACAAGGTAGAACTCTCGGATCTTTATTTAACCAAATATCTAAACATACAGAACACTCAAGAGTTCTTGCATCGATGACGTAATCCTTATTAGATTCCATATGGATATCAACTCATTAAGCTGTCTCTCTACAAATTACACAATCATTTAATTTACGGATTAAACCAAAACAGTGTGTCCTGTATAAAGTTTCGGCTAAAACTGGTAAAAAGTCGTTACTATCTTATCTTACAAATAATAATAAACAAAATATATATTACAGCAATAAAGTACTATTTTAATCATTCTGAGTATTATAGGCCAACACTATTACGCAGGATACTTTCAAAGATCTAGGACTTTCCAGTGAAAAAAGAGAAAAAATAACAAATACAAATAAATAAGACTACATCCACAGTTTGTTTTGACAAATTATTTTCCTCTAAGTAAAAGAATTCTTCAATTGACAAAAAAAATAGAACACTTGAACAAATAAAGAACATTCTACAAATCAAATAGCATCCTATATTTTTTTTTGGTATTACAGTGAAAAAAATATTCTTTTATTTATGTTATTTCTTTGTTTTTGTTTATGGTAAAGCAAATAATAATCTATTTAATATTTACATAAAAGTTTACTACTTAAATATACATATTCATTAGTTTTAGCTTCTATTATTGGAGGTTATTCAAGTTCATTATCAACTTTGTTTGTTAGGAGGTCGACGTTGATTATGAATTATTTCTTAATCGGAATGTTAATCTGTATTATCTTAAAATTGTTGGAATTTTACCATTTTTATATTTTATATCATGCTTATCTATATTTCTTGTTGAATGAGGAAATTCTTAATCATATTTTTTGTACCTAGATCAAAAGAATAGGATTTAAAAAAGAAGATAAAAAAGAGAACAGATAAACTACTTTCTTTAACATCGATGGAATACTGTTTATTTGAGTTCATATGGCTACTACTTTTTGCTTTTTTTAGTACTCAATTAGGCTGTATAAGACATGCTGAACATGTTTTAGTCATTAGATTAAAGCGCATGCAACTGGTTACAGATAATATCTAAAATTTCATTAGTTATGTGTCGTTTATTCAAGTTGTTATTTATCTTATTGAACTTATTTTCCTGTAAGAAGGCAATTTATATAATAATTATAAATGCGTATATATATATATATATATATAATTGATTTTTTTGCAGATGGACAATGCCTACACTGTCCTCAAACTCCTAAAGGTTGGATAGGATTCAAGACGGAGACGAAATGCTATAAAGTATCAAATTTAGAGGAGTCTGGTATTGAAAATGCTATGAAAAAATGTCAAGAAACATTCGATAATGGAGATTTAGCTGATTTGCAATTCGAAGATTATGCAACATTTTTCCCAAAACTTTCTCAGATTACAAAGGAGAATTTAATATTAAAGACTACGTTTTTGCATAATTTGCCAGCTAGTCTTTTCTATATTAATTTTAAAAAGGAATTTGATCATTATCCAATAATCTTTTGGATTAATAATCAACCCCTTTCAATACCAACTGAATATATTGACAACAGTATTAGAGGCACAGATCTTCATTTGATAGTGAATGAGTATGTAAAAGATAGAAATTTTATATAGATATAAACATATGTACTCACGTTTTTTTTAGGGCTCATGGAATGTTTAAGATAAACAGAGAATTTGAAAATGTTAAGAACGTTTTATGTCAAGTTCCGGCAATCCTTAAATGTCCAAAAGTTCCGGCTGATAGTTATTCTTTTAAAACAAACAGAAAATGCTATATTGTAAAGCGTTTAAACAATTCTGAAAGATCAGTAGAGGGAGCCAGACAAGCGTGTTCATCAACAGGAAAATTCAAATTGGCAAATCTAGAAACTGAAACTGAATTACATTCAAAATTTATACCGTTTGTTGAATCGCTACCTTTAAAAGTTGAGAGAGAAATTACGAATATTCTACCAACTAGTACTGTTGGCTTCTATTTTGAATATATTAAAGAGGCGAGAGGAACTTATTACTATCCAAATGGAGAAGTAATACCATCAATTGAAACTCAACAAGATGAAGGACGGTCAGAACTTGCATTGTTTTCCCATATAATGGAGTAAGTACTATGATATTCAGTATTATTATAAATAAAATAAATACGTTGTTTGTACTTTTTAGTAATACTTATGTATTTGGATACGGATATTATTCAGACGAAATTACAGCAGCTATCTGTGAATATAGAGAACCTCACTTAATTATCGATCGTTATATGCGTCATTTTGTTGAGAATGAGGATAAATATATCTGTTATGATCTATCAGGAAATGCAAATGATCGTTATATACTGTTTAAAGATTCTTTATCAAAAACAGTAATAATTGGACAACTACAAGACGATTGTCATTTTGGTAAAATATTTATAATTACTCCAATGTCGAATCTGACTCTAAGCTCAAATGATAAATGGTCTATTGGCGATGTTATAAACACAAAGATAATACATGTTGTTGTCCTTAATCAAAAAAAATTAAGATTTATTATTAAAACTCCATCGCCAACTGTATTTACTATTGAAATAAGAAAAAGTGACGAAAAGAAATATTTGGATATCACCGTTAATCAAATAAATAAGGAAACATCATCGGGAATTTTTGGTAATAATTCTTTTATCATTATATACAGAATTGTAAATTGATCTTCAATAATTGTTCTTTAGGCGATATTCATAAAAAGAATTTTGTATTCTCCGGAGATGAAATTGACGATTCAACAAGTACTTTGAACGTTGAAGGAAAATTGTTTGAGGCAAAAGTAATAGCAAAGGATGGCGAATCTCCATTTTGGCTTTTATCTAAAGAAGCGGCATTCTATCCTAATCATTTAACGGATTATATTCTTTCAAATTAAAATTTTCAAAATAAAATTTCGAAATGTTACAAAAAATATAAATACCACTCATCCTGTTGTTAATTTAACTACTTACATTATAGACCAATTATGAACAATGACTGGTAAACTTTAAGTAAAATTGATATTAATCAAGTATATAACTGTGATTAATATTTACAACAGTGGATGATAAGACTCAATAACACAACACGATATAGAACAAGGTTACTGAGTAAAACACTTGCTTTGTGCATTTGAAGAGACAAACAATTCGATATTATATATCGATTATTTGACTGTCAAATTGTTCATATCTGCAAAAAAAAACACCTAAAAAAATAAGATAATTTATTAGTAATAACAATTAAAAATGATACTTTTCAAAGTTTTTATCCTCTATCAGATTGTAGTTGTTTGGTGTTTAGATTGTCCAGATTTACCCGATGGATGGTATTCTGTAAAAACGGAAGCCAAGTGTTATGGTTTCCGTTTTCTTCGAATTGACGAAAGAAACTATACAATCGCTCAACGAATATGTTTAGATGAATTGATAGAAGGACATATAGCCGATCTTGAATTTGAGAATATCGACGAACTTGGTTATACGTTAATTGATTCTTTAGATGAAAATTCGAATGTTCCTCGAGAAACTGTAATTAATGGCATTCCAGTTCATGGTTTCTTTATAGGTTATCAAACTTTATTAGAGGATGGAAATATTAACTATCTTTGGCTAAGTGGAAGACTTGTTAAGGATCAGGTCAAAATTCAAGGTCCAAAAGACAAAGGTCTTTTACAGTTTATTGTGAATGACACTCTGTATGAACTTTAGTTTCAGTAGCAGTATATACAATGCTCGTCAGAGGAAAGTGGACAGAAAATATGGGCTCATCTAGCTATAGAAATGTAAGTCTCAGGGCAACATATATTTCAAATCCTTCAATTGAAGAGAGATCATACTTGCTGAACATCAAGAAGAGAATAACTCCTAGATTTCCTACTAAACACTACTTACTTAAAAATTAACATCAATTATTCTTGAAGTTCTATGACCACTGTGAACAACTTTCTTATCTATTTAAAGTCTTTGGTGCCATAAAGATCCTTCTTTATCATGCTAATGTACGATGATGCCTATTTGGACGTTATCCATTAACTTGTGACGAGCATTGCATACTTATATATAACACTTGTAATAAAATAGCTAAATTAACATTTACTTTTTTAGACGATCGGCGACCTTTTATAGCGGACAACCGGAAATAAATGTCGGAAGTGTTCTTTGTCAAGTTCCATCAACAATAAAATGTCCGAATGTACCGAAAAATTGGCTAGGTTTCAAAACAAATCGAAAATGTTATATTTATCGTCCTCTGGAAGTTGAGGAGAGGTCATTTGAGAATTCAAAAGCTATTTGTGAGGGAATTGGAGGAATGAAAATGGCGAAATTATTTGGAGAGACGGAGCTTCTTTTAAGATTTGTTCCGAAAGTAAACGAAAATTCAAATTTGTTTGATAAGACAGTACTCTACAATGGAATTTTATATCCCGGATTCTATTTTGACGATGAGCAGGCTATCAGTGAAGGAAATCATTTTGGCATTGTTGTTACAGAGTAAGTTGATCCAAATTGTATACTTAATCAATTATAATATGTTTAAAACTAATTGTCATTTAACATTACGATTAGAGATACGTTTGACTTATATTTACCGGAAAAGACTACTAGAATGACGGGCGTCGTTTGCGATATAGAATCAAGTTCGGGTAAACAAGATCCCCATATGCGTCATTTTATTCAGAGATACGGAAAGTATATTTGCTACGACCTTATTGGTGAAGGTCATCAAAAATTCATTTTGTATAAAGATCTACCGACGAATATTATCATTGCTGGCCAATTGAGAGACGATTACTATTTTGGAAATATAATCGTACAGAGTTCTTTATTCAATTATACAATTAGAGCTGATCATCTGTGGAATATTCGAAGAGAAATTTATCATGATAGACAATTAAGTATACAAATAGAAAATTTAGAAGAGATAATTATTATCATTAACGAAATACATCCAAGTGAATTTGTAATTAAAAAACATAGAAATAGTATTGGTTCAAATTACTTAAATGTTCAAGTTATACAAATGAACAATGTAGAGAGATCTGGTGGAATATTTGGTAATGTTTTCCTTTCAAAATGATATTTTTATATAAAAAGAAAAAGAAATTTATTTTTCAGGTGATCTTGCAAAGAAGAAAATTTCATTTTATGAAAATATTCAAGAGAATTTAAAAGGTGCCATTGATATTGAAGGAAAGATATTTGATGCTACAATAACTGAAAGAGAAAATTCTATATGTTGGCTAATATCTGCTAAAGCCGCACTTTACCCTAAAGAAAAAAGAGATTATCTATTAGATTAAATGTTATTACTTTCAAGTGTTTTTATCTTATTCAAATATAGTCAATTTTTATCGACACTATATAATACAAATACAAAAATATGAATATGAAATAATATTAACATTATTCAACTAATTCTTGTACATAATTCCTATTGTTTTATATTTTTAATGAGAACAATATGGTTGCGTAATACTAACGCATTCTCCATTTAATAGTAATAACGGTTGGTTTAGTACGCGTTCATCGAGTTCGAGATTGGCGGGTTTTCGTTGAACTCTATTGAAAGGTGTATTTTAAAACGCTACATTAGGAAACCTGGTTATAAATAGTTAAGTATTTCAGAAAAAAGATGGCATTAGTGGTACCTTTGTCAAGTACTCTAAAAGTAAAACTACTCAATTGTCTACCAGTCCTGTCTTATTATATATAATATAAGAATTCTTCTTACTTTTATTGAACTTATTAATTATTTCGAATTTCTAATTAACGAGATAGTTAAAAGTAAAATAAAAGGAATAGAATTGGATATTTATCTTTTAATTATATTCGTGGATTGTAAAAGACTGTTAAAACGTTATTGAAGAGATTGGAATATTACTGAGGCGCCCTTGATGTTCCATCAAAATGTCTGATAATAACGGATATCTCATTCCAGGAAAAAATATTCCATTAGAATATACAGGAGGCGAAAATTTTTACAATAATGAAAAGCATGAAGAAGTAGCAAAGATCTTTGATACGGTCATCTATTCTTTGGGATCGGTGGAAAGTTCTCTAGAGAAACAGGTTCGAGATAGTTGCCTTGAACTTAAAAAATTAAGAAATTCGATTGATGAGCTAAGAAACATCATCTTAGGTCAGAAGAATTGTGAAAGTAGAAGTTTTCTCAAACGTGATATTAAATTTTCGAATGATAAGAGTGAAAGTTCAACAACCTTCAACTGCCGTTGTAAGGATCGACCGATCAGTCTTCCGAAGTGGAATCCAAAGTTTAAATACGACGGAAATCCAAGGACCTATCACGACTTTATTGAAACTCATAAAATGATAGTAAACGCTGGAAATTACTATGATTGGCAAAAATTAGACATGCTGCTTGACTCTTGCAAAGGAGAGGCTCTGGATCTTATTTCAAGGTGTTATATGTCTGGTCCAAAAGGCTATGAGGCCGCTCTGGAGATCCTAGAGCGAATGGGTGGCAGTAAAGTATCGAAACAGGTATCCTTATACATCGAACTCGCTGAGATGCCACCAGTCGATAAAAGAGACTTGAGAACCCTTACGAATCTTCGAAATTTGGCTAATCATGCTTTCACTATGCACAAAATTTACGGTGATCCTCCTGTAGATTCTCTCGTTAGATTTAAAGGTCTCCTTATCGAGAAAAAGTTGAACGAACAACTCAGAGAAGACTGGAAAAATTTTGGAATAGAAGACAATGCTCCTGAAAAAACAAAGTTCGAACGCCTTGTCGAATTCTTATTTATAACTGTAGAGAAGTCGAAAAAGGAGTATGAGAGAAAACTAAATGAGAACTAACATTCCTTCTTTCTTGTACGAAAGACAAAAAGGAAAAACAGATTTATCTCAATAAATGTATTTGAAAAACAAACTTATTAAGTGTCTATATATAAAACGAAAGAAACTTGATAAGTGTGCTACAGCTTTAGAAAACTGGTGAAATGTAAGATTTACTTTGTATAATATGACACAACTGTCAAGTAGTACTACACGTACCTTTTACATAATTAGAATATAAATATTATAATATTATAACTTAAGTTACATTAAAAGCTATTTTAGGTATTGATTATCAGAATGTAATTATTGACAATATACTAAAATATGCTGGAATTTTTTATTAACGGCTGTAAGAGTGTGTCTGTTCTTGTTTTTCAGACTGATTGACAAGACTCAACTGTATAGAAATGGCAAAAAAGAACAATGTAAATGAACAGTATGTTTCTCAGAACAGTTTGATGATTTGAAAAGACGAAAATTACGGCATCTAATGTCGATTGTTCGCCTTATGTTTTATTCAAAAAGACTAAAAAAAACACCTAAAAAATAAGATAATTTATTAGTAATAACAATTAAAAATGATACTTTTCAAAGTTTTTATCCTCTATCAGATTGTAGTTGTTTGGTGTTTAGATTGTCCAGATTTACCCGATGGATGGTATTCTGTAAAAACGGAAGCCAAGTGTTATGGTTTCCGTTTTCTTCGAATTGACGAAAGAAACTATACAATCGCTCAACGAATATGTTTAGATGAATTGATAGAAGGACATATAGCCGATCTTGAATTTGAGAATATCGACGAACTTGGTTATACGTTAATTGATTCTTTAGATGAAAATTCGAATGTTCCTCGAGAAACTGTAATTAATGGCATTCCAGTTCATGGTTTCTTTATAGGTTATCAAACTTTATTAGAGGATGGAAATATCAACTATCTTTGGCTAAGTGGAAGATCGTTAACGGATCCGAATGATATTGAAGGACCTTTAAAGAACAGCTACTTTCAGTTTATTGTGAATGATAATCCGTATGAATTTTAGTTCTATATACATAAGTATATGATATATTGCTTGACATTAAGTCGCTTTATTTATTTTATAGGCGATTGGCGACCTTTTACAGAGGAGAACCGGAAAGAAATGTCGGAAATGTTCTTTGTCAAGTTCCATCAACAATAAAATGTCCGAATGTACCGAAAAATTGGCTAGGTTTCAAAACAAATCGAAAATGTTATATTTATCGTCCTCTGGAAGTTGAGGAGAGGTCATTTGAGAATTCAAAAGCTATTTGTGAGGGAATTGGAGGAATGAAAATGGCGAAATTATTTGGAGAGACGGAGCTTCTTTTAAGATTTGTTCCGAAAGTAAACGAAAATTCAAATTTGTTTGATAAGACAGTACTCTACAATGGAATTTTATATCCCGGATTCTATTTTGACGATGAGCAGGCTATCAGTGGAGGAAATCATTTTGGAATCGTTGTGACAAAGTAAGCTATTGTCTAGTTTAACAGCTTTGTATGATCTTATTTATTACACGAAAACATTTACAGGAGTTCTTTCGATTTGTATCTTGCAACCAAAATTTCTAAAATGACAGGTATTGTATGTGATATAGAATCGAGTTCGCTTAAACAAGATCCCCATATTCGTCACTATATACGAGAAGATGGAAAATATATTTGTTACGATTTTTCTGGTGAAACCAGACAAAAATTCGTATTGTTTAAGGATTTAATATCGAACATTATCATTGCTGGTCAATTGCGGGACGACGATTATTTGGGAAATATAATTGTACAGAGTACATTTTTTAATTATACAATTATGGCTGATCGTCCATGGAGTTTTAAAGGGAATATATACTTGGACGATCGTTTATCCATTAAAATTTTAAACATTAATACTGTTATCGTTACTATTAAAAGAAAAGCTCAAAGCGTATTCGTAATTACAAAGCATAGAAATATTGCTAACTCTCAATATTTAAATGTTCAAGCTAGTGAACTTGATAGTGATAAAGTTACAGGAATAATGGGTTAGGTTAAAGATTATACAAATTTTTAAACAGATATTTGAAATTTTATAGTAAAATGTCTCTTCTTAGGTGATATGCTAAAGAAAAAGATGATTTTTTTCGAAGGAATTCAAGTGTATTCAAAAGGGGCTATTAACATCGAAGGAAAAACATTCGACGCTCGATTAATTGAACGAGAGAAATCTTCGTGTTGGCTTCTTAAGGCTGAAGCCGCATTTTATCCAAAAAGGTTAACTGACTATTTATTAAATTAGAAAAGGTAAGTCATATTTTTTTGGAAGTTTTCTTTTTTTTTTTTTTTGTAAAAATGGATGATTTTATTACACAAGTGTTGATCTCTATTTGTTTTATCGCAAAGTAACAGATTTCTGTTAAAACTTTTTTTATCTACCACAAACAATATAATGCTTATCTTTAAAACAAGAAATTTTTTTTCACTATTTATAGGCACGTTAAAAACGTTCTATTGACCCAATATCGACTCAAGTAGTCAAGCCTTTACATACGTCATTATATATTATTACTCATAATAGGAAAACCTTAGTAAACCTCTGTCTATCCTTTCTATAGCAATGTTATAATATTGTATAAGTAAAGATATTTTAGAATGTTTCTTATCTTTCACAGATGAAATTACAACCATTCAATGATAAAAACCATAAAAGGTTTTAGAATTGTAATTGCAAAATCTTCGTAATTGTGTTATTCATTATCCCCTAGTTTTAGGAGTCAAAAGATTTAAAAATAGTTCCTGCGTATATCATTATATTGTACTATTCTATATATAAATATATATAATTGTATTTGTGGAGTTTATTGATCATAAGATTTTCTATATAAGATCATTGCAAGTTTAGTTAGGAATCATTATTGAAACGGAAAAGCTGAGCATTTCGCTTAAAACTAATTAAAATAGTTTGGAATGGAACTTTCGATGTATGTTATTGATCCTGGATATTTAGAATGTTCAATTTGTTTGGAATTATGGTTGGAAAATGATCCAAGAACTTTATCTTGCCAGCATACTTACTGTTATGCATGTCTAAAGCAAATCTTCAGAAATGGTATTATAAAATGTCCCAATTGTAGAATTCTGGTAAAAATAAGATCAGTAAGAGATTTACCAAAGAATCTTGCTTCTTCATCAATAAGCAGTCAACAAACGAAAAAAATACATGAAATAGAAACTATTCGAACTTTGCTTCTACAGAATCTGCGTCGTCTAAAAGTAAAGAACGATAAAATGAAATCGTTATTAGAATGCGAAGTAGAAACTTTAAAGAATTTTTGTCCTTCAATCCATAAAAGTAAAACTACAAATAAATATAAAAATGCAGCTGTTCAGACTGTTGAGAAAGATGCTTCAAAACGTCCCAGAAAGAAGGAAAGTATGCTAAACAAGTTCAAACTATTCAAAAAGACTAAAACTTATCGTTTGAATGATAATTCAAAATTATTTAGTAAAAGTTTTCTTTCAATGTATAATTTTTAGATGTATAGATCTATCCTTAATATTTCTCTATTTAAAAATGTGTTGTCTTAAATTGAGAGCATTTATATTATTCTGGTCAAATAAATTATATACAGAGTCTTTTAAAGTTATAGTTTCTTATATGTTTTACTTGATTTTAAAATAATAGAACTCTAGTTAAAAATTTTTGAGTCAGTTGTTAATAGTTAATATTAACCTAAATATCAAACTAACGACTTGTTCAGCCTCGTTAACATCTAGATAAAGTTCTTTGATAAAAACTGTAAAGTATGAAATTTTTTCATTATTTTCTTCTTTGTCAAATTGGAGTTATTTGGAGTTTCGACTGTCCAACTCTACCTCAAGGCTTTAAATTGGTGAAAACATCACATAAATGTCTCGCCATTCGATTTCTTGAGCCGTCAGAAAGACAATTTATGACTGCAAAGGCAATTTGTCAAAATGACTTAGATAATGGACAGTTAATTGATTTAGAATCGCAGCATAAAATGGAATTTATTATGACGATAATGAATTTTGTAAACAAAAATCCCACTATTCATCGAGGTGTCGACATGAACGGGAAACTTTTCCCTGGTTTCTTCATTGACTTTTCAACATTGACCCAGAATGGAATAATCAGATATTTTTGGCCTAGTGGACGTGAAGTAGAACCTGCTCAAATTGGAGGACCAGATCGGACAGATCTTCTCTTTTTCGTGCTAAAAGATGATGGAAGCCCGTCCGGTCTTTATTCTGGAGAAAACGAGTCAAATATTGGAAGTGTTGTTTGTGAAGTTCCATCTCTACTTAAATGTCCTCCTACTCCTGACGGTTGGCTAGGTGTCCAATCAAATTCGGTATGTGGCATTTTACGTCCATTGAAAGAGTTTGAGAGAACTTGGATGGGAGCGAAAAGTGCATGTGAAAGTGTTCCGGGTATGGAGTTGGCTAGATTAACAAATAATGAAAACATTGTCTTTAATATCGTAAAAGTCATAAACCAGAATAAAGAATTGTTTGAAATAGAAGGTGATCCGACTGTGAAACCTTCGTTCTTTTTTTACGAAACAATAAATCTCTCTAATCTAGATATAGATAAAGCTGGTTTAGCTATCATAGGGTAATAACAATTGTAAAATAAAATTAAAGAGCTCACTTTTCTTATTCATTTTTAGACAAAAACCGAAGTTTATAACAGGTTCTCAGCCAATAACTGGAACACTTTGTTTTTTAAAGGCAGACTCAAGTCAAGGAGATCCTCATCTTTTACACTACATACCGAGTTCTGGAAAATATATTTGCCATGATTTAATTGGTGAAGCTGGCCAAAAGTTTATACTATACAAAGATTTATTGACGAATGTTATCATTGCTGGAGAATTGCGGGATGATTACTATTTCGGTAAAATAATTATCTCAAGTTTGTTCTTCAATCATACGATTAGCGCAAATGAAGTATGGAAAGCGAGAGAGACGTTTTATTACGAGAAGAAATTAAAGATAGAGGTGCTGTCTCTCAATGAAATAATAATTACAGTTAATAATGGTCAATCTGGTAAATTCATTATCAAGAAGAATTCAAATAGTATTCATTTAAGTTACTTGAACTTTCATATTATTCAAATGAATGAGAAAAGATCTGGTGGAATATTTGGTAAATATAAACAAAAACAGATTAAAGAGTTTAATAATTAATTAAATATAAATCGTTTTAGGCGACATTGCTAATAAAAAGTATGAATTCTTCGAAAGAGTACAGAGAAACTCTATGGCTGCTGTTAGAATTGACGGAAAAACATTTACAGCTAGGATAACAGAAAGAGATCATCTATTTTGTTGGCTTTTGCCAAATAAAGCCGTATTCTATCCAAAAGCGACACGGGATTATATATTAGATTAATATAGTTATATTTATAGTAAAAATAAATATTTTGAAAGCAAACAAGCATTCCTTTATCTTATTTATCGGACAAAAGGCTTTGTTCTCAACGAGGAGGAAGTATTTTATAAGATAGATTGAGAAGATTAGATTTAAAGTTATTCATTCTACTTATTTGATATCTAAAAAATTAATATATTAATGTAAAACAGTCCAAAATACGATCAGTAACTGATATGAATATCTATATATGTTAAAGGTGTACTGTATAAGGTTACACCTACTTTGAGGTGTTCAAATATTCAACATGTTCAAAACACAGAAAAAACTCTTTATTACTTTCAACATAAATTCCTTTAAAATTCAGATATTCAGTAGTCAGTTTTGTATCTTTGAGAATTGCTATGATAACTACGAAGAAGAATTGTCATAGCATCTTCAATTCTAGATTTATAATCTCTATTCAATATAACATCGAGATGAGATAAGCACTCGCCTTGAAAAGCGTTATATTTCATAACTGTTTGAATTTTCTTGATAAATCTTTTAAGGAAATTAACTGGATCTTTTTGAACAGCTTTAAATAACGATGGTAAATCCATAAAGACTTCAGATTGAATATCCATAAATCTATGTATACCGTCATACGATTTGATTACATCTTGCCTTGTATACTCTTGCAGACAATGGAGTTTAATACTTTTCCAGATTCGTATAGGTAATGAATGCAATAGATATTTTGCAAAATATTTAGCTTTATCGTTTGGAAACGAAGCGAATTGTTTCTTTGAGAAATCCTTTATAAAATCACCTCTAAAACCTAGTGAATATAGATAGATAATTCCAAGTTTTTCATATTTTGTTCCTCTTTTAGGCATTGTTTTATCGAATTGAAATCAACAATGTTTAATACCATTTTTAGTAATTTTCTAATAATTTCATCTTTAAATTTCTCCTTTGATAAAATTTTTGGCATATTCATTAAGCTTTTTCTATAAACTGTTATATTCTTATTACATCCTTCCAGAGGTATAATAAAGAATTCATTATCCTTTTTATCAACTTTACTTTTATACTTCATTTCTCTTCTATCTTTAATATGTAAAGGTCAAGGAAAAAGGTATTAAATTTTTGAGATTTAAAGATTAAAGATTGAAAGTATACAGTTACGATTATAAGTAATTGTTACAATGAAAAAACATCTAAAAATGTCACTATTTGGTGTTTTACACTTTTTATTTGTCTTATAATTAAGACAAAACTCTACTTAAGCTATTGATTGTGATGCTGTAATATTTTGTTAACTTACTTCCTGTTTGGAGTTGAATTTTTTCTCCTTCCTATTCTTCCCATTCAACCTGTATTTGCATAAAACTTTTTTTCTCTTATGTAGTTTGGCAGACTACAACTCTTAATTGTAAGGTCATAGCAACCGTATTAAAATTACTTAATAGCTTATGAACTATTCTAGACCATAAACATAGTTTATCAACCAAAAAATTCACAGTTTTACAAGTTTTTACCGGTGCAACAATTATTTATTAACGTCATCGTGTACATAAATCTTACCTTTATGTTTTATAAAGTTAAATATATCCTTTTGCCGATGATGAGGACTTTTTTCAATACAAAAGTATAATTGACATGCATATATCTCTGTAAAACTTTGACACTTCCGTTTTCTTTGGCCGACGTATTTTTTTTCCAATAAAATATGATCGTGTATATTCATATATGCAAATACTGTACTTGAAGGATTTTTTATCAGCTTTCCCAGAAAGTCGTCCCTTTCGTCAACATTCGAAATCTATTCGTGTAAGAATCTCAAATATCCATTTGCCTGTATCTACGTGTAGTCGATAAATGAGTAGCGAGCGTAGGTTATAGCTAAATTCACCAACTTTACTCGATATACGCGTTAAAGATTTAAGGTATGTACTTGTTAATATAGCAGTAATAATAACTAATAACATGTCGAAATAATAAAGGGTAATGAAATACGGTTAGGTTTAAAATATGTGTAACGTAAAGTAATTATAAAATAACGTAAAGGGAATTTGGCTCACTGCCAAATTTAGGCGATGTACCCATCGACTACATCTACGTGTATCCCTTATATTCTTTTCGTAAAACTGAAAACACGGCTAAAGTAGTACTGCTTGGAAAGACTAAAGTTGAGAACTTTGTCAAGTTTCTTTGTAAAAGTATGAAAATTTGTAAATAACTGACATTTTTTTCATTTCTTTTCGATGATTTTAAGATGACGAAACCATAGTAAAATAAAATTGAGATTTTACTATATTCGGTGTATCGAACAACCTTTCTTACTGCTTATTCATAGTTAACTATTCCTTATTTTTGATAAACAGTTAATTTATGTTTTTTAGAGCCAAATGATTCAATAAGGTACTCTCCACAAAGGCCTATTGTTATCAAATCGAATGAAATTCCAAAATCCACATCTTGTAAATGTTTTAAACTGGTATCGTAATAGCTTATCTTAGTGGAATTACTTAGATGAAGAATAAAACCCACAAGTGGTACAGCTGTTACGCATGCATTTTTGTTAATTTTAATACTTCTTTCATTCTTCTTATCAACATTTTTCTTATCTATCGATATTAACCTTGATTTGGTAATAAAAATCACATTTCCATTGGTAAGTATACAAGCGTGCCTTATCTTGTAATTCTGAAATTGAAGAATTTGATCATCTAATGCATCTTCTAGTTTAATATTCCATTGGAAATCCTTATTAACGAAATAGCTATAAGTTTTATTTATGTTTCTCAATAAAACATAAATATTTCCATTCTTATCTTCAAAGGCGGATAGTTTAAGTGCCTTCTCTGCATTGGATAGAGTGAAAAATTGGATTTCATCATTTTCCATACAGCTTGACATAACTAGAGATTTGTTTCTGTGAATAGCAAAAGTATAATGTTCCGTTTTATCGAAACTAACAATATCTTGATTTAAAGATATTTTCGATATTACTTCATCTTCTTTCATCAAGTTAAGAGTATTACCAGAAGATCTATCAAGCTCGAGTAAACCTTTCAATGTTAATACAAACGGACCTTTGATATCGCAATATGTTTGTTGTTTAAAATTTTTCGTTACCAGCTTATCCTCTAGATAGCAATGCTTTAAATGAATTGCAAAATTTGCTGGAAAATTTTGATCACAACTTAAAACAGAAATAAAGCTGTGAAATTTTTCAGATATTGAATCAAGGTCAGTAAAATCATTACTTAAATTCGATTCCATTTTATCTAAAGTATCCATTTTATCCTTATTTAAAATTATAGCTTCTTGTTGCTTTAGAATTTTTATCATTGACATAATCTTTTCCCGACGACAATTATAAATAGTTAAATCTTCGAAAGGACATTTCGCATGATCCCTTACACACAAGCTGCACAGGTCTTTCTTTTTACATTTTACGCATATAATAACTGGTAGAAGCTGTCGATTATGCTTGGAGCATTTTGAAAAATTCGAGACCACATTATTGCTAAGTAAATTAGATCGTTGCGTATTCTTAGGGTTGAATGGCTCCCTACATACTGGACAGTTATGAGTAAGTTTAGATACAATTTTCCAACAAGCCAAACAAAAGGTGTGTTGACATGAAAGTTGAATATTCTCCTTATTTATCCAATTTTCCAGACAAATAGGACACTTTAAGAAACCTTTCTGCACACGTACAATTTCATAGCTCATTTTGCCCTCTCTATCGATACGTCCAGTTCGTGCAGTAAATATATACGTAATATGGTATAATATCTGATGTACCAATAGAGCAATTATATTTCCAGTTTCTGTTTCTGTTTCCTATAATCTCTCTTAGAAATATCTGACTTTAGCTATAAAGCTATTCACAGTGAATTAATAATTAGCAGAGACAAAATATGATTGCGCAATAAACCAAAAAACCACATACCAAGATCGATATGAGCTAAAAGTTTACAAATAAGAAACATGCATGAACTTGTCCAATGGATAATTTTATATATATACAGTATATATATATATGGTTATAATGCTGTTTACAATTTTAAATCACAAGTTCTAACTATGTCGATTTGCTTTTATATTCTCTTCAAAATCGTTAAGTGGTTTCAATCTATTTTGGTAAAGGTAAAATTTTTTATATGGCTATATAATGTAACTCATTCAGTCTGCTGTTTACAATCTCATGTTTCCTCAATTCAAGAAATATTATCTATATAAATTACGTAAACTTGACTTTTGAGGAAAGCTTATGTTGATTATTCATCGTCATTTCAAAATTCTAAAAGCGTTCTTTCATTTTATATATGAAAATAATAATAGATAAATAAATATGTAATATTATACTAATAATAATAATGCTTAAAAATTTCAAATTTGAAAATATTCGAAATTAAAAGTTTTTGAGCGATAATAAATAAGCCAGTAATATCGCTACTCGCCATTTTGAATTTAGACCCACGTGGATGGAGTCGAAACTCAGAAACTATCTGTTAAACTGCGTCAAGGTTGGTTATAGAAATTAGTAAACGTAGCTAATTTAGTATGATGACTTAGTTATCCCTGTCTGATATTTTAGTGAGGAAAGTTTCTGTCTGATAATAACTGAAAACTTAAAATGATATTTGTCAAATAATTAGTCATTTATTAATTTTTTTTGTCTTACAGATATGCATCATTACTACAATAAACAGAAAATATAGTCCTTAACCATATATAAGGAAGCTTTTACAGTGAAAGTGTTCAAAAATGATGAATTGAAATATTATTAAACAACCTTAGGCAAGTAAAATGTTCATAAATTTAGCATGAAAAAAAAATGATGACCTAGTTATCCCTGTCCGATATTTGAATGAGGAAAATGACTTTCTGATCAAGTGTTAACGACATATAAATATTCCTTTAAGATTTAATAACGTCAATGGTATAATAATCCTTATTTCCACAGAACCAAAAATATTCAACGAGGAATTGAAAAGAATGGAAAATAAATGAAAACCAAAGAATAATGGTAAATATTTATAGAATTTATTTATTTATATGTTAGTTTAATAAAACTGATGACAATAGTTATCCCTGTCCGATTATCATCTGAGGAAAACCCTTATCTGATAAATTTTTTACAAAAAACTCATCTTATCTCCCTAAATAAAACTACAAATTAGATTTCTATTGTTTTTTAGACATTTCATCCTTCCAACTAGCAAACGTTGTGATAGATTGTCTACTGTTGTTTATTAGACAATGAACCAGCAATGAAAGAATTTCCGTGATGATTTGTTAGTAAGATATTAATTTAGATAGTCTTATAAGTTTAATTATATAATATGATGACTTTGTTATCCCTGTCTTAAGTTTTATATGTGGAGATCTTATTGTCTGAATACTCTCTTGTTTCTTAATATTTATAAATAGAATATATTGCAAGATGTACTATAAATTATAAATATTATTTTAACAGAAGCAACCAAGCCATTACATTCGAATGGACCAACTACAAGGTGGAAAAAACTCAGTTTTTGTTTGGAGAAAGGAAGAAGCGAATAAGTTTTTACATTGATTATACTTGTTAACTATTTTTATATTACAAATAAAACCTTCTAATAATATAATGATATAATAAATAGTTAATTTAATAAACTTTACAAATGACTTCAAACTTTTGATCGGTAGATAGGTGAAAACAATATACACCATTTACTAGAAGACTATTAGTTGATTATTACATATGTAAAGGGGTCGTGTGAAAAAATAGTTTCATATGAAAAGTTCAACATTGTTTAATGTGATGCATTCTTTACTTGGACAGATATTCAATCGAAAAGTATCTAACAAGATGAATGAAGCTTAGTTAGCATTTTCATAAAGATAATCAAATTTCACCAGCAATACGAAAGTACTTAAAAATCACTTTTAACAACTACTTGTGAAGGATAATAGCAAAACTTTGTGGCAATTTCCAAATACGAAAAAGAACAACTTTAAACTCTGCCTGTCTTAATACAAGTATTATAAAAACATAAGAATAATATGAATAATGTACAAAAAAGTGGTGAAAAAAAAAACAATTGAGTGATGTGGACATATTACTTCTTCTGTTGTTAAGGAGACAAAAAGTTCTTCGTAGACCACTGCATAGTTAAGCCAGTTAACTTATCAAGGACAAGTGGAAGGTTTTTATCGATATATACAGTGTATACTTTAAAATCTAGAATCAGGATAAATGGCTACTTGTAGTTATACAGCTAAAGAGGATGAGCAAGCATGCATAATATGCTTTGAGCTAATGATAACTCCTAGGATATTATCTTGTAAGCATATCTTCTGTCTTGATTGTCTCCGACGTCTTCGAGGAATAGTTTCAGTAAAGTGTCCTCTATGTCGACAAGAAGCAATCATACCTGGAGGAAATGTCGCTAACTTTCCAATTAAATTCTATAAAATCAAAGTTAAGGTTCCTTTAGCAAACTTTTTAGAAGTGAAACAATCGTGCCTTATACCTTGGTCTTTTAAATCCTACTTTGTTACAAATGATGGATTATATTCTGCTATAGAGTTCGATTCTCAAACTATACATTTGGCAGTCTCGTTCGACGATCCAAATTTATGGGTTAATCTTGATAGAAAAGTTGAAAATTTTGTTATTACTGAAAGTTATATCTATGCCATAGATCATTTAACTAGTAAAATATTATTTACTAAAAAGCCATTTGGGATAAATGCTCATTTTCGAATTTTTAACTCTACAAAAACTAGATATTTAATGGCAACTGAAGATGAAATTTGTCAATGTTATATCCTAAGTATGTGCAAAGATAAAGACGATTGTTTATTCTTTTACAATGGAACATTACAATGGTCATTTCCAAATTGTAAGGAGCTTGGTTGTATTCTTCATAATCATAATCCAATTGTAAAAACAATGGAGGATATCTACGTAATGATTGATAAATCAAACGGTACAAAGTTAAGATTTATATGTTGTACAGGATATTCTCAAATATACGATTTATTTCCATACGGAATTTTAATATCAAAATCAACTACAAGGAAAATAAAGAAACCTAGTTACAAAAAGTCAAAATACTTTTATACGGAATACGAAAAAAATGAAATTTCAACTAGAAATGATAAACATCTTAGTCAAGAAATTACTATGGAACTATTTTCTTATAATTATAGTTTACTTGAAGAGAAGAAAATAGATGAATTTCATAATGCAATGATGATAGGAACAACAACAAATGGTTTAGTTTGTATTTATATTTTCGGTGAAGGATTGAAAATTTACAAATTGAAATGATAGTAGCGTTTTATTTTTATATTTCTTTTATATTTTATTTCTTCTATTTTTAATTATATTTACATTTCAATCTTTTTAAAAAAATAAATGTATAAATAAACAGGGAAATCATTATTACGTCATTATATCGGGGTTTTTCTTTTATACTAAAATAATATGTAACGTTAAAAAAAGGGGTTATATAGACTGGTAATTGAGTACATGTCAGAGGTCGAGTATAATCAAGAGTGGAGTGAGTCCGTGAACCACCAGTCTTTTAACGGTAAAGTTACACTGTTGATTCTGAATCGGTAGTAAGAAAAAAAAATGGCTACTCTTGAAAGAAATTGTAGAATGTGTCAAGTTTGTTCCGAATCATGGCCCCATAAAAGTCTCAGAATACTACCTTGTAAGCATATTTCCTGTATTGAATGTCTATATCAACTCCAAGGAGCTTACTTAGTTGAATGCGCAGTTTGTCATAAAGATGCTGTTGTACCTGGTAGAGATGTTGATAATTTTCCAGTGTATAAAGCTACCTTTAAGCATCAAAAAAATCTAATTAAAGTAAAAAAAAGTTCTTGCCCATGCAAATTATCTTACAAATGTTACATAACAAACGAAGGACTTTATTCAATTTCGACTAAAGATCTGAGAACAATTCTGTTTAAACCTTCATTCGATGGCTTTATACTACCAATCTGTCTTAATAAAGAGATATCCGACTTTGCTATTACAGATAACTATATATACGCCGTTGAAAATTCAACTGGTAAAATATTGTCGTCGACAAAACCATTTGAAGGAGAGATTAATCTAAGATTATACAGTTCTAACAGAGTGAATTCATTAAAGGCAATAGAAGATGAAAATGGCGATAGTTGTATAATAGGCTTTTTAGAATGCAGGAATAAATGTCTGTTTATTCATAAAAGTATTTACAGATGGTCATCATTGAATTGTAAGAGTATTGAATGTATTCTTCCAAATGGTAATCCTATCATAAAAACATGTGATAATAAATTTGTCATACTCGATAAACTTAAAGGTAAACCTTTAAACGAGTTAAAATGTAAAGGATTATCACAAGTTTGCAATTTTTCACCACATGGAATCCTGCTAGCGCAAACGTCATTTGACAAATACAGAAAATATTACGAAGATAACGAATATCAATACAGATACACAGATGCGGATGACGACATGGATCAGAATGAGGAGTATGGTATTAGTAATAAAATAATTAAAATGGAACTTTTCCTATACGATTATAACTTTAAATTAATAAGAAAACTTAATGATTTTAAACGTGCTAAATTAATTGGAACAGCAAAAAATGGTAATATTTGCTTACTATTCGTTAATGGTAAAATGAAAACATACGAATGGAAGTAAAGTGTCTTTTTTGTCTCTTTTCATTGAGTTTTGTTGTTTTCTTGCATTGTTTTCAACCTATTCTATGCGAATTTTACAATAGAAATTTGAAATAAAACTTGAGAAGATCAACTATATATATATTCTTCTTTAGTAGAATAATTAAAAAAAGATCTTTTATTCGTTCAGTACTACTTAGTGTTTCCATATTTTTAAATGCTATTATTACTATGGAAACTTATAGGAACGTGCTTATACGAAGATAATCTGAGAAGAATTAACAGTAATTCCATTATTTAAAAGATTTTGTTTTAACTATTTCATAATTATTTTCTTGTTAAAACCTTTGAAAATTCAAAAATAAACCAGTTTATCGCGTTAATTTTCAATATTCTTTTTGAAACTATAGCCGCCATGTTTTTTTAAAGTACTAGCCGAAATTTGAAGTTACCGACAAAAAATGTTACTTTTCGTAACTTTCTAACTGGCAAAGACTTTCTAATTATATAAAAAGTAGTAAAAATAATATTTCTTTTATATAATATCCATTTGAAACTTTAAGAATATGTAAAAAATTTCAATTTTTTTTTTATTTAGCTAATTAGTGAAGAATAATGGCTGCTTCCGCTTCAACCGAATACGTACTTAAGCAAGAAGAACTTATATGCGCAATTTGCGTGGACTCATGGCTGGAGAGGGATCCCAGAGTACTGCCATGCAACCATACTTTCTGCTTCATTTGCCTCAAAAGTCTTTTAAGAGGAGGCTTTGCAGAATGTCCAATATGTCGTGCAAAAGTTAACTTAATGGGAAGAAATATTAACGATATCCCTAAAAATTCTTTGCCAAATGCAATTGAAAAGATTGAACCTATTGTTCAGGTGTGCACCACGCACAAGAGAAAGATACTCAAGCCTTTACTTTGTTGCAAAACATGTAGAAAGTTAAACTTATGCGCTCTTTGTATTGACATTGACCATTCTATGGAAAATTGCTTCATAGTTACGGTCAATTCTCTTGAGAATAGATTAAGAAAACTTCGAAGTAATTATAAAGTCTCTATAAATCAACACGAAATGAAAATTTCAAAAACTGAAGCGGAAGTTATAAGAGATATTGAAGAAACTAGAAACTATCATATAGCTGATGTAAGAAATCAGTCAGAGAAAATGATACAAAAGGTAAAGAGATATTATCAGGAGAAAAGAGCAGAATTAAAAGATAATTCTAACGAAATAAATAACATATTGATAACTGAAGCGGATGTTGAAAATCAATTAAGAAATTTATCAGTTGTGGAGAAACCAACTGTTAATAGTTGCCCAAGTAAATTATCTGTCTATTTTAATTACAAAAGTCATGGAATTTATAAAAATTTCAAAAGAATAAGGCAACAATTTTTTCCTATGACCGAAACTGAATCGCATTTTATTGCTAACGATGGATTCTATTGTATTTCAAAGTCTAATAGGGCAACTTTAATGCATCAAGAATCATTCGGAAGTTCAATATCAAAAGCTACTCTTGATCGAAATGTTGAAAAAATTGTCATTACTGATAGATATCTTTACGTTATTGAATGTTCTTACAGGAAAATTATGATAGCCTGTAGACCTTTCTATCAATTTATTGATTTGAGACCATTCAGTTCAATAGAAGCTAATGATATCAAAGCTATAGATATTGAAGAGGATTCGTTTGTTTTGACATTCAACTCGGATGCTTCTAAATGTTCTTATTTTATTAATAAAAACTATCAATGGCATTGTTATAGTTGTAGAGAACTTGGATGTATCCTCAAAACTGGAAATCCTATAATTAAAACTTCGGATTGCAGATATGTAATGATGGATAAATACAAAGGTATTGAGATCATGTCAATGAAGTGTCCGGCCAATGCAGTCATCTATAACTTACATCCTCTTGGTCTTCTAATAGCAAATACTGTTGTTTTCAATGAGAATTCAAATGATGGATGTGCATTTGAAAAGAGTTTAAAGAAAGCAAGTCCAATAGGGAGCAAGTGGCATATGAAGCCAGCGTTTAAAGGGGAAAGCGGGTATGCGAGCAAATATGACATGAAAATTGACCGTGCAAGGAAAGAACGCATAAACAAAATGAATCTTTTGCTCTTCGATTACCAGATGAACCAAAATATTGTCGTAAACAGATTTGAGAATGTACAACTCTTAGGAACAACAGATGATTCCTTAATTTGTCTTTACTCTTCTGGCGACAATTACAGAGTTTATAAATATTAATTAACATTCTGTTCCAACAAATTTTTGTCTAGTGTCTCTTTTTTGAAATCGTAGTCTACGGTTAGGATACAGTTATTTATGTTTCGTTTGTGATGATTGCAGCTTTTATTCGTCTAAATCATGTAAAGTCGACGCCGATATTAATACATTATACTATAAAAACTTTGATTTATTTTATATCTCTTAATTTATATAAAGCAGTTTCAGAAGAATTTGAACAAATGAAAGTTGATTTTCCATATCCTAAGATCTTTGAACACTGCTTTAACTTTTGCTTTTGTTTGAAAGCGTAATCGTAAAAGTATATAAAGCTGTCATCATAATCTTGTTGTAATACTATATATCCGTGTGGTAAGTATTCAAAAATATCTTTAACGTTTGGTATATTGAATGATTCTTTGATCGATCCATCATCAGCCGAGAGGAAAATTAGAGTTTTATCAATCTTATTTTGAACGATAATATCACCATTACACCTCATAAAAAGACCAGAGAATAAAGCGTTCTTAATCATCCAACGAAAACTTCCATTAACAAATAGGTAGTATTTATCTTTTCTTTTAGCACCTACATATTTTAATCCCGTTTGATCTTCTCTAGCTACAATCGATGTGAACGATTTATTATAAAAATGCTTAAACTCTACAGTTTGCAAAGGAGTAGATAATTCGAAGTGTAAAATATGACCATTATCTGATGATAGACCATAAATATCATGATCAGTCATTGCAAATTGCGATATAGTTGGTTCAAGTAGGCAACTTTCATCAGGTAAATTTAGAAATTTTCGGAAAACTATCCGATTAAACTTCTTTCGTAATACTGATTTTAAATAATTATCCGATTGGAGGAAGAGAAATCCACCGTTTCTTATATAAATTGATGGAGATTTGATTTTTTCTATTGAGAGAAATTTAACTAATTCCTTTTGAGGAGAACAATCTTGATTATTATTATCTAATGACATTTCAGTTAGATTCAATGATTCTTTCGATAACAAATCATCAATTGGAGGTTTATAATTACGATTTTTCTCTGTTTTTTCTTGTAAAGCAACAGCAAGCGATACTCTTGGCGGTTGTTCTAGTATTAATTTTGTTTTTGGTAACATTTTTAAATAGGAATCCAATTGTTTCTTGTTTGTAAGAGTAGAATTCATATTGCTCATCATAGCATCCAATTCATGATTTTTCGTGTTATAAAATTCCCTAATCTTCTCTTTCAGTTTGGAAAACTCCTCTTGAAGCAGTTTATAGCCAGCAACTTCGTATTCTCCTATAGCTTTTATTAAAATATCACTATTTTCTGAATTGATGTTCTTTTGATCATTAAATGCCTGTTCATATGTTTTCATTAAGTTCGGTGAAGATTTACAAGGTATAATTCGACAATGCAATCCCGAATGATCTTGATTTAAACAATCTTCACAAATTGGTGGTGAATTGCAAGTTTTACAAAAAATTGGAGGAGAAATTAGTTCTTTTAGGTGTATTTTACAATTATGAATCATATCCTCTTCCAATGATTGCGTGAGAGAAGAAATTAAAAGATTCCTTGGAAAATTAATAACACCTCCGTTAGGAATTGTTACGTTTTGCCGACAAACTGGACATTTTATTGTATTATTCGTTTCCAAGTTCTCTAGACAATCAAGACAAAACGTATGCTGGCAAGGAAGTACCCTTGGTTTATTTCTCAGCCAAGATTCTAGACAAATAGCGCAGCTTAACGTTTCCTCATTAACAATTAAACGTCTACCTGCCATAATAGACTCTGACCAATCTTACGTGATACCAACTAACTTGAAGATCAAATCAAAATAACGAAAAAGACAAGAAATTCAAGAGAGTACTTGAAAAATTTCTATCTATTCCTTTCTCAGTATCAGCAGTTATTTTATATTGATTATTTGATAACTTACAATACATAGCAAAGTACAATGTCAATATTAGTCATACCCGACTATTTGAATAGATATGATATACATTTTTCATTAATATGGTATAAACATATAAAATCTTCTTTGGTTACTCCAAAAAAATGGATAATAATGACTCATTTCGAATTTCTTTAATTGTTCAGATTTTCCTTCTTTGTATTTGAATTAATTTCGCTTTTTCAATAGAATTCCCTATATTCGTAGGGAAATCATATTGAATTGAATATTGTAAACAACTTATTACAGAATGAATCTCTATAGCATTGTATTAATCTTCTATTTTTTCATTCAACAATATAATATCCCTTATGAAGAATGCTATCAATTTCTTCTCTTCCCATTACTATAAAATGACCATACTCTTCCACTAGTATAAATTTACGTTCATTTCTTTTTTCCTAAGGTCCAAATCAAGAAGAAAAGATTGACTAGATATGGAAGATTTTCTTGAGAATAATATTTTATCCTAGAATCATTTTGAATTGAAAGATAATTGGAAATTTAGCATTTTCATATCAAAATTACGTATAAAGTAAAATCTTTCGTCACCAACGAAAAATGAATTGGAATCACCTTCTGAGAATTTATTTTTCCTTAATCCTAATTAAATTATCACCAGAAAGATAATCAAGTTTCTTATCATGTAAAACATCCAATCCAATTGAAATAACTGGTAGTTGTTGTTCTTCAGATAGACGTTTCATTTTTGTATTTCAAATTCGTTCATGAATGAATTGTCTTTATCTCTTGTGCTAAATTTCACTCTTCTCTTTTAAGTAGGTTATCACATTTAATTCATTTAGTCTTTTTGTCCTCTCGAGTTCTGCTGCTAGGATAAGATATTCGACTCTTTTATTCTTATCTCTTTTCCTATTGCCGATCGACAATTATCAAATATCTCTCACATAAATTCATATATATAAGATAATATTCAGTTTTCCGTTTTTATGTTAGTTAATACGGAAAATAATCTGTCCATTTTCGAGGTCGAAACTTTTAATCAACCACTTTTAATTTCCTAAATGTTATCTCTTTTTATGACGAGATATTAAATGTTAATAATAACAATAATAATACTGCAAAACAGCAATGTACACGACTAATACAGTATATAAATTTGCAGAAAAGGTTATAAAATATATCCTTGATAGGATATTAACCCAATTAACAATTATATTTAAAGTATAGTTATTCTTAAGAATCTATACAGTATTATTACTGTATTTAAATTGAATATTGATTATTACAGTAAACTTCAAAAGTATCAATTGAATACAGAAAATTCTAGAATATCTTCAATTTTAATTTCGCATTCAACATTGAAAAGTTTTTATGAAAGTTTTCATTTTATAATAAATTTTATTAAATATTTTGTGTTTTATTTCATTTTTTAAGTAGAAAAGTTTAATTATATTCTCTTTTAAACATTTTATTTCAACTGATGGACGATATTCTACGTGATTTTTGGCAAGTTTTTCCTTAATTTGACGAGTTTTAAGTAAATAAATCAATATTTTACAGTCTTCTATATACAGTATATATGTTAAAAGAATAATATAGAGTTCTATATGGCTATAAAAAATTATAAATAGGCTAAATGAGACTGTAAAGATTACTGACATAGGCAAAACATATGCTCATTCTGTAGTAGTATTATTTCATATACGAAAAGTTTTAAGCATGAAACGACCTCTTTATTAACCTTTAATAAGCTTTATTTTATACAGGGCATCTGTACTAGTAATTATCTTTTAAAATTGAATATTTTAATATGGCTTCTACGAAATTTTACGTTAATGTCGATAAGCTTGAATGCGCTATTTGCGTCGAACCTTGGCTGGAGAAGAATCCAAGAACATTGCCTTGTCAACATACATTCTGTTTAAAATGTTTGCAGCAACTACGAGTAGTAGTTAATTGCTTAAAGTGTCCTGTTTGCCGTCAAGAAGCAAATGTACCTGAAAAAGATGTTACAAAATTTCCTAAATGTCTTTTAGTAAACGCAATAGAGGAAGATAAGGGTAAGGATGAGACCTGTTCAACACATAATAAGAAAGCGTTTAAGCCTCTGCTTTGCTGTAAGAGCTGCAAAAAGATAAATATTTGTATCGATTGTATTGAACTAGATCATTCTTTTGCAACCTGTTCGATTGTAACGCTTAATTCTCTTGAAATTGGTTTAAATAAGTTACGACAAACGTTTATGGCCGCAATACAAGATCAAAAGAAATTGGATTTAAAGAATAAAAATCTCCTATTGACAGACATTGAAAAGGCTAAGCAGACTTGCTATTTAGAGGTTGATAGCTATTTTGAAGATGCTCAGAAGAAAATTAAGAAATATTTCGATAAGAAAGCACTTAAATTGAAATTTAGCCCAAAAGAAAGAGATAATCTATTTGTAAATGAAAAAGAGATAGATAAAAAACTGGAATGTTTGTCAAACGATCAATTATCTATAATCAATGAACAAGGTCTTAAATTTCGTATTGAATTTGATTTTACAATTAATCAAGATACTGTTGATGCCTCATTTAAGCAACTATTTAGACTAGGTGGCGGTAGTATTACAGCAAGTGATCCTTATACATGTTGCTGCGTTACTAACGAAGGATTTTATCATTTTAGCTTTAACGAAACAAAAAAATTATTCCTTTTACCAAATTTCGAACCTGTTGCCAAGGCTTGCGATCTACAACTTGAGATATTTACCCTTGATAGGGATATTGATAAGTATATTATTACAGACAATTATATATTTGGTATAGATACGAGAACAAAATCACTTGTATTCTCAAGAAAACCATTCGATACACTTATATATTTTGAAGAAGTCGACTCAGCGAAAACTTCCTCATTAAGAGCAATTGAAGATATCTATGGACAAACTTATATTCTATGCTTTTCAATTGAAAATAGAGAATGTAAGTTTTTTATCAATAGAATTCACGAATGGTCAATTCTCAATTGTAAAGACGTTGGATGTATTCTAAATACTGGATATCCTATTGTCAAAACATGTGATAATAAATTAATTATGCTAGAAAAACGAACTGGTTTAGTACTCAAATCAATAGAATGTCCTGAAAATTCATTTATGTATGATTTCTCACCATACGGCATTTTGATGACGAGTGAAAGTGAAAAATATAAAAGTGATACCGTACTTTTCTTATACAACTACGATTTACATTTGATAAAGAAAATTGCCAAATTTAAAAGAGCACGTATACTTGGAACGTCAAAGATGAATATCTTTTGCATTTACTTTATAGATGATAAGAGATATAGATTTTATGAATTTAAATGAAAAACAGTAATGAAAGTAGTTTTTATCTTTTTCTTTTCTTTTATAAAAAAAAGTTCAGCCATTTTTATAGAATTTTTTTGACATATTTTTTTAATTAGTAAATTTATTAATTAATAAAAACATAATAAATTTTTTATTATATGTTTTTAATACAAAAAAAATTAATAATTTTAATAACAAGTATGGTTTCAATTAGTGTGGTTCTATTCTTTATCTTTTCGTACTTTTTTCTTTAACTATAAAAAGTATCTTTTCTAGTAAAATATGTTTTCTTTATGAAAAGTTATTAATAGCTTTTTTTAAATGATTAGACTACTTTAAGTAATATTATTAATAAATTTTTAAAGAAATTACTTTTTGGCGGATGGGCCTCTATTTGGCCTATCTTGGGGGTGACTGCGTGCACACCATTATATCGTAGACTTACACTGCTTAACTTAAAATAACAGAAGATAAAATAAGCTACTTTTCTGTTATTCAACACATTTCTACAGAACAAAAAGTCTTTCTTTCTATTAAAATATTCGTTTGAATATTTTAATTTTATAGGAATCCGAGAAAAGTGAGTTCTTGGCTTTAAACTAATATATAAATTTCTATTAACTATAACTGATTGACCTTAATGTATTTAGACTTTTTGGACGAAAGAATGAGTGACCGTTATACTATTAATAAAAGCGAACTTGTATGTGCAATATGCGTTGAATCCTGGGTCGAGAGGGATCCAAGAACGCTACCGTGTCAGCATACATTCTGCCTTGGCTGTCTAAAGCAATTAAAAACGTCACACTCGATCGAATGTCCCATTTGTCGTCGGAAAGTGAATGTTCCCAATAGGGATGTCAGTTTTTTCCCTAAGAGTTTGCTTTTAAGCGCTATTGAAAAAACGAGAACTGAGGATGAATTATGCTCTGATCACCAGAAACAAGCGTTCAAACCTCTTCTATCTTGTAAAACTTGTATGAAGACGAATTTGTGCAATGATTGTTTAGAACAAGATCATTCTGGAGATAGATGCTGTATTGTAACGCTAAGTTCGTTGCAAAACGGAATGGCATCTTTCCAGAACAAATTCAAAGCTTTGATCGACAAACAGAGGGAAAAGGATAAAAGAGCCCAACATCTTTTAGTTACTGAAATTGATCGAGTCAATTCAGATTGCCGATCGAAAATAGATTCATATTTCGATACTATGAGACGAAAGCTAAAGAAATATTTCGATAAAAAAGATAAAAAGTTGAAGTTCAGTGCCAATGAAAACGAGTTCTTGTTTTTGAATGAAAAGGAGATTGAGAAAAGGATGACAATTCTATTAAAAGAGCCACTACCAGTCATAGACTCTCCAACAATTTCGTATTCGAATATCATAAACTTTTCTTTATGTCAGAATATGGTTGATACTTCCCAGAAGAGTTTAGTGAAAGTAAAAGAACATGATTTCGTGATTGATCATGTTAACTCGTTTAGTGTTTCATGTGAAGGATTTTACTACACAATGAACAATCAGCTAGATATCTTGTACTACAAACCCTCACCAACTGCAGATGTTGCACCAATTTTTCTAGATAGAGAAGTTGGCAATTTTGTTGTAACGACCAACTTTATGTACGCTATAGATCATGGAACTGGTTTGCTTTTGAATGCTAAGAAGCCATTCGGGCATCGTATTACTCTGGAACTCTTTGATTTAACTAAAGCATGTGCGTTGAGAGCATTGGAAGACACGCATGGTCAAAGATATCTGATGAGTCATTTACCAGACGTAAAAGAATGTAAATTTTTCGTTCATGACCATTTTGAATGGTCTTTTTCCGAATGTAAAGATCTCGGTTGTCTTCTACACAATGGTTATCCTCTCGTTAGAACAACATCAGACAAGTTAGTGATACTTGATAAATACAGCGGGGTGCCAATCAGAAGTGTAGATTGCCCGCAGTACTCTGTTCAACACGATATCTCACCGTATGGTCTTCTGATGACAAGTGAAACTATTGTGAATGAAAGTTGGATGGGACTCTTTCTATTCGACTACAATCTAAACATGATAAGAAATATTGACAAATTCATTAATTGTAGTATTTTAGGAACAACGACGGATGGAACAGTTGCTATTTACTCTTTCGAACATAAACTACAATATTTCGAATTTCAGTAGTTTGCTTATTGTGGTGACATTGTTCTTGGTATGATATTTGTATAGAGTACCAACAAATTGAATAAATACGAGCAACAGTTGAAAAAAAGATGAAACACTTTGCAGCCGATAATTACTTAATTGTAAACAAGCATATTTCACTTGACGTGAGACAAATAAACCTGTTAATACTTGTTCCTAAAATTTTCAAACAAGCCATCAACTTTTCTCTTCTTTCGAACTTTTCATCGTACAGGTATAAATATTTTTCATCACAGCTATCTTGACATAATACCAAGTAGCCGTGAGGCTGAAATTCACGTATATCTTCTAAATTATCGATTTTATATGACTTTTTAGAATCTCCAGTAGACTTATCTAAAATCGATACTGTGTTCTCTGTCTCATTTCGAACTATAAGGTCACCATTGCACTTCATAGAAATATCAAGTAAAAGGGCTTGATGAATTTTCCAACGGAGTTTATCATTGAGAAATAAGTATAGATTACCTTCTTCGTCCCTAGCGCTTACATACCTTTGAAAAACTCCCGGTTCGTATGCCCTAAGTGATACGTACCTTTTCTCACTTACAACTGTAAATTTAACGGATCTTCCCAAAGGTTTCTGAGAAGTTAAAAGAAATCCTTCATCGGAAGATAAAGCATAAATAAAGTTGAAAGTCATGACAAATTTTGAAATATGTTTATTGAGTTCAATCTCTAATTCCGGAAGATTTCCAAACGTACGAAAGAAAATGTGATTAGAATTGTTGGGGTTGTTAAAGGTATCTAAGTAAAAAAATCCGCTTCCTCCCACTTCCAAAGACGATGGATTTATCGTTTCCATAGAGTTTAGCTTTATTAGTCTTTTATCGAATTGTGCAATATTCGATGAATTTGATTCATGATTGGTAATTTCATTTTCGGTTGATGAAATTCGAGGATTTCCATTTAATTGACCGTTTTTGTGTAAGATAGGATAAGCACCAAACAGATTTGGTTCTAGATTATAGCCGACAGGTCCTGGCTCTAAAACTAAGCTAAATTCCGATACATTTTTCAAAGATGTATTTGCTTGTTGCGATTCTTCTGATCTCTGTTTGAAGCGAACACTGCAAGAATCTACTTCACCTGTCGATAATTTATATTCAATCGATACTTTAGGTGTTTCTTTCATTATCATCTCGTTCTTTGATAGTTTTTCAAAAATCTTTTCAAAATCATCTTCATTTATCGACGCAATATTTAAACTTTCAACGCATTCGCCTACCATCTCACATTTCTTTGAATAAAATTCATAGACCTTAGCTTCAATATCACAGAATTCTTCTTCGATTTGTGCTATAGACGATAATCTATATTCTTTAACTAATTGCAATAACTCCTTTAGGGATTGCGAATTTTTATCTATTTGCCTTTTATATATATCATAACATCTGTTCAGCATATTTTTGAACGGTTCAAATGGAAGAATTTCGCATGTTGATTCTGAATGATCCTGCTGAAGGCAATCTTCGCATATTTCTAGAGTAGCACAAGTCTTACAAAACAGAGTGGGTTGGACTACTTTTTTGGAATGTTTGCAACAATCTTCTACTAGATTATCGGCTTCAGCCTTTAGTTGACATATGTTGCCTAAATTTTTCGGAAAATTTACCACATCACCCATCGGAACTATTATCTCACGACTGCAAGTAGGACATATAATAACGTTATTGATTACTAGACCTTGAAGGCATTGAACGCAGAATGTATGATGACAAGGCATTAGCCTTGATCCTGTCCGTAACCAAGAATTCCTACATATAGTACATTTCGAAGTATTATGAAATCTTTGGAAATCCATGGTAAAAAACGTAAATGTTTACTAAATAAAAGCTGTAAACGCAAAGAATCTAGAGAGCACTAAAATTGTTGTGAACAGTACTTTTAATATTAAAGAATTCCTTGATATTTATGAATTTTATCAGATATTCTCACTAGTTGTTTGATAAGATGTGTTCAAAACTAGTATTCACATTGATATTCTCAATTGTTAACTAATTGTTCTGATGACTCAGAAGATCACTAATTATAGATAATACCATTCCCAAAGCTTTTGCTGTTGCTGTCTTACTTTTCCCAGTTCATTAAATTTATGGATTACTAGTTTCCAAATATCTTTACTCCATTGATAAATACCTAACGTACGCCAATTAACCCTTTTTGGCCTATAAAAAAAGATTAAACAGATTAAAAAGAAAAAAGAAAAAATTTTAAACCAGATTACTTGTTACAGCCTGTACGTAAAATTAGTTATTAAAAAGATACAATAGTACATTTACCAAATGACAATAGTGGTTATTGACAGCCTATCCACAAGCAAAAAATCCACTTGCTTAAATTATTAGTAGCAGTTCATTTTTTTTGTTTGCTATTAGCTGTCAGTGGTTGTTGTGAATTCTTCGTTTTAACACCGTATAATATGGCAACTAGCAGCTTTGTGATAAATGAAAAAGATATTAAATGTAATATTTGTACGAAATCATGGATAGACAAAGACCCAAAGCAACTCGAATGTCAACATGTCTTCTGCTATAAATGTTTGGCTAAGACTCTTGAAGATAATGTTAGGTTGACTTGTAAAACTTGTAAACGTGTTACTGAGGCTACCCTAGGAATTAGCACACTCCCTAGCTGTAAGTTCTCACAGCTCTTCAAGACAAAAAAAGATGTACCAACTTGTGTAATACATCCTGCAATAGTACCACCCTTCTACTGTGAATATTGTAAAGCAACAAACCTCTGCGTAGAATGTATGAGGAAACATACATCAGATCCAAACTGTAGAGTTGCGCCCATGGCTGATTTACAAATGTTAGTTCGAATGATAGAGGAGGAAAGAGAAAATCAAGAGAAACAAGAAACAGCCATAAAAGGGATCATGCAACAAGAAAAAGAGAAATGTATTAAGATGTTGAATAATAAGTTCGATGAAATTCTATCTAAAGTCACAGACATATTCGAAAATAGACAAAAAGATTTGAAGCTTCTGTTGAGAAAAGAAAACTATTTCATGTCTGGAGAGGATTTACAACATCGCTTGAAGGAGCTTTGTGGACGTACGATAAAACCTAACATACAACCTAACATCACTCTTGATTATGAGTTATTTAATGACCATGATTGTATAGTTGAGAAAAATATTGATGATATGAAACTTGACTATATAAAGACCATACACACTGATCGAGATTGTCGATACTGGATGGATAATGCTTTCTATATTTGCCTAAGTACTGAAAAGTAACAACAGTTAATACTTAAAACTTTTGATAATACCATTATAAAGGAAATACCTTTACAGCAGTATTTTCTACAGTATGAATTAACAGAACACTACTTTTACGGTATAGCATTAGACAAACGTTTATACAAGTCATTGATAAGCAATATTAACGATTCTGTTGCCCTTGAACAAGAAAACTGCATTCTGACGTATAATTTTATATTGGCGGTGGAAGAAGATTCTTTGGGAAAAAGCTACGTTATAGCCAAGAACAAGGTTGGCGATCTCGATTTTTATATGGAAGGAAAATATATATGGTGTAAACCAGCCGTAGATATAAACGTTGTTTGCTTCCTTCCCTTTTGTAATGTACTTATACGACAGGGCAACTCCCTTTTAGTTATCAGCAAAGACAACGGTTCTGTTTTATACGATATACCATTCAACATTGAGATATTAGGAGCATTCTCAGTTCCAAAAATAGGTATCCTGCTAAGTTTAAAACGTGAACAATGCAATATGGTATATCTATACGATTTTAATCTGAAAAAACATAGAGAAATGAATTGTGAATGGAATATTCTAACAGTAACAAAATCTGGTCGGATTTTCATTAGAGAAAGTTCAACTAGCGATTTAGCCAAAATTTACAAGTTTAGATAAAATGACGTTTATTTTATTCTTTATATGTTAAATGCATAATTTTAGTTTGGCGTTACACATTTTCACAATTGTTTTTATCTATTTGTAACACCTTTTTGCACTGAGTTATTTTAACAATACAAATATGCAAATGAAAGAATTTCTCAACTGTTATATCTGTCTTTATAAAGTCTTAACAGAGATTTATAGTATTATTGATATAAGACAGTGAATAAAAGTTGGATAGTTTCCTAACAAAAAAATCAATTAAATGGCCAAAATGTTAAAGATTAATATTAGACGAAATCCTCTTTTTTTTTTATATGAGAATGATCTTTTAACATTAGAAACTAAGTTTGTAAATAATAATAAGTCAATACTACATTCACCTGTACTTAGCGTTTGAACGTTCATAATGATTTCTTCGCAACATACGCTTAATGAGGAGGATGTCGAATGCGCTATCTGCTTGGATAAATGGCTTGAAAAAGATTCTAGAGTGTTAGCCTGCCAACATATATTCTGTTTAAAGTGCCTTAGACAATTTGAAGATAACGGAGCGAATATTTCGTGCTCAATTTGTCGTACGGAAACGCCCATTCCAAGCGGAGGAGTAGAGAAACTCCCTGAGAAATTGATAAAAAACTCTTCAAAAAAAGTTGAAAATAATACTAGACTTTGCTTAAAACATGAAAGAGACGCTATTCAACCATACATCTATTGTAAATGTTGCGAAACTAGCAATCTATGCGAAATTTGTATTGAAAACGATCATCTAAATGATAATTGTGAAATTTTACTGGAAAAATCACTAAATGAAATTAAACAATCAATTGAAGAATACAAAGATAATGAAAAATTAAATATGCAAAAATTAATGGATGAAATTAGGGAATTAGAAGAAGATTGTTATAAAAAGATAACAGAAAGATGCGGAGAGATAAGAGGAAAGATTAAAGAATTTTATCAAAGGAAATATACAGATTATGATTATTTAAAATCAAGAGAAGATATTCTAACAAAACAAAACGATTTAACTAATCGATTAAAAGAATTGGAAAAGGAAAAATTGAATATTCATAAAACGGTTAATATATCAATTGAATATGAATTCAACGTAAATATGTTAGAAGATTCAGAATTGAAGAAAAAGAAACTTGTTTGTCTTCGACAGTTTAAAATACAAAATTCATTTCTGTATTTTAATGAAAGGGGATACTATTCCACAAAGAACGTTCACAAAAACATGAGTATTATATATAAAACCTTTGAAGATGGAAAGGATAATAATGAAATTCTTGTACAAGGTTTTAAACAAAGATTTATGACGGATAGATACTTTTTTGGAATAGCTCAAAATGATGGACGATTATACGTTTCCCCAACAAATAGCCTCGATAAATTACAATGTTTAAGAGTAAATGAATGCTATCTAACGTATAGATCAATATGGGCTGTTGGAGAAGATCTTTTCTCACAAAGTTATATAATTGCCGAGAATATGGTTGGAGATTTGGATTTCTTTATTGGAGAAAAATATAAAAGAAGCTTTTCCGGAAACGATATTTCTAAAATATGTCTTTTATCAAATGGTAATATAATAATCCAAAAGATCAATGAACTATTAATGGTAGATAGAGAAACTAATGAAATATTAAAACGAAGTGAAATCTATGGTTTTAAAAATATGTGTAATTTCCCTCAAACTGGATTATTAATTCTTTTACAAAATAAAGAAATGTACTTATACGATTATAACTTTCAAAGAGTACAAAAAATGGAATGCTATCCATACGTTTTGGGTATTACTAACACTGGGTGTCTATGCATTCCCAAAGGAATACCAGTGAAAGAGGCTATGATTTATAAATTTGAATAATTGTTATTTTACTATTTTACTGGATAATTATTCATTCGTAAGAAGAACTTTGGCATTTTGTTTGTATTTGAAATTTAAAGGATTAAAGTTAATTATCTAATTACATCATCAAAAAAATGTCAAAATTATCATTAAAAAATCATTTATTATTGATTAATAAGGAAAATAGTAAAAAATTGATTCATTTAAGAACTATAAATGATTTTATCGGCTATGGAATATGTATGTCTGTACAAGGTTTCTACTATTTCGCTTATTTTTCAATGAAAACTAAAACCATAATCTATCAACCTTACTGTCAAAATGAGGAAATTAGAGAAATTTCCTTCAACACTGATATATCTGATTTTACTGTAACAAGAAATTATATTTATGTTAAAAGTTATCCATTAAATTTACTATTGTATGGTAAACTTTCGTACGGAACTTTAATTCCATTAATATCAATGGAATATGTAATAAATAAACTAATTACGGCAATAGACATAAACGACATAAATGAAAGATATTTGTTAATAATGAAGGAATATGATAATTTATATTTCTTTAAAAATAATCTACTTGTATGGAGAAACAACGATTTTAATCATATTTGTAATGCTTCTATATGTAGTAACGGAAATGTAATTGTAATGCAAAGAGACTATAAATTAGTTATAATCGATAGAAATAATGGTATTAAATTAAATAATATTTGTTATTATTCTTTTAATCAAAGCTATGTTCGTATAAATTGTCTTCCTTCTAATAATTTTCTCTTATTAACTAAAAATAAAGCGAAGAATTCAAGTAAAAACAATGAATTGTATTTTATAAATAAAGGAAATTTTAGACAAGAGAAATTATTGTTTAAAGGTGAAATTAAAGATGTTTATTGTTCAATTAGTAATAATTATATAATATTAAGATATAAGTCATATAGTCGACTGGAAATTTGTAGAATTGAATATGAATAAACGGCTCTTCTTGTATGGGAAGATGGAAGTTGTTGTATGTTTTGGTGGGACATTTCATAACGTCTATGAGAAATGCAAGATAATCATCGGAATTTAGAGTTAGTACCCCTGTTTCCTTCCTCTGAATAAGAGGTGAAGACAAAGTACCTGACAAAGTTTATTAAAATACAAATATGTATCTGTTCAACATTCTATTCAAACATACCAATTATAATATACTAATACAGTTTCAAATTGCTTCCTTTTAACATCATTTCAACTTCTCTACCATCAATTTCTCCCTTTTTTTCTCTAATGAAGCTTAACGCCAAATCTTGAATTCTTGAAAACAATGTTAAAATAGACAAAGATAAATATTCATCACGAAAACAACTATTGTGACATTAGCATGAATAATATCCCTCTCGCGTAGGTAGTTTAAGGTAGATGAAATATTCATCAGAAACTCTTCTTTGTCACTACATCCTCCCTATTTTAACATTTGTCTTAGATCAAATTCTGTAATCTCATAAACAGCGAGTTGCTTCTTAGCATGACCAGAAGAAAAAGGATAAGGATAGTTCAAAAATTATGGACATGATACAAACATTTAATTGGAATCAAAAAATACTCTATCCTTCCAAATTTTGCTTTCAATATCATTTAAAGTTGCCATCTTTTTCATTCTGTTCTTCCTTCTTGGATTCTCTTACAACAAATACATTTGAATATTTTCCGAAGGAAAGTTCTTTGACAATCTTATAATTCCATATTTCCATTCCAATATTGCTTGAACACTCTGATTTATCTTCATTATAAGTAATATCATCAGTATCCTACTATGAAATTTTGAGTTCTAGTTAATTTTTATACTCAACTGCTAAATAAGTCAATATGCTTCTAATGAATGCAATGTATATTCTAATGAATAATAAATGCTTAACGAACTCTACTTTATCTTTAATCTTATACCGATTAAAAACGGATTAAGCACAACTAACCTCTCTTTTTTCAGTCACCCAAAAAAAGACGCTGTATCTTTTGTTGCTTAAAGATAAAAGTAGAATGAAGTAGTTGTACTATGTTCACGAAATTTTTCACATTCAGAGATTGTTTATGGATAGTGTTGATCAAGTATGTCTTCGAATAAAAGTAACAATATAATTATAAAATATCAATTCAATCATGAAAATCATCTATTTATATTGGAAAATATCAAAGTAAATTTCAACTAAATCATATAATAGAGAAAAATAGTGAAAATATGGTTATTTTCTAATTGTCCAATCACAGTCAACTATTTCATTTTTTTCCATGTGGTTAGCAGAATTTGGACATTGCATCATACCACTCTAAAAATTTGCTAAATGTCAACTTCAAGGTATTTCTTTAACTTTTTAATGTAATCTACCATATTTTTTGATTAAATAAAATATACAATTTGATCGAAATTGTTTTATTAAAATCAAAATTTTTATTAGTTATTATCCATTTTTTTTGTCTAAATATTATCGTGAAATATTAAAATTTTAGTTGGGGAATATAGGACCAGATTATTCCAATCATTGGGCGTTCAACGTGCCTTACAGAGAACTGTTTAGGTAAATAGCTTAATAGAATGAATGTATATATTAATTTTAGGATATTTTCTAGGAAAAATTAACATAAATGACGAATATCAGTTTCTTTTTCCAAAAGATATGACTACTACTCAGTATACGATTGATTCAAGCGACTTGCAATGTGCGATATGTTTAGAACCGTGGGTTAATAAGGACCCTAGAATGCTTCCCTGTCAGCATACTTTTTGCCTTTCGTGTCTTATTATTCAGGAGAAGGATAACAAAATTGTTTGCGCTATCTGCCGTACACCCCTTCTTTTGCCTGAAGGAGGAGCGCCCCATCTGGCTAAGAATATCTTTTTCAATCGTATAAAAGAGATAAGAAACGAATTAGATATTTGTAAAAAACATGATAAAGAGCTGTTAAATCCTACTTTCTTTTGTAGAACATGCTGTACTAGAGTATACTGTTTCGATTGTCTCCAATTAGATCATTCTCTTTCAGAATGTAGAGTATTTTCTCACGAAGCCGTTAAGAAATTGAACATAAAATGCTTTGAAACGATTAATCAGCAAAGAGAAAATAATACTAGAAGTTTAGAAATGATTCTGGAAAAATTCACAGAACACAAGAAATCGGCTCATGAATTGTTAGATAAAAAATATAGGGAAACCGAAATGAAAATAAAGGAATACTTTGGAAATAGGGAACATGAGTTATGCTCTTTTATCGATCGAACAGATGATATATTTGTTAAGGAGAAATTGTTCAACAACTATTTAAAAAAGATTTCAACGGAAAATATTGTTATTGACGAAACACAAGAGTTGGCCATAGACCATTATATTCGCGTAATAGATAAGGCTAACAATACTTCTATTGGACCATTTAAGAGACATCTTCTACGTTTAAGGGATGATGAAAATATTTCCGGTTCTAGAGTAAGTCTATCATGCAACGGAACTTATTACTTTTCTGATACAGGCTTATTCCAAAAAGTGCTCAATTTTCAAACATTCACCAGCGAAGAAAACTATTCTATTCAAATGAATTTGGAAGCGTCTGATGTTTATGTTACTAGAAGTTATATATTTGCACTTAACGCAAATAGTAAACTCTTATACTGTGCTCAGAAAAATAATAATTTTATTACCCTAGAGGAATACGCCAACGATTCATGTAAGATACTGTCAATTAAGCAAAACGTTCACGATGTTAACGTATTGGTTATGAAATGTTCTAATGAGCTTTGTCAGTATGAAAATAGTGATTTTCTATGGTCAAAGCAAAATTATAATGATCTGGTAGATGCTACCCATTTTGAAAATGGAAACGCTTTAGTTGTATTAAAAAGTCATATGCTAATAGAACACGAGTTTAGAACTGGTAATCAAATCAGAGCTTTTCCTTCTCGCGGTCTGTGTCAAATTACTTCAATAAGTAATCAAGGTATTTTACTTTTATTTGAGAATAAAGAAGATGGTAGAGATGACAAAAAGATCTTATATTACGCTGACGAAAATTTTAGTCAACATAAATTACTGGATGGAGATATAGAGAGAATTCATTCGACAAGAGAATCTAATCATGTTTATGTAAAATTCGCCTCGACTGATGCATTATGTATATTCAAATTGATATAAAATTATAATTGGAAATATTCAGTTGAATTATGCGCAAGTTGTATATCTATTTATATTGTTTGTATTAACTGTAAGGAGGTTGTTAATTAAATAAATATTACAAGTTAGTTTAATTAAAGAGAATGGCCGATAAAAGAGATTGTATTAATTATTCCTTCTTTCGTTTAGTTTGAAAAATATCGTATACTTGTACCATTCGAAAATCGTATGAAATTCTTAATGAGTACATTAGATTTATGTTAATGAAGGATATATGATTGTATAGTAACTTAATTGGCATATATCACAATTGTAGAAGGAATATATATATGTATTAGTAAATACACTGTATATTTCTGTAAATACAAATGAAAGATTGCGAAACGAAAATAATACAGTGTCCATAGTTAGGACTCCGTAATGTATTTGTAAATTGATAGGCTCAACAAAAATATTCTCCGGGCAGAGATATCAACAAAAACCCACTGGAGCTGAAATTTGAATGAATATTTTCATTAAATGATGGTTAACAAACAATACTCTTCGATTATCAATTAGATTTCTACTTATCGATTTTTGATATGACTAATCATCAATATACTATTAAGCAAGAGGATTTAGAGTGCTCAATTTGTCTCGGCTCATGGGTAAATAGAGATCCAAGAACTCTCCCCTGTCAGCATACCTATTGTTTCGATTGCATTCAGTTTATCGAGCAATTCGATAGGATCACTTGCGCTCTTTGCTGCAAAAGGATACGTGTTCCGGATGGAGGTATTGAAAACCTACCAAAAAATCTCTTTGTGAATAAATTGGCAGAGGTAAAAAGTGATCACGAAGTATGTAGAAAGCATAACAAAGAGGTGATAGAGCCGATATTCTTTTGTAAAAAATGTAATATAAAAGTGTTATGCTCCCGTTGTATTGAAGAGGATCACCTGGATATTGATTGTAATCTTATAGCTCATAAAATTATCAAAGACTTGAATCAGAAATGCAAAAATTCAATAGATAAACAAAGGAGTATTGATAAAAAGAATATGAACAACTTATTAAAAAAAGTTGATAATCACAAAAGAAATTGTTATGAAATTTTGGAAAGAAAATTCAATGAAATTGAACGAAAAATACGAAAATATTTCGACAAGAGAGAAGTTAATTTTAATAATTTCTATTTGGAACAAGAAACAATATTTACTAAGGAGAAACAATTGAATGATTACTTAGCAAAGTTATCGAAAGAGGAGTTAAGTGTAGACGAATTACCTGAGATAAGTATCAATTACGATTTAAAAATTACCGATCTTCCTAATCTATTACAAAACTCGAAACAAAAGACTCTAGTGAATTTTGGAGACAGAGAAATATTCTTTGGATCTAAAATTCATATGACTATCGATGGTATATACTTTTTAGCGTATTTCTCATTAGAAGATAAAACTATTCTCTTTAAACCATTTTCTGGAGGAAAAAATCGAGAAATTCACTTTAATAGAGAAATTTCTGATTTTACAGTTACAAGAAATTATATTTATATATTTTGTAATAACGTTCATACTTTATATCTTTCTCGGATAGTTTTTGGAAAAATATCCATTTTGGAGGTAATATCTGAAAATATTTTGAAATTATTCTCTGCTGTTGAAAATGAAAACAATGATACATTTCTATTAGCTTTGAACGAAGATAATGATCTTTGCTATTTTGTTAATAATGAGATAAAATGGAAGAAAGATATTATTGAAAATCTTTCGGATGGTTGTATCTCTTGTAATGGTAATCCTATATTAATTGAGGATAAGAAAACTTTAGTAGTACTCGATAAGCGCAATGGTGAAACAATAAGAATAATTCAATGTCCAGGATTTATTCAAATGAGCCCCGTACCTTCCAATGGTCTTTTAATATTATATCATAAACGTAATAAGCAGAAAATCTTGTATCATTTTGCAGAAGACCATTATCAGCAAGAGTTGTTTAGAGGAGATGTTATAAATTTCTATGCATCTAACGAAACGAATAATATTATTTTCAGAACTGGATCATTCAATGAAATTCAGTTATGTAAACTGGAATAAAATTGACTTTCAATTGGTACTTTCTATATCCGTCTTCGTCTTCATCTCTTCGCTGAAACGTTCCCAAGTTTTTTAAAAGATGAACCTTTTATTATATTGTTTTTGTTTGTTTTCACTGTTTATCATTTTAATATTTTCTTAGCAAGCAACTTTTTTAGATATTTTACTACGAAAATGATTAAACTTACGTAGTGAATTGTTTGTTTATTTGTTTTTTTAATATTGTTATGTTAAAGTAAAAAATCATTCATTACAATAAAAAGAAAGTAGTCAATTACAATTAGAAACAAAACAAATCAAGTTACTAGTACGAATAGAGTTAATCGATATGCAACCTTTATAGACTATATTAATGGGACAGGTTATTTAAAAATAGCTAAATGCTACTGATACTAAAATGGCATTTCTTATAAATTTTTGATAATGACAATTAAAATTGGATTTTTTCTCAAGATAGAGATTATCTAATCTTACTTATTTTTTCTTCCTTGTTTAGTGATAACGATCGAATAAAAATTTATTATCTAAGATATATTTTTAATTAAGTTCTCGTTTTAAACGAATTTGAAAAGGATTAGAACACATTTATCAATTTTTTATTGATGAATATTGCAAGGTTAAGATACAATTAAGACAAAATGATTACGTATCAATAAAGATTAAAGAGTTCACGCTACAAAAGACTAAGTATGCATTCATAGACTAAAACAGATTTCTCTGTTGACTAATATTAGATTATAATAAATAAAACTTCTCTGTTCTATTTCTACTTTCATAATCTGAATAATTTCATTCTCTTATCCGATCGAGCTTTAATAATTAATTCATTTGAATTTGCCGATGTAATGAGGTTCTGAATATCGGCATTAGCAAGCAACTTCATCTCAAAGGTTTCATCCATAAAGTGCAATGATATTTTATCACTCCGCTTAGTAGTATCAAATAAGCGTAGCAAAAATCCATTTGAAGGAAGAGACCAAATATTTGCGAAAGTCTGAAACTCAAAGGCTTTAAGTACGTTTCCAGTATATCTATCAAACACTATTAATGAACTTTTATTATCATTATCCGTAATGATTACAGGAAAGCCAGCATGACTTATACACGAATCATAAACATCGAAATTGCTTTCTAAAGTCCATTTTAGATTGTTATTCTCAAAGAAGCATAGTTTACCTTCTCTATTAGAACAGAGAATAAAGTATTCCCCTAAGCATTTTTCAGTTGCAGAATATAGGCTGTCGATAGATTGACCAATTTTTGCAAATTCCAAACGAGGCTTAGGATGTGGAAATGGATTTTTAGACATACTTAAAGTGTACGATGATTTTTGTCGGATAAATACGTAATTACTTGTTATAACAAATTCGCCTGCGTCTGCTGTCATTCTTGTCTCTTGAATATCTAGATTTGAAAACGAATAGTAATTGAGAAAAGTATCTCTCTTTTGCTTTTTGATAGTGTACATTGCATTGTTGCATAAACCAACTGGAAAATCATGAACTCTGCTAAGTTCTCTCACAAGTGTCAATTTCTTTGGGGTTCTCGCCTTAGCGCCAAAACCGGCATGTATCTTAATAGCATATTTAACATCTAACATTGGTTCTAGAGAGAAGGACATTCTCTCTGTTGATAGCAGGCAAAGGTTACTATTCAATGATTTTCTGTTACTGTATAATTCATCAATATCTTGAATAAGGTTAGAGAATGTATTCTCTCTTTTCTTAAAAAAGCTTTTAATTTTTTTCTCCATTATTGAAAATTTATTCTCTAATTCGGTAAAGCATCTCTCTTTATGATTTTTAAGGTCTTCCAAGAGCTCTGCTTTAAGATCACAGTCAGTGCTTCTTAGTTTTGCTATTGTTTTTTCACAGTCCTGCCTCGCTTCTTCGACAGGTTCGTACGATATTACATTGCAAGTTGATCTAGTATGACTATTCAGACATTCAACGCATTGCAATTTCGTACTGCAAGTTTTACAGAAAAGGATAGGATTACTTTCTTCTTTAAAGTGTTTGAAGCATTGTTTCACCGAAATCTCATCAATGTCCTTTGGAAAATCTGTAAGACTATGCCTTGAAAGATCATCAGAGGATTTATCATCATCAATACAGATGGGACAATCCGAATCTTCATTTTCTCCAAGACATGAAGAACATAGCACATGTTTACAATCTAGACTTTTAACGTTTTTGCCACTCAAAGACTTCTTGCACGAGTCGCAATTTTCATTGGCATTCATTATTTCACTATCAGACATAATTCTTCTCAAGTCAATCTATTGCTATTGAATAAAAAAATCAACTTTACCAACTTTACAGACTTATTTCTCTTTCAGGACGGGATATTAAGTGATTGAAAACTTTAAAATGGTCAACTAATATAGGGAAAATATTTACATCATCTTACGCTGATAAGTAAACACTTTATCATATGATAAAAGCCATAGATAATATCAATAGATGTTTTCTAGATTGATCTTCTTTTTTAGAATAGCTTATCTTGGAAGAGATAAGTTAACTGTTAGCCAATTCTTTCTCTATATCAACAAGATAATTAGTTGGCAAGGAAGTATAAAATTTTTTTATATCTTCTATAACAATTTTGAAATTACCTAAAAGAAATTCAATTAAATCGTAAACATCTTACGAAATCATGAATAGGTTTATTAATAAGAAAAATGAATTAATGAATCTTAACACAAGATAGAATCTATTCTAATTTAAAAATTTGAATTTGATTCGTTCTTTCATCTTTTACCAATAGCTTATTAGTAGTAGCTAATCCAATAGCTTTATGTATATTATCTTTATAAATAACTTTTTGATTATATAGTTTGTCAATAAAGAACAGGGATTTTTCATTTCTGTCGTTATCTTCCTTCACAGTTAAAATCATAGCATTCGAGGGAACAGCGCATATACCTGAAATGTTTTCGTACGCAATGATTCGCAATTCATCTCCATCCGTTTTGCTGAGTATCTTGACAATATATGATTCGTCAAGAACAATACAATTCTCATTACTCAGTATACAACCCTCGCGAATATCACTATACACACGTTCTATATTCCATTTCTTTATGTTATCGTGATAAAAGCACAGACTACCGGAAGTATCAACTAAAAGTAGATAGCTTTCTTTCTTTTCATTCTCAATAGCCGCAAACAACTTGAAAACATCGGAGACAACCTCTGTAAACTTGATTAAACTTCCAAAAGGTTTTTTCGAATACATTAAAGTTATAGGTTTAGTAGCAAGAGCGTAGATACCACTTGCGGTTATCTTAAAATCAATTATTTTTGTACTAAGCTCGTATTTTTGAGTACTTCCGCCAAAAGATGGTTTAAAATATAGAAAGGAATTACTTAAGGTAAATCGATCGAAATAGTAGATTCCATCGTCGCAAAAATATTCGCTACAGCCAGTAAAATGTTCGAATTTTGATAAGAACTTCAGGTTACCACGAAGACCATCAGGCGGATTTCTATAATCATCCTCTCCTATTTCTTGCAGATCAAATTCAATAAAGAATTCTGGAGCTCTCTTCATAGTTATATACTTGGATATATCTTTTTGTAGGTAGTTGTCTATTTTTTCCTTTATACTACCAGGTTTACTACGATATTTAGTAACTTGTAGTAAATATTCATTCTTCTTCGCGTAAAAATCTTTTATTTTCTTTTCAACATTGTCAAAATAGCTGTCCATCTTAATTAGACATTGGTTCTTGTATTCTTGTAACTTTGAAATTTCCTTGACGATTGCTTCGTTATTTTCCAACTTAATGGTTCTAATTTCATGAGCAAATTTCTTATACCTTGATTTTACGATTTCGTATCGTAGAATTTCGCAATCACTTGTATTGTGCTCTTGAACGAGGCAATCTTCGCAAAGTATTTTCGTGTAGCAGGTATCGCAGAAGAAAATAGGTTTAATTAAGTTCTTTTTATGCTTTGGACAACTAACTTCAATTTCCTTTGATTCTAAATCAGATGCTTCACAGATCACTGGGCTTAGAATATCTTCAGAACAATCCATATTTTGGTATTATTTTATATGCTAATTCAAGTACCTTCTCTTTGTAATTTTTTTTTAATAAAAAAAAATATCTTTGAAAATTTTCAAAATGCGCATGCGCAAAAAGTCGCCATATTATCAAAATTCACTTATATAAAATTTCGAAATTATTGAGATAAAGATACATTACATGAAATATTTTTGAATTTATATATTAAATAAATATTGAATTATTAGATGTTTAAGTTATTTTTTAATTGTTTAGAATACAATATTTAAACTTTTTATTTGTAAATTTAATCAAAGTTTTAAGTTTTATCGTTATGACTGTTTTGAGGTATAATTTTTGGCATAGTGATTAGTTTCGTATCTCAAAATCACGCTTTCACCTACGTAACTTTTTTAAATGAGAGTATGGTTTCCATGGTAACAAATTATTTATTTTTAGAACTTTTCGTTTTTGGAATATTATTCCACTTTTTATAAAGTAAATCGATTTTGTACGTTATTATTCATGGCACAAATGAAAAGAGGACTGATAGATTTCATTAAAATTGGATTAACGTCGATACTAATTGATTTGTAGTGTGATTTCTACTCTACAGTGATCTTGACTCTAAGTGGCTTCCTTTTGTATTTGTATTTGTTATTTTGGAAAACCAATATGGATTCTAATGAAATTGTTAAAAGAGTGAAGGGGGAAAGGGATTAAGAAATACAGATATTAAATGAGTTGCAGTTCTTGCAATAGATTCTTGACAACTTCTCCCTCTGTAAACTTTCTATCTCAAGTGTGAGGAGAATGGATTACACGATTTAATAGTAACCCTCATATTTGCTTAGAAATACATTTCATTATCAAAGGCTTTTATACAAGAAAGAATTATAAAGAATTCTTTATTACTTTATTAGCACTCAAGAGCAAAACTGCAAAATAATTCTATTACAGTGAAAACTATTACTTTTAAGAAAATGTTTTATTTATTAATAAACATCTATCACTGAAAAACACTAAAATGAATAGAATAAAGTCTTATATATAGGTTTCTTATGAATATAAAAGAAAATTTTAAATATTAAATAAGTTAAATGTAGTATAATTAACATTTCTAGAGAATATAAAAGACAAAACAAATGATGATTCATCTTTTAAAGACGTGGAATGCTTGCTAGATTAAACTTTAAATAGAATTGATTTATTTACAGAGACTATAATAAGAAGATTTTCTTATTTATCAATTCACGCTTTGATAAATAACAAAAATAAAAAGTGACAGTTTCGAAAAATCTTAAGAAATAACTCTTTAATCATTCTTAAGGAAAAATCAATCAAAACGGCCAATCTTTTGACTGCAATTGTTCTTATATTCATTTCTTGTCAGACTAGTCTGGTGAATAACAGGAGATAGTGAGGAAGGGGGACAACAAGTTTTGGATTTTATCTCATTTTTCTTCTCTTCCAATGCATTCTGACCTTATTGTTTAATTTCTCTAAGGAATAAATATATCTATGAGAATACAAGATGGCCTCTTTTCATTTTTCCGATAGTGATGAAGATAATGAATGCGAAATATGCGGCGACACGTGGAACGAAGAAAATTTAAAGAGACTTCCATGTCAGCATTCTTTCTGTCTGGAATGCTTGCCAGATATCCAAACGGATAGTATGATAACATGTTCTGTCTGTAATCTGAAGGTGGAAGCTACTAAGGAAGACAATATCGACTTGCCAAAAAATTTGAAAACCTTATCTACGGAGAATGACAATAAGGATAAAAAATGCTTGAAACACAATAAGGATTTAGTCCTACCTTTGCTTTTTTGCTCAACATGTAGAACAAAACTAATATGTGAAGGTTGCTTAGATATTGATCACTTTACGCCTGAATGTAAAGTAATAACGTATAATTCAATAAAGAAAAGAATTGAAGAATGCAAAGATGCTATAAATAGTAACAAAGATGCCGCAACTAATAACGAAAATACTCTTTTACAAAAGATTAAAGAATATAAGATGGCATGCTATTCGAAAATTGATGCAGAATTTCAAAATATGGAAGAAAAGGTGAAATACTTTTATAAAAACAGGCAAATGATTTTGAATTATTATCTTGACGACGTCGATAATAATACTATTGATAAGATGGAATTAGAGAAGAGTCTAATGAAATTATCCCAACAGACTTTAGTTATGAAAAAGCCTCCAGAAGTATCTTTAGCATTTGAACTAGAAGCTAATTTTTCCGAAGATTCTATTGTTAGTAATAATAGCTTTAGTAGAGACCTTATTAAATTGCAAAAAATTGACAAGTGGTTATCTCTCACATCGTTTATCACTAATGAAGGAATCTATTATCTTCGTGATACGTGTTTTATAGCGGAAAGTAACGATTTCCTATATTTCAAATCATTTTCTGATCTCTCCAATTTAAAGATACCATTGAATAGGGACGTCAATGCATTTTGTATGACAAAAAATTATATATATGCAATAGGTGGATTGAAATCTTCTGGTGGACCATTACTCTACAGTGAAAGGACATCTCTTCAAAAACAATTTAACTTTAAAATATTAAGTGAGAAACAGTATTTTTCATTGAAAGCTATTGAATGTGAGAACAATCAAAGATATATTATTGCCAAGGATATCGATCAAACTATTTCCTTTTTTATAAATGAAAAATTCAAATGGAAATTTTGTTCTCCGTTAGCAAAATTTTTTATACAAGGAAACGGTAATCCTATAATATGTACTCAACAGAGAAAAATCTTAACATTCAATAAAAACACAGGCTCATATTCAGAAGATAATTTTGATTTTTCACAAGAAATACAAGATATATATGATTTTTCACCAAATGGAATTCTAATCTTATGTAATGAAAATACAAGTGACAAATCTACAAGACAATTATACTTATTCGATTATAATTTTAATATAAAACAAAGACTTATTACTTGTAGAGAATTTTTAGGTGCAACAGATTCAGGCCTAATTTGTGTTTCATGTTTCGGGAATAATACTGAAATAACCTTGTTTAGATTTAGTAAACAATAGTTTATTAAATTCAATTGTTTTTTTTTCTTTTCAGGCTATTAATACAAATTAAACAGTAAAACGATACTCAATATTAGTCACTTGTTAGTTAGATATCGATTATATTAGATAAATTAATAAAGAGAGTAATATACTTGAAAGAATTTTCTATTATAGAAAGAATATTGACATATAATATGATAAAGTAGGTGGATATAGTTGAATATTCAAGATCGCGCATGTTATAAATATTGAATAAATAACAAAGCAGAAACAGAAACCGAAAGTAAATTTTCCATTTTCTACCAATTATATAAATGACATGGTCTTAATATAAATATTTAGTTTAACAATGTCGAATAAGGCTGTTATAAAGGTGAGTATAAAATATATGTTAAAATAGATTTAAATATATCTTAATGATGTCCATCTTTCGTTGATATTGTGAAGTTTGTCAATACATCGCAAGAAAATATTGATGATTTAAAGATATATCTATCAATATGCCTAAAAAATAAATTGGAAATCGTTGACATGGAGATAATAGGACTTGTTAAAGTTTTAGTTACATTTTCGGGAACAATTAGTGAATATTATTATTATTTCAATATTGTTACCTCTAACTAATAAGACATATCTCTTTATTTTTTCATATAGAAATTGGTATGTTGATAAGGGGAATGAATTTGAATTCGTGTCCTTCACACCTTATTAGTCCTGATAAGTCCCGATTAATTGTTGAAGAATTTAAACCTATGTTCGAAGAAAATGAAATCGCAACCATTCCGATTGATGAGACGGTTTTCTGTCTCTTATTGAATACTAAATTACCTATTACTGGGACTGATTTCAAATACAAATTGAAAAAGGATCATATAGTACTATTTGGAGATGAAGATCTAGTTGAAGAAATGAAAGATGAGCTTGAAGAATGTTTAAAATCCATTGTGATATTACAATTAGGATTACCTTTTATAGATGAGAAATTAAATAACATAATACTCTCGCTTATAAAGTCCAGTCAGTTTAATAATGAAATTGCGATTAATCTCAAAGAAGGACATTTAATTGGTTGGAAAAAGACAGATGTTAGTTCTTGCTATGAATTTATTAAAGATAATCTAGAATTTAAAGAGTTTGATATGGATGAAGTAGAACATTTTGATGAAGAAGCATTAGTTTCTTATAATAATTTAACAGCCCTGAAATATAGACTAGTATTTAAAACTGACTCTAATATTATTAAGATAGGTGGTGTGAAAGAATCTTCTCTTTGGAAGAATATCTATAAAGCGATAAAATTTCTAATTAGATACTCAATCGAAGATGATTTGATTCTAAAAGTCTTCAAAGAATTCTTTTTAGAAGAGATTAATGAAGAACTGAATTGTGAAACAAGCATTAAAGGGAATGATTTAATTATTCAAAAGTGTAATTTCCACAAATCTGAAGTCATTTTTTCTTTAAGAAAAAGAGAAATGAATATTCAGCAGGATCAAATTCTCAGAAAACATTATGGTTTGTATTGTGCAATATACGAATAATTTGCCGAAATATTGATATTTTAATACTTATAGGCTTAAGTGAAGTATTATTAACAAATCCTGCAAAGAATAAGTTAAAATCAATTGAAGAAAGCTGCAAATGTATAATTTCCATTGACAACGTTAATAAAGAATCGGGTATTACCCAATATTCAAACTCTAATTCCGCTTATAATACTAAAATAAAATTTCTACTTAACAAAGACGTGAATTATAACAAAATTAAGGTTAAACACAAATAAAAACTATTATCTACCAGTTTATTTATTTTGTTTTATTCAGATTTTAGCAAAACGCGTAGATTTTAATCAAGAGAAATACATTGAAGCTTATAAACGGCTTTGTGATGATATGCGTTGTTTATGTCTGGAAAACAATTATTATTTGTTCTATAAGTTTGAAAAGGAAACTTCTGAAACTAAACTAATAAATGTATAAGTATCTTTTTATTATAAATCTACATATATATTGTAAATTAATTATTGGTTCTTTTATTAGAATTTCCGTAAAACATTAAGAGACATTTTTAAATGGGTAAAAAATTTTCGAGAAGACTCTGTAGCCATAGAATTACCTAAGTTGAAAATAATTGGAAACGAGAATCTTATTAAAATGACGGGTGTACTAAATGAAGAAACTAATTGTTTTGTCTCTTCCTACGATAAAATAAAGGTTCATTTTATTATTTCTTTCGTTTAATTAGTATTAAATATGTTTTAATTTATAGAATATTGTAATTGTTTGTGAAAATCAATGGATTCTCGATGAAGCAAGTAAAAATTTTACTAAATGCTTATTCACTATAAAGTATCCCATCATAAAAGAATGGATAAGGTTTAGAATTGCAGCTATTGAAAAACGATATCTTGAGAAAGCTAAGGAAGAAGTCAGCCTATTTTTAGATATGACCTGTTCCAAGAAAGTAATAGCAAATGTTGAACATATTCCAGATGAAAATTTGAATTGCTTATTGAATGAATTCGTTACTTACACCTATTGTAAGTTCTTGAATTAATTTATAATTATACAATATCAATATATAATTTCTTCTCTTATCATTTAGATAAGAATCTTGGTCAAATAAAGCTCGTTGGTATAACTCCCTTTGTCAAATTAGCAATTGAGAAGAATCTTAAACTTGCTAGCAAGGACGATGAGCATTGTTCACAAAATCACGACTGAATTGATTCAATTCAATGTTTTTTTTTATCATTTTGTCTATTTTTTTTTTAAAAATCAATACATTTATCAATTTATTACTAAAGTGATAACACGTGATAAAGTTTTCTTAATGTATTGGTTCTAATTTAATATTAAATCACACTGTGTTTTAAATACATACACACACACATATATATATATATATATATACTTTATATATACTATATATATATATATGAGACAAGACATGGCGACCGGTAAATATTTTATTAATGAAAATGAATTAGAATGCTGTATATGTCTGGAGATATGGGTTAGAAAAGATCCAAGAGTTCTTCCTTGTCAACATACATTCTGTTATGGATGTTTGGTTAAAACAGTAAAAAGAAATAGGTTAACATGTCCTCTTTGTCGTGTTAGGACAGTTTTACCGGATAAGGGAGTAAAAGGTTTACCAAATAACCTCTTGAAACATTCTCTAAAGTCTACCAATCACAACGAAATAGCTGAGAGATGTTTAAAACATGGAAAGGATATAATCTATCCAAAATTAGTTTGTTCAACCTGCAAAATTAAAAATCTATGCGAAATATGTATTGAGGACGATCATTCAAATGCGGATTGCGTTGTTAAGTCATTTAAACGTTTGTCAACAAATCTTAAGGACTTTTGGCTTAGCAGTAAACGGAGAGTAGATCAATTATGTTTGGATGTAAAAAATGAAATTGAAAATCTAATGGAAACTGTCAAAGAGATTGAAGAATCCTGGCACATGATGGTAGATAAGAAGATTAAAGAGTTGAAACAAAAGGTGAAAGATTATGAGGAAAAGAAATTACATAATTTAAAATTAACTCTTTCAAAAATAGGAAATATCTTTATCAATGAAGATGAAATAAGAGAAGAAATTGATAATTTATCAAAAACTAAGCTAATGGCGAAAAATTCACCAAAACTCTTTACGAATTTGGATTTAGTTGAAAAAAAGATTGAGGAATTTAAAATATTCACCAAATACTTACAAATTGGCTCATTTGAAAATATTTCAAAATCATTTTCCTATACAAATGAAGGATTATACGAATTATCCGAAAAGGATAATAGTACTTTAATCACTCTTAGAAAAGATGATACTATAAATTCTCAAGAGTTTTCATTAGATAAGCATATTTCGAGTTTTAATATTACTAAGAGCAATATTTATGGTTTAGACAAGGAGACTGGCGATTTGTTTTTATCAAGGAAACCCTTCAAGAAAGATATTATCTTGAATAAATTCAATGATAACTTTAAAGTATCTCTATTCACAGCCTATGATGATGATAAAGATAATGAATATATATTTTGTCTTGATAATTTATCCAATTATCCATCAACTCTCTATTTCTACAGGAATAATTCTCTTAAATGGAAGAGAAATATCAGAAAGCGTTTCTATAATTTATGTATACTTTCTAATGGATGTTCGTTAGGAGTCACCGGATGTGAAATTTATAAATTTGATAAGAACAACGGAAATATTATTGAACGTCAATGGTTAAACGTTTCCCCTTGTATTTCACTATCCTCCCTTCCTTTTCAAGGATTCTTACTAGCTGACCTACAGGATAGAAATATCAAACAATACGATAATAATTTAAATATAATTAGCATATTTAACGTTGGAATTCATCCTATTTATTTGAAAATTACGAGCCATGGATTATTGTTTGTTCAAGATTTAGATAATCCAAAGTTGTCCTATACATATAAAATTTATTAAATATACTTTTCTTTTTAAATTAACAGATGGCGCCTTTGTATATTGTTAGGTTTCTTTTAATGTCTAATATTCTCATAACTTTCATTGTTATATAATTAAATTAGAGCAAATTACACTCAAATAAAGGATAGTGTATTTTAAAAAACGAAAACAATAATTGGCTAGTTTGTATCGTTATCCTTTTCTTTTTCTCTTTTGATAGGCCTATACCAACAGCTTATTATATTTACAAGTTTTTCTTAATATCAAAAAGAAGGAATTTGCACAAAAGTGTAAAAATAAAAAACTAGTCCGGTTTAACAAGAATATTGAAATGAGTTTATTTTATTTTCGCTCATTTATCTGACATTTCGACTTTTTTCCAAGGACAAAGAGGTTGGGAATACCAGAATACTTCTATTAACCTAAATATGCAAATGTATCTATTGTTATTCCTTTATTTTAACATTCTAAAAGGTTAGATAAGTTGTTATTAATTCATTTGCGATATCTATACATCTGTTTGTACAGATTCTTCAAGTTTAGATTGTCCAAATTTGCCTTCGCCTTGGCGAAGTTTTAAGACTCGATCGAAATGCTACGCTACTAGAAGTTTGTCGGTTGGAGAAAGAACATATGAAAGAGCTAAAAGTATCTGTTCAAGTGAATTGAACGATGGATTCATTGCCGATGCTGAATACGAGTCGTTAAGTGAATTTGCGGCTAAAGGAATAGATTTTGTTTTAGACAATTTTAACATTCCTAAGGATATTACTTGGAATGGTAATCCAGCGGCTGGTTTCTTTATTGGACATTCCTCGAGCAATAACAATGGAAATATCGAACACCGATGGCTGTCTGGAAGGGTTATGACAGTAGAACTTCAGGGACCTTCGACGGACGGTCCTGTTATAGTAGTTGTTAGTTCTAACCCGTAATATAATTAAATAATTAGTAACAGTGAATCATAGATATAACTTTTCTTTACAGAGAAGTAGCCGCTTTTTATACAGGAGAACCGGAATCGAACGTTGGGTCGGTTATTTGTCAAGTTCCTTCAACATTACAATGTCCAACAAATATACCGTCTGGATGGCTTGGATTTAAGACAAATAAGAAGTGTTATATAGCACGTAAGCTCGATGTTAATGAAAGAACATTTTATAAAGCTAAAGATATCTGCGAAAGTATCGACGGTATGAAATTGGCAAACCTAGAATTTGAAACGGAAATACTATTTAGATTTGTTCCATTCGTTAACGATAATATTGGCAGTTTTGATCCAACCATTGAAATAGAAGGACAAACTCTACCAGCTTTCCATTTTGATTATGAAACTCCCATAAAAAATATTTTTCAATGGCCAAGCGGTAAAGCTTTAATTGATTCGAGAATTAAGACTGATCCTTCAAATTTTCATCTTGGTCTAGTAGTCGCACAGTAAGGAATTTGTATATTTAATAACCGTTGAGCATTTAACCAATAGTAATTGCCATTTCTCCGAAAAACAGAAACACTTTTGGCTATCTGTCTCTCTTGGAAGAAACTAATATAAGAGGAGTTATTTGCGATATGGAACAATCTTCAGATCCTCCTGATAGTAAATATATGATATAAGCAATTAAAAATCTTTGTTACATAGATATTTACTAATAGCCGCCTCAGAGCTAAAATGTCCGTCAGTTGGAGACGAATGGAAGACATTTCAAACAACATCTAAATGCTATGCCATAAAATATTTAACAACTGGGGAGAGGACATATAATCAAGCGAAATCTATTTGCGAATCAGGTTCTCTTAGTGGAAACATTGCCGATTTAGAGTATGAAGATTTGGAGGAAATTATAGGGAGATTGGTAATTCACACTAATAATGATCCTTCCATTACAAAAGGTATAGATGTAGATGGAGTCGACAGTGCAGGATTCTTTATAGGACATGAAATAGTTAATAATGGCCAGAATGAGTACTATTGGCAAAGTAATCGTGAAATTCCTCAATTTGTTATAGAGGGACCAAAGACAAACAGACTAATTGCAGTTGCAAATTCCAATCAGTAATCATATAATAAAATTGTATAAATAATTGAAATATATTAAATTGGGATAACTATTTTACAGGGGTCATACTAAATTCTACACAGGTGCTCAAGAATCGAGTGTAGGAGCGGTTCTATGTGAAATTCCAGCAGAAATTGAATGTCCGCAATTTCAAGGATTTCTACATTTTCAAACAAACAGAAAATGCTATTTTACACGTAAATTAGAAGATATTGAAAGAAGTTTTGCGTATGCTAAGCAAATATGCGAAAGTAGAGAAAATTCAGCATTGGCAAATTTATACGCTGAAACGAATTTACTATATAATCTTGTTCCACTTGTCAATGATAATCCATCGGATTTTGACAATACGATTCTACTTAAAGGAAAATCGAAACCTGGTTTCTATTTCGATTATACTGTTGCTGCTCCAAAAGTTTACCACTGGCCAGGCAATATAGATATAGATATGGAGACGATTAATGACTCTCAGACAAGTACACATCTCGCCCTGGTGGTAGATTCGTAAGGATTTCCTACTTAGAATTTTTATATATTCTCTATAATATCTTATATTTTGAAGTTCGTCATTCGGATATTACAGCGCTTTTGAGGAAAGTGAAATAAGGGGAGTGCTCTGCGAAATAGACCCTTCCATACGTAAGCCTGAGTTATAGGTTTCTTTCTTTTTTATTTATTCAAAAATCTTTTAGCTGGAAATGAACTCTCCTGTCCCGATTTACCTTCGGGTTGGTATAGTTTCCAGAGTAAGAATAAATGCTACGCTACCAGATTTTTAAACTCGGCTGAGAGGAGTTACGAACAAGCAGAAACGATATGTAGCAATGAATTGGAAGACGGCCATATTTTGGACCCAGAATATGAAGATTTAAATGAACTTTCTCAACTTGGAATACGTTTTGTTAAGACAGTTACGCATTCCATATCCAGAGACGTCAACTTGAATGGAATTAAAGTTGCGAGTTTCTTTATAGGACATAAGTCTATCACGGTTGACAGTCAAGTAGAATATCAATGGCTTAGTGGAAGACCCGTTCCGTCGTCTATTAATATTCAAGGAACCGTTAGAACATCTCGTCTTTTTGTATCAGCCAATGATAATCCGTAAGTAATTATTGACTTGTCAATAAATGAAAGGTCTTTAAACTTCGTTGTGCACAGAAATGGAGCCGAATTTTTTACTGGAGTGCAGGAATCAAATATTGGAGCAGTTCTTTGTCAAATTCCAGCTCTGTTGCAATGTCCTGACGAAACAATAAATGGTTGGTTAAGTTTTAAAACGAATAAAAAATGCTACTTGGTAAGAAATCTAGAAAGCAACGAAAGAACAATGGAAAAGGCAAGAGATGCCTGCCAAAGCGTTCCCGGTATGAAACTAGCCGACTTAAGAGAGGAAACGGAACTCCTTTACCAACTTGTACCTTTGATTTTGTTGAATTCTAGTAGTTTTACAAATTCAATTCAAATTAACGGACAAATGAGACCTGGATTCTATTTTGATTATATAATATCAAATGCTAATCAATTTTCATGGCCGAATGGAGAAACTATTGCTTCAGATTACATTGATACAACACAAGGAAATACCCACGCAGCCTTAGTTGTTGATGGGTAATGATAACACTACTTATTTAAATATGATTTATATTAATGTTTGCTATAATTTGCAGTAATGTTTTCGGATATTATCATTCATTTGCAGAGAGCTCAATAACTGGTGTAATCTGCGATTTAGAATCCTCCTCCGGTCAAGGAGATCCACACATGCGCCATTACATTAAGAAATACGGACGTCACATCTGCTACGACCTAACAGGTAAACGCGGAGACGAATTTATCATGTATACAGATCCTTCTACAAACACTATGGTACTGGGAAAACTCCGAGACGACTTTTATTTCGGTAGTGTAATAATACAAAGTTCTTTTTACAATAAAACAATTTCGGCTGACAATTTATGGAAAGTTGGCGAATGGTTGAATACACTGTATATACGAGTTGAAGCTATTCATAAAGATGAAATATCGCTCACTATAAAAAAGTATAACCCAACTGTGCTAATTATTACAAAAAGAAGAAATACCGCCGGTTCTAATTACGTTAATATTCGTATTGGTGAAATGGACGAATTAAATTCCCATGGAATATTCGGTAATTAATTAATTAATTAATACTCTATATTTATATTATTTTAAAGCATAAAATATAATTTAAGGTGATATTTCGAAGAAAAACTACATCTTTTACGAAAGTATACAAACTCATTCAAAAAGTTCAATAAGTATTGAAGGAAAACTATTCGACGCTCAACTTATTAAAAGAGATGGACAGTCTTGTTGGTTTTTATCGCCTGATGCCGCTTTTTATCCTAAAAACGTTTTAGACTATTTAAGAAACTAATAAACACCTCTTTTTAATTAATTTAATAGCGTTTTTAGTCGTAAACTAGTTCATTTAGAATTTTTTTGGTAATTGTAGACCCATATTCAATTCTCTTTTCATTTCGTTATTGATCTTATTTCCAATAGCGGTATGGAAAGTTAAGGTTATTAGTTCAGTGTTACAATCGATTATTTAGAGAAAATCTCGTAGTCATAAAATAACTATGAAACACTTTATTAAAAGCCACTCTATAAATCTCTATTTATATTGAGAAAAGATATCGTAACCCTTTAATAAAAGAAGAAAAGATAATTCCGAAAGTACTCGATAGATGTCGTTACAAACAAACCTATATGGTCAAATTAAAAAAAACATACTATTATACAGTATGCATCGTTGACTAATTATTTCAATAATTCTCCATATTATGATATGAAATTAGTAGAAAACCTTAAAAATGTTGAATTGCTTCTTTGATCGAAAGCGAAACTAGAACTATTACGCAATCGACATTTTTCAAAATAAATCCTATTGAATTATTAATAATATTTGCCTCTAAGTTAATTATTTACATTGAAAAAAATGCATGAAATATATAGATATTAAAGAATATTTTCATCCATTTTTTTCCCATACATCCTCATTACTCAAGAACATCCGGGACTCGAGTTCACTTGGTTGGTTGATAGTTTCTTTCTTTTTTGTCTATTAACTAAGACAGAAAATGATGGCTTCGAAAAAATTCTTTATTGATGAAGAAGAACTTTGTTGCGCAATTTGTTTGGATTTATGGATAGAGAAGGACAATAGGGTATTACCTTGTCAGCATACTTTTTGTTTAGAATGCTTAGAGAATATCTCTAACAATTCTATTATAAAATGCCCTACTTGTACGAAATCTTTCATCTCTCCGATTGGCGGTGCAGTAAATCTTCCAAAAAATCCTTTGAAGCACGCTCTACAGAAAGATGTAAATAAGGAGAAACTTTGTACCAAGCACGAAAAAACAGCTATTACGCCCATATTCGTTTGTTCAACGTGTAGGGAAGAGAACATTTGCGAAGATTGCTTTCAGCTTGATCATAGTCCGTCTAAATGCAAATTAATATCGTTAAATCATTTAGAACAGAATAATACTATATTTAGAAACGAATGTCAGAATATCCTGGATGAACAGATGACTAAGGAGGAAGAGAATAAGATGAGATTACACAACTATGTCATTGAGTTGAAAAACGAATGTTTAGCAAAAATTGATAAAGTTGTCAATAAGTTAGAGGATGAAATTATCAGATTCTACGAATATAAAATGGCGTCTTTAATGAGGATATCAGAAAAGTTGAATGATAAATTTGTTGATGAATCAAAAATCAAGGAAGATATTAAAGAATTATCGTATTTAAAGTTAATAGAAGATAATTCACCTATAATATCTATTGATTGCCGATTAATTAGGAGTAATTCAAAGAAAGATATTACAAAAATACATAAGGTTAATACTTTTGAAATATTAATGGAAAAGTTCTTTTTAACCGATGAAGGACTTTACGAATTGTTAGCGGAAGTCTATCTGAAAGATGAAAATCAACTTTCTATGATCTACTTTCGCGAGCGAAATGACAGCGAACCTAAAGTGTTCTTTCTGGATAAATTAATAATGAAGTTCGTTGTGACTGATAGAAATATATACGCTTTATCAGCCATCGATGGTTCTTTATTAAAATGTTCTAAAGCTGATCATCATCAACTGGAGTTTGATACTCTATTCGATTCCGAAGCTAAAATGAAGGTTATCGACGAAAAAACCTTTTCGTATTTTGATAAAACTTCAACTAAACTCTTTGCAACTGAAGATAAAGATAACCACGAATACGTTCTCACTTACGAAACATTCGATATAAACGTAATTTTCTTCTTTGAAGATAATTCTCTTAAATGGACAAAAAAGATATTTAATCATGTAGAAAATTTTTGCCTTATGGGTAATGGTTCAATAGTAACATCATTTGGAAATCAATTAACCATTCTTGATAAGAATAGCGGAAAAGATTTACATATCTTAAAGTTAAATAACTTTGCTATATCCACAATCTGCTACTTGAAAACAGGTAATCTCATTATTCAAACGGATGAACTATCGGAATTGAAACTTTTCACCAACGATTTAAAATTTCGTCAAAATCTTCATCTTCATAGCGAACGAAAGTGTAAAGGAGTTACTAAATCCGGTTTACTCTGTCTAAATTCCAGTGTATATAAAAACGTTATTCACCTATACAAATTAATTTAGAAATTTAGATTTTAATGACTAAAATGAAAGAAACAATTTGATTAAGATTATTCATTACTTTGTTTGAAAAAGTGACTTTTTATTGTATTTTTTTTTTTATATACATCTATAATGCGTGAGAAATCATTCAGTATTTGGTTTATAGGTCACTTCGATTAATGCTAGACTATCTTCGTTGTATAAAGACATACCAAATTTACCAGTTCTAGTTAATCCAACGATACTGTACTTACAATCGATTTCAATCTCTTTCTTAAAATTTAGATTAAAATCATAAATATAATTGAATTTCTTATTATTTTCTCTATCGAACCATACAAGTAAAAATCCATTTTTCGGGAATGTAAGTAATTGTTCTACATCGTTGCAGTTCATTCGTCTAATGCCTATTCCAGATAATTTATCAAGTAAAACTAATTGGTCTTCATGTTTAATAAGGCAATTTCCATTTTCAAGAATACAAGCCTTTGAACAATAATATTCGTCATTTTGCCAAACGCATTCATCGTTTGAGAAAAAATACAGGATATCATTTTCATCTTTAGTTAGAATGTATCTATTAAATTTGCCGTCTTCAATTGCATTTAGTTGGAAATATTCATTATTAGAAAGGACTTTTAATGATATTCTCTTTTTAAATGGTTTCTCAGCCATAAGTAAATGTCCAGTTTCGTAATCGATACAATAAAGATAATTATCTGTAACAACCAAAGCAGAAACCTCTTTCTCCAAATAAAATTTTACAGTATCTTTCCGAGAGGAGAAAGGTAAAAATACCAAACAAGACATTTCAAGTCCTGGTTTGCTTTCAAAGCTTCTATCAATATAATAAAATCCTTCGTCAGTTAAGCACAATGAATATTTCGGTAATTTGTCAAACTTTTTCAGCAATAAGCATTTATCAATCTCATTGTTCGGAAATGATTGATATTCTATCCCAAAATCATAGTTTATATCTAAGACTCTACTACCTATTTCAACATATTTTTCTTCAGAAATAGCTTTTAAAAGATCATTTGCTTCAGTTTCTTTCAGAAATATATTTTGAATATCAATATCTGAGAATCTTAATACGTCCTCCCTTTTGTCAAATAGCTTATGAACCTTATGTCTTAGGGAATCCATTTTTGAAGACAAAATTTGTAACCAATTCATTTCAATTTCTTCCAAAGTTTCCAAAATTTTAGTCTTCTCTTTTTCATTTTTTTCTCTTAAGATTTTAATTTGCGGCAACAATCTTTCTTTCATTCCCTCTAATTTCTTTTTAAGACATTTGACTAAGGCAATATTACACGTTTCTTTGCTGTGATTTTTCTCAAAACAAATTGGACATAAGTTCATCTTTTTACAGCTGGTACATGCCAATTCTGGCTGATAGATATCTTCTTGGTGTTCCTCGCAGAGTGTTTTATCTTCTTTCTCAATTATACAACTCAATTCGGTGGTGTGAAGAAATTCATTAACTGTTGAAGGTATCATGGTAATTTTGCGACAAAATGGACAAACAATAGTTCCATCCTTCATCCAATCTTCCAAACATTTACAGCAAAAAATGTGGTGACAATTGAGAGCCTTAGGGTTAGATTCAAGCCAAACATCCAAACAAATTGCACACTCAATTTTATCTTTTTTAACGTAATACTTAGAAGACGTTGTTTTATCGCTCATTTTCATGAAATAACTCGGAAAACAAAAATCTACTAAATGGGTATTGAATAACCACAATGGTTATAATAGATATGTCATATGTTTAAACGCTTAAATTTATTTATAGCATGTAATTCTTACCGTCCTCTGATAGATAGTAGCTTTCCAAGTAGAATTTTTCTATTTTCGGTATGCAGACGGCATTCCTTGATAAGCCATGTTATCATTCAATTATTAGTAGTAAACCGTTCAAGTAGTGTTCACTGAGAATTCTTCAGTGTGACTATTATTATTTCTAAATAATTGTATCATAGAATATGCTTGGGCTAATGGATCAAAAGAAAATCAAGGGTTCTTTTCTATTGATGTTCAATTCATAAAAATGTAGATAATTAGGAGGAATTTTATAAATGTTTGATACAAAATTTTTCGGACAATCGAAAATAAAAACTGGTAAATTGTCGGAAACGCCTCTAAGTAGGTAACTAAAAAAAAAGTTGATAAGACTCATCTAATTGGAACAGTTTAGTTAGATAAATAATTTGAAATAGTTCTCAGCCTAAAAAACATTCAATGTGTTACTTTGATGTCTACTGATTTTCTCTTGTCCATTTGTTGGCCAACTGTCCGATTAGTTTGTTCAAGTTTTCATATTTAAAGGGGAAAATTTTCTCTACCAGTTTTTTTATATAAGGTTTGAATTGTATCATTAAAATTATTTGAGAAAAGATTACAATGGCTAATAGTAGATATTACATCGATGAGAAAGATTTACAATGTGGTATATGTTTAGAGGCGTGGCTTGATAAGGATCCCAGGGTTCTTCCTTGTCAGCATACGTTCTGTTTTGGATGTTTAAACGGAACTAGTCGGTTTAATTTTATAAATTGTCCAATGTGTCGTTTAAGAGTTCAAATTCCTAGTGGAGACGTTAATAATTTTCCAAAGAATCTATTTAAGAATGCTATTCAAACGCATATTATTGAGAAATGCTTAAAACACGACAAACAAGTAATAAAACCGAAGATTGTTTGTCTAACTTGTAGAAGTGAAAATCTATGTGGATTGTGTCTAGATGACGATCATTCGGATTATTGTAGTATAAAATCGTTTTTAAATGTTCAAGAAGCCGTTAAAGACTTTAAAGACGCTTGTCTTGAATTAGTTAACCAACATAATTCAGAAATTGATGATGAAGTAAAAAAATTAATGGATAAAATAAGTGAAAAAAAGAAATTATGGCAATCTTTAATTGATAAGAATGAAAGAGATCTAAAGACTAAAGTATTGAAATCTAAACAGAAAAAACAGGAAGTATCGTCAAGAATTTTGAAGAAATTAGAAAATATATTCATTGATCAAAATGATATAAAAGAAGATATAGCAAATTTCTTATCAACTAAATTAACGGATAAAAATTCATTAAAGTTTGTTATTTATCCGGAGATTAATGATATTAATACAAGAAATTATAAAATCATTTCAAAGTGTATCTATACAACAGACTTTAATTTTGTCTTTGGTTATTTTTGCTATACAGACGAAGGGCTTTATGAATTATCTCACGATTCAACTGATAATGATTACGAAAAGAATGATGAACTACCTGTTCTTTGTCTTCGAGAGAAGAACGATTCAAATCCTATAAAGTATACACTAAGCCATAGAATATCTAATTTTGTTGTTATTGATAGTTGTATATATGGAATACAAACTAATGTAGGATCTTTATTAATCTGTAAAAAACCTTTCAAAAAGCATATTGAATTTTCAACCGTTTACCAAGAGAAGCAAGTATGGTTTATCAACGCCTACGAAGATAACGAAGGCAATCGTTACGTTCTTACTTATGGTAATTCTTACAAAACTCATCTATGCTACTTTATTAATGACGAAATAAAGTGGGAAAAGAATTTAGTGGATTTTCCAATGGACGCCTGTATACTTTCCAACGGATATGTTGTTATAGGAACAAATTCTCAATTTCTCGTGTTCAATAAAGACGACGGAAGGGTTAAAGCTGTAGAAATAAGGGGAAAAATAGCAAAAGTTTCTCTTTGTCCCCTGCATACTGGTGGATTTTTAATGACAGATGACAATTTACCAAAACTTAAACAATATGATAATTTAATTAACTATGTTAAAGATATTTACATTGACGTTCATCCAGACATTTGTAGAACTACAAAATCTGGTATGCTCTTTTTGAGACCATCAACCGAAGTTATAAATGCAAGATTGTATAAGCTAAAATAATAAGATGTTATATATGTTTCGTTAAATAAAATAGTAATATATATTAACTAAATTCAGAGTTAAATCATTCAGATCTCTTACAATAACACTGTCTGCTTACAAATATTAAAAGTAGCTTCTATCTTTATACATTGGAATAATTTAAAATGGTGATAATACAATGACTTTTTCTAATCCTTAATGACGTCAGAAAGAAAACTTTTACATTATATATTTTCAAAAAAAGTTAAATAAACAAATAAATTATTAATAATTATATTGTTTATTCACAAGATAAATTAATAAATTAAGTAATTTATTAAAAGAAAGTTTATTCCTGTAAGTATCTTATTACTTTTGTTCTTTGTAATTCAAGTTTCGAGTGTAAGATAATCGATTGTAACAAATTAATTATAAATTAATAATACTTTACCAGTTAATTTTTAATTAAATTTACTGCGAACCTTATTTCGCTCTTATTTTTTAAATTAGGTAAACTAAACTGTTATTAATAATAAATAAATCTAATAATTAAAGTCAGAAATTAAAGTTTAATAAAAGTCTAATGTTTTTTAATTAATACTATTCGAGAAATAATATTGATAAGGATGAGTAACTGATTAACTCTATTGATTTATCAGTTATTTTAAAGCGTAACAACAGCTGTAAAACTTTACTATTATTAGTTGTGTAAAACCACATGTAGTATAGTATTTGAGTTTAATTAAATAGCTAAAATCTGTACAAGTATAACTGATAACGTGACCTTTACCTGCTAAAAAGATTGAAGTTTTTTTTACTCTTTTTGTTTTAAATGCTCTTTGTAAAATAACCTCTAAGGATATATATATATATATATATATAAAATCATCGTATCGATTACTAATAAATGAAAATAAACATTTTCAGTGAGAAACAAAATAAAGTTATCTTTTGGTCAATATATTTCGCAATATTTTGAATATATTACAAAATGGCGACTGACAGCCTTCAATTTGAAGAAAGTGCTCTCGTTTGTAGTCTGTGTTTGGATTTTTGGGTTGAAAATGATCCGAGGGTTTTACCATGTCAACATACGTTTTGTTTTCAATGTTTAAAAATGTCTCCAAGCAATATTTTAACCACTTGTCCAGTTTGCCGTACGAAAGTAAACATTAGGAAGGAAAATATTAGTAATCTACCTAAAAATATATTAGCCAATTCGCTAAAAGAATCATCAAGGATGAGATTAAAGAATACAACAGTTTGTAAAGAGCACAATCAAGTCTTATGCAAACCGAAGCTTGTTTGTAAAACTTGTAAGGAATATAATATTTGCGAAGAATGTCTCAATGATTCTCATAAAAATTGTCAAATTCGCCTATTCGAACATTTAAATAGAGAGACGAGACTATTAAAGAAAAGATGGGAGCCTGTATTAAATAGAATAGAATGTAATTTAAGAAAAAATGCAAAGAATTTCAAAATGGAATTGAATGAAATTGAAATGAAATTTCGAAAAAATTTCATAAAAATCAGAAATGAATTAGAACGAAAAGAAGAAACAGAATTAAATAAAATAAAATTAATGAGAAATAGGCTTAAAGGTGAATTTTATAGAATGAAAGATTTAGAGAGAGAGATAGAGAATTTTAAAAATGACTCTAAATTTTCATATACAATTCCAAATGTTGAAATTGAATTAAATCTATCAGAAAATTGCGCTAATACTAGACAAAATAAAGTATTAGTCAAGATCCAAGAATTCCATAATTTGGATTGCGATATATCTTTTACAGATATTGGTATTATTAAATTATATTCAAATCAAAACAATCAACAATACTTTCGTATTGAATTTGAAAATTCTGAAGTAAAGGAAATACCTGTTAATCATACTATCAACACGTTTGCAGCTAATAAAAATTTTATCTATACTTCTAGAGTTCATCCTTATATAAGTTTGACAAAATGTTCTATAAATTCAATGGCAGATGGATATCATTTTGAAATTATTGATAATTTCTACGAATTGGTTGGTAGGAACATCGGATTTATTGCGTCAGATAACGATTACGATTCATTTTTATATATCTTTGCAAAATTTGGAGATCTTTACTTTAAACTTTATAAAAATGGTGAAAAGATTTGGTATCAAAGGTTTAAAATGAATCTTGTTGATTGTTGTTTCCTTAATAATGGTAATATACTATTGGCCGGCGAAGATTATTTACAAGTATTACATAAAGACAATGGTGAAAAGATCTTTGAAAAGAATACGCAACCAAAAATTCAATCTATAACATCAGTGCCAAACAACGGATTCATGTTAACAAGATACCAAGAACAACTTATCTATATCTATAATGATTGTTTTCATTTAAGTAAGACAATTGAAATTGATTTTTTCCCATCCAAAATTCAAATGACAAACTCATTCAAACTTTTAATTCAAAATTTAGATTGTCCATTAACAGCTGTATTATACAAATATATATAGTTATATTATCTTTATTTCTATTAGTTAACCATAATATATGTGTGTATTTCTTACTAATCAATCAAGGGAAAGCAATGCTACTACTCTTCATCTCTTCTTCTTCTTCTTCTTCTTTGTCTTCTTCTTGAATGTAATTCGTTTATTAGATAGAAAAAAAAAACAGTTATTTCTATAAAAAGAATTAATTGACCTAGAAATAAAATTTAAATTTAGAAACATAAAAATAGACAGAAAAAATCTATAAAACAAAAATATGTTGAAATTGGACTTATAGGCCTATAGTATTCATAGCAAAACAAGCCTTGAACAGGCCTTTTATATTGAAATAAACACTAGTATATTACAAATATAAAGTTAACATTTCTGTGATTTTCGCTTTTATATATCAAGGCTATTTCGTTTTTAGAATTAAATACAAGTAAGAATAAATATCTTTATAATATTCTTTTCATAGATCTTCTTTTAGAAAATTTGAAATGGAGATGAATGAATATTTAGTAAAGGAGGATCCTTTAATATGTACAATATGCTTAGATTTATGGATTGGAAAGAATCCTAGAGCTCTACCTTGTCAGCATACATTTTGCGAAGATTGTTTAAAAACAACTATCGCTAATAAATGTATAGTTTGTCCTCAGTGCCGTTTACGAACTCAACTACCAAATGGCAAGATATCTGATTTACCTAAGAGTGTTTTCGATAGTAACATAACGATAAATTCAGTTCAATTTTGCTCTAGACATTATCAAAAGCTTATAGAACCAAGATTTGTTTGTCAAAGTTGTCATATGGAGAATTTATGCGAAGAATGCCTCAATAATTGCCATACTCAAAGTACTTGCGTCATAAAATCGCACGAATCTATAAAACAAGATTCAAAAGAATTTAAAGATAACTGCCAAAAGCATATAAACCAATGGACAATTTCAATTAAAAATGAAATTGATTACCTTCAAAAGAAACTATTTGAATTAGAGAAAACTTGGTATAGTACAATTAGAGAGAAATTAATAAAATTAAGAAATAGGATAGAGAAATACGAAGAAGATAAATTTGGAATACTTAAGACAATATCCGAAAATATTGAAAATACATTTTTCGACGAAGATCTATGGATAGAAAGTATTAAAACTATTACAAATACTGTATTAATTGATAATAATAAATTGGAAATTCAAATTGATTACGATATAATGGAAAGTGAATTGAATGATTTAAAAATAATTAAAACTTCTAGCGAATTAACTACAAACTCTCCATTTCATACTTGCTTCTCATTTGGTACAGATGGATACTACGGTCTCAATCCTATAATAGATGCAAAGAAACTTCTTTATATATCAGGTTTAAATGTAAATAATAACAAACAATTCCAATTAGATAAATCTATATCCAATTTTGTTATTTCGGACAATTATATTTATGCGTTAGAAGAGGAAACTGGTAGATTATTAAGTGCTAAGAAACCTTTTGATCAAATGATTAATTTAAATATTATCAATGAAGATGAAAAATTTGATAGTCTAGTTATCACAGAAAATATAGATATTGATGAAAGATATGCTCTTCTAAATACAACTGATTCAACTTTAATATTTTTAAATAATGATAAATTTATTTGGAAAAATACGTCGTTATCTTCTGCTATAGCTGATTTTTGTATTCTAAACAATGGAACTTCAATTGTAGCTTCAAAAAATCTTTTATTCTTTTTTGATAAAGAGGATGGTAACATTTTACGTAAAATCAAAACGGAAATATCCATTCCTATATCAGTTTGTTCTCATCCTAAATCTGGATTTTTTCAAGTTAATCTTAATGAATCTATTATAAAATACTATGACGATAATGTAAACTTGAACAGAGTGTATTTTGTCGGCTATAGTCCATGGTGTATAAGATTTTCAAATTGTGATCAATTCTACCTTATTAACGATATTGTTATGTCTAATCATATCTTTTTCAGATTTAAATTAACTATTTAAATAATTTATTCATATATTCATATAATTTAATTTTAATTTGTTCAAAACTATCCAATACTTGTTCACTTTTGTAATTGTTTTTTAATATCAAATTAAGTAGTTATCATTGAAAAAAGTATCAAATAAAAATGTATTGTTAATGAGCTGTATTCAAATAAATGCGAAACAGGAAGTTAGTATTTTATTCTACTCACAACAGTTGAACTGTAATCGTCGTCCGCATCGTCGTCATCACCGCCCCCGCCCCCTCTCCCATTTTCTCTCTTTCAAGTCGTAATTATTTGATAATATAGCTTTAAATGGTAATAATTCTTTATTTCTTTTGTTTCTTTATTAATAAAGAAAGTGATCAATTTAAATATTTTTGTTAATTATTAATGTTTTTTAAAGGAAAGGAAAGATATGTTCGCCAAAGTATCCAAAATTTCAGGTCATACGTGTTGTTCAATTTGTTCTCTTCCATGGATTACAAAGAATTCGAGAACTTTTTCGTCTTCTCATAAAATTTGTAGTAATTGTTCGATAAAACCTGTAAAGGAGAAGTATTCAACTACATGTCAATATTGTCCTGAGGAGTGTAAGTTCATTATGAAAAATGACGATCGTTCTGAATTACGAAATAGAATCGGGCCTGAAAACGATATTATTAATTATATAAAATATGATAGCGATGATGATGATGATGATATAAATACCCAGGAAGTTATTTGTCAGTACTGCAAAGGTACTTATTCATGTCAATTATGCAATGTCAAGGATCATTGTGAAGAATCGGTAATAAATCAAAATGAACTAATCACCATTACACAAGAGAAAATGACTGAGATGAAAGATCGAATAATTGAGAATCTTGATGATGTTAAAAATCAAGTACAAAGCATTTACTCAAAAGCTAGACGAGTACTTCAGATGAAAGTTGATAATGAAAAGGAAAAATTGAATAGATTTAAGACGGATTATTTACAACAATACGATGATCTAAGAGATAAGATTGGAAATATTTTTATAGATGAAGAGCAAACTGCAAAAGATTTATTAAATCTTAAAAACGTAAAAGCAACTTTGGAAAGGGATGTAGATATTCAATTTAATGTAGATCTTAAGAAGAGAAACGGAGCAGATTTCGAAATAGAAAAATGATAACTTTATAGCTACTTATCTATTTGATTCAATAATCTGTAATCTTTAATTATTTATTATCATTCTTAATAAAACAGTAAATAATTTCTAATTGTTGTTATTATATAATATAATATCTAAATTCTTTCTGTCTAATAAGAGAATTTAGGTTAAAGTTATAACGAACATCAGTATAACGGTTGAAAAGACTTTGCTAATTAACTTACTCATAAATTACTACTCGTAGGACGCTATGTCACTTTAAAAAAAGAACGAAAGTCTAAAAACATACAACTAAAAGAATACTCAAAAATTTCTTATTGTAATAACAAAACTACTCTAATTTAAAAGAACAACAATATAAGTTTAATGAAAATTGACTTTCGTTTCATTTTCGGTTTATATTTCAATCGAGAAGAAACTAAAAGGTATTGAAAGAAGATGTCAAAAAAGAATTTATTATTCTCAGTTGACGAAAGAAAGATGAAATGTGAATTATGTTTAACTTCGTGGTATGGGAATACTCCTAAAGTTCTTAATTGTGAACATACATTTTGCAGTTCTTGTCTGGAAAGTATCGTTCTATTATTCTTCGTCAGATGTCCTACATGTAATAAAGTAACTGATTTGGAAATGGGAGGAGTTGAACATTTACCCAATCATTTTATTGATAATGATTTCCCATTGTACGAAGAAGAAGTATGTAATATTCACAATAGAACTCTATTATATCCAAAGCTGGTTTGCGTTTCTTGTAAGAAGATTCTGGCATGTATAGCTTGTATTGATCTTGATCATACGAAAGAATCATGTTCTATAAGATCTTACGATAGCGCTTATCAATCTCAAAGGCAATTCCGCAGAGAATATATTTCAAAATTGAACGAAGCTGAAGAATCATTTTTGGCTAATATCCTTCAAACTACAGTAGATATTGAGAGTATGGAAAGAAGTTGGCATTCCAAATTATCTATAAAATTAAGCAATATAATTGATACAATCGACAATTACGAGCAGAATATCTTAAAAGTGTTCAAGAGATCGTTGAAGAAAGCTGAATATCCTTTGACCACCGAAGATGTAGAGAAAGAATTGAAAATGTTGGAAGATTTAATGATAGATATATTTAATCAGCCGAAACTAATCATTAAACTCGGTTTAGAATTTAACGAGTCAATTAACTCTGTTAAGGAAATGAATAATTCACAACAGATGTGTGAAAATGATGGAAAAAATGTTCAAGTTCACGATCTATGTCAATAATTGATTCAAAATATAATTAAAAATGATTAATCTTTATAAAATGTATTCATTTAATATAATTTAATAAATAAATCAAAATACCTTATTACACTGTAGTATGTTAATTAATATGATAAATTTATAAAATAATAAGTTTCAGAGTTTCAGTAGTTTAGATGAAAAAGCTTTTGAATTAATTAACTTAATTCATAGATACGAGCTTTAGAAATATTTTCAGAGTGTATCACTGCGAAACGATTTTCACTTAGCATATCTATACGATAAATAGGTAATTTCATTGGTGTAATTTTAACAATCCGAAGATCCTCATTGTATATTTCGATTTTACTTTGATTTCTTCTACAGAGCAATAGTAGATTTGCACTTGACCATACAAGCGATATCTCTCCTTCAATTGGTGGAACTATTTTGCTAAATTCAATTTGACGTTTAACCATTCCAGAAGATTTGTCTATTATAGCAAAAAGATTTGTAGATGTTACAAATATATCTCCATTTGGTTTAGAACATGCGCTAACACATTGTAAGTGAATTCTATTTCTGCGCCATACAGTTTGCTCATTTTGAATAAGTTCGTGGCTATATAGACAATCAGATTCAATTAATAAGACTCTTTGTCTCTCTTCTTTATATTCGACTGAGAAAATGTTGATAATTCTCCTTTTAGATACTTTTAAAACTTCAAATTTAATTCGCTCTGTTTCCGTCAGTCTTCCTTTGACTAATTTTTCTCTATCTTCGTAAACCACGTAAATGTATGGAAAAATTACAATAAACTTATGAAAATCTGAAGGAATATCGAAGACTTTTAGTACTTTATTGTTATTTCTTTTAATAATTTCGGATTGACCCGATCCGTAGCTGGGTTTATAATTGAATAGAAAATTTTCAGAGAGATAATATAGAGATAATATATTATTGATAACGCCTTTCTCATCTAAACCAGGCTTTTGAATTTCTGCTTTCACTTCGGTCAAAAAGCCCATTAGATCATTATTCACCACTGTTTTTTCCTCTAAATATGAATTTACAGTTATTTTCGGAGGTCCAGAGAAAACTAATCTTACACTTAAGCATTTCTCTAGTTTTTCTTCTAGTTTTTTCCTATTTATGAATACGCCTGTTAAAGAATTATCGAGTAAATTAAGCATGCTTTTCTTCCCATCATTATAGGCTTTAATTTGATCTTCAATCTTTCCTAGCTCCTCTTTGAGAATGAGCTGAGCTTTATTTGAGAATACTTGAAAAGTTTGCTCTAGCTTTTTACCATCTTCCGTCACTATACCTTTATATTGCTGTATAACGTCCTTATAGATTTGTCTAATTGGTTCAAGTTCGCTATAAATATTCTTGTATGAACATATATTGCATTTAGTCATATTATGCTCAAAATCTATACAATGTGAGCACAATCTATCAACTTCGCAAGTTTTGCAAATCATTCTTGGATGAATGAAAGGAATTTTATGCTTTTCGCAAATTTCCTTGGTCCCTTCGGTAAGATTTCTTACCCATTTTATAGAATCTGAGAGTAAGTTCCTAGGTAGACCAATAACACCCTTCTTCGTTAAAGAAGTATTCTTTCTACAAATAGGACAGCAAATAACATTCTTTGTAGACGCTTTGATAAGGCATTCAAAGCAAAATATGTGTTGACAAGGTAGAGCCCTCGAATCTCTAGACAACCAATTTTCTAAGCAGATAGAGCATTCAAGACTCTTTTCATTGATAATAAATTTCCCCTCCTCCATTTTTATCTGGTCAAAATTTGTAAATACTTTCTCTTAGAGTTACTTTCTACGTAAGTGAAACTGAAGTTTTGTTGACGTTATATTTAATACATTTTTATCATTTTCATAAATGAAATATAGTTGAATACTTACATAAACCATTAATTTTTCAAGTTGAAATGGGTCACAATGAAAATTTGACAGTCGCTCAACCTTTTTTTAACCAGACACCTTATCATGTGAAGTTTTAATGTAAAATGGACGATATTCTTTAATCACGTGACCTCCAAAAAAATATATTTTTTCATATATTTTTCTTAATTTTTGAAATAGTTATTCATTTTTTTTATTAATGTTTTAATAAAAAATTATGAAAAAAGATACACTTTAATTGATGTTTTTCAACTTTTTGAACTGAAAAAAAAGTATATTCTTTATAAAAAATAAAATGGCAGATACCCCATTTTTTATGTAGGTTAAAGTCTCTTCTAATATGAATTTTAATAAGAGAAATTAATAAAATCCAAAAGAAGAGTGTTTACTTTGTTTTCTAGCAAAACTTTTAAGCTTTTTAAAGTTTGTGACGATTTGAGATAAGTTGGGCAAGAAGACGGGAGAATGATCGAGAGAGAGAGAGAGAGAGAGAGAGAGAGTGAGTGAGCGTACGAGTGAATGAGATAGATGGACTATCATAATTAATATATTAAAATTTAAATCTATAATTTACTCAATTAGGTTTTTAAAGGAATATTCAAAAAAATTAATCTAATACTTTTTATTATGTTGCTTTTTATTATAATTCTAATTGAGAAAGTTTCAGCATATATGAATGAGTAGTTTTTGAGACTTGGTCAATTTATATTGAAAATATATGGCATAAAAATCACTTCTGCTTCGGTCTTCAACCAGATAGGAAAGCTATAAATAACGTATGATGAGTACTAAGTAAGTTTTTTAAAGTTTTCTTTTATACGATTTGCATTTATTCTATTATTTTTCGTTCTAGAAAAGAAGACTTAAATTCGAAAAGTCTTGATCATTTAGTATCAACTGAAGCGCTCCTGTGTAAAATATGTTGTATACCATGGGTAGAGAGAGATCCGAGAGTTCTTTCGTGTCAACATATCTTCTGCTTTAGCTGCCTTTTAGAAATGTATGGAGGAAGAGTTTCACCAACAATAACATGTCCTTCGTGTGGAATGGATCATTTTGCTGAAAATGGAGTGGCGAAATTGCCTAAGAGCATAATACAAGACTCAATTTCTACCATTTCTGTCGAGAAAAGCTCCTGTAAGAAACATAATAAGGAAAGAATTTTGCCACCAATAGTATGTCTAACCTGTAAAGCTCTGAATTTATGTCATGATTGTATCGACAAAGATCATACTAATAGTCTTTGTAAAATTGTTTCGGAAGGAAAATTACTTGACCAATCGAAAGCTATAAGGCAAAAATTTAAGAATGAATTAGAAAACTATAGGAACACTGTAAAGGTTGATGTGGCCAAAATTCAGAGCTCTCTCAGAGAAGTTGAATGTAAATGCCGAATAATAGTTGATAAGTCAATTGCTGATTGTAATATTTCAATTGACGATTATGAAGAGGCTATGACTAGAAATTTTAAATCTATTCAAGATATATTAAATGATGTTTTCATAGATGATGATCAACTTTTTGGACGGCTAGTTTCTGATTCTGTTAGAAAAGTTAACTTTGAACAGAATCCTAGTTTTGCAATTGATACTAAAGTATACGAAGAACTAATTAAATATACCGATAAGAATAATGGATTGAATATACTAAAGAAAATATTGAATATCTTTAGAAAGAGTAATTATAACAATTGAAAATGATGACGAAATTTAACGAAATATTCAAAAGCTTTCTACTTGAATATTTTACAAATGACAAATAACGAACGATTTACTATTCTATCCTCTTTTCTAATATCTTCAATGATCTATAATAATGTTAATAAAACACCGTCATTTCTTTTATAAAATTCTCTAACATTTGTTTACTTTAAAGCGTTTAGTTAAAAATATTTTTATAGGCTTATTTCGTTTTAAAATGTAACTTCTCCGAAGTAAATTGGTGTCTTTAGAACATTCCTTCATATTTTAGAATGTATAGACAGCTACTCAATAAGTTGTTTATACAATTTTTTATGGCTCTTGAATGAATAATACTCAAAGTTTAATGAGAAAATGATACTACTCTTCAACTGATTTTTTATTGTGATTGAATGTTTTTAATCATTTGAACTCAAAATGTCGAATAGAAAAGAAGAACGGATGAAAAACACCGCGCAAATGCCGCCTAAACGCCTTTTGTTTACAGTTGATGAAAGGAAATTGGAGTGTAGAATTTGTCTTGACTCCTGGCTGAAAAGAGAACCGAAAGTATTGTCTTGCCAGCATACTTTTTGCCGTGAATGTTTGGAGAGCTTGGGTGGTCAGTTTTACCTGACTTGCCCTCTTTGTCGAGCTTCTTCTTATCTGCCGACGGCAAGTGTTGATAATTTACCTGATCATTTCCTCTCTAAATCATTAATTAAATTTCCGAGAGAGGAGAAAGCTCAGATTAAATGCGAAAAACATAAGGAAGCGGTAATTTTTCCCAATTTGGTATGTGTAACGTGTAAGGTAAAAGTTTATTGCTGCTCGTGTATTGACAATGATCACTCGAGTACAAAATGTAAGATAAGATCGTTCGAAAACCTTAATATGGAAATGAAAGAGAAAAGAAAAAATTATCATTATAATTTCAAAGTCAATACTATGCTCCTTCGAGGAAATTTGAGAGAGACGAGAGAAGATGTTGCTAGAATTCATAGTTCTTGGTCTAAGCAGATTGATAAAATGTTTAAGAGTATCAGCGATAAAGTAGACGAATTTGAACAAGTTAAATTAACTTCAATTGATAATTTACTAAAGAAAATTGATAACGTTTTCTTTGATGAAGAAGAAATACAAAACGAGATTCAAGAGACTACGAAAACTACTCTAAGAATAAAGAAACCTCAGGTTATGCTAAATTTAAATCTTGTCTCGCAAATCTTTTCCGGAAGTCCAAGTTTAAATGGAATGAGAATCAACATTAGCCCACGAAAAGGAACTCAATCTTATCAATTATAAACCTATATGTCTATGTGAACGTAACTAAAACTACTCAATATCTATAATATATGAATATTCATTGAATTCTTTTATTGAATATGCATAATTAATTAATTAGTTCAGTTTTTTTAAAACTGTGTCCTCTGCATTGTATTCAACTCTTACCCTTTTCCCCCTTACTATTTACATTTAAAGAAAGATGTCCTATTAATGTATTTCGTTGGGAACTTTTAATATAATTAATAAGCATTCCGCTTTATTCATTTAGAACATCTTACAACGTAAATATAAAAGCTATTTATAGCCACAATATTTAACAAATAACATCCATCGATATATTCAATTATTGAATATTAGTTTCCAAAGAACTTGCTCCAGTGACATTTTCATCAGATACTCGAATCTTCTTACATCGATACCTTTGAATTTCTTTACGAAAACTTTTATTCATAACCACAAAAATAAAGAAATTTGTTCCAGAATTTAATGATGTTGATAAAACGGAAAAACGAAATAAGATGCTCATTCCTCTTAGGCATTCTCTACTATCATGCAACGAGAAACTCAATTCGAAATATGCCATTAACACTCTTATTGCTTGGATTGAATGAGTAATGAGAAAGCATACGTTTATTGTAATAAGAGATTTTGTCAAGCTTGAATGCCTTATTCGTAGCCTTTTATTTAAAGTCTAAAAGATGATGATAAATGAATATATACATATTGAGTATTTTTTAACTGATAACGTTAACGTTAACTTACCTTTACAATCGATATTGTCATAAATGAAATTAGAATTGAAGGTAGAATTAATTGTAAAACCCATTCTTCAAATATTAAATATATTCGATAGCTTTTATATTTTTTGATTAAAAATGATTTCATAAGCCATTTATTTATTCTTGAATTAAATTCAAGGTGAAAATCCCATCCTCTCACTATACTTAGTAGAAATGATGTTATGATAATAAACGATTGACTTATAATTGTTTTCGTTAAAGTAAATAGTTTACTACGAATTGGATGACAAACACCTAAATATCTTTCGAAAGTTATTAATACCGTTTGCCAAATGGTGGATAAAGCTGCAATGTTATATAAAGGAATACCAATTCTAGCGTTGAAATATGTAAATGTTTTATTTGAATAGCCAATATAAATAAACAAGTGACTTATACCAAACATAGTACAATTTGATAGTAAAAACAAACAATCAGCTAACTCCAATCCAATTAATAAATAGATAGTATTAGATCTATTTATCCCAGATAGGAAAATTATAATTGATAATAGATTTAATATTATCCCAAATATGCAAATGAAACATATTATAGTTCCAAAGATTAACGTTGATATGAAAGTACAAATCTCAGAATCATCTGTTATGTTAAAAGACATAATTTCCAATGATGATTTTATATGGAATAAACTTCCTTTTATATATTGTGTATAATTGGCTTTTTTCATTATTGCCACAGACGACACTAGCAGTATTTATATTGTCCATAGAAAAACTTATAATGAAATGAAGACTGAATGTGTGAAATATAATCTACAAAGAAAGATAAACTTTTCGCTCAAAAAGCCTACTTTCATCTAGTATTTGTTGATCATTTAACATTCTTTATAACTTCCATTGAAGATACTGTTTAACTCTCAGAATTTCCGTCTTTTTTTCTTTATTTTACTATGTCATTAGTATATTTTATACGAACTTCCCAAGTTTCAAGTTTTCTAACAGTTTACTACTGTCTTTCTTTTTATTTAGTAATTTCTACTTTATAAAAGTTTCTGACAATTTAGATGAATAATACTTAAAAGCCTAACCTCGTCGACAATAGGTTGAATATAAGTCTACCGATTCAAAGCTCATGAATTATTAAAAAAAGAATTCCTTTTTTATTCATAAAGTGGTACTGGAAAACCTATAACGTGATATGAGAGTTAGTGACCTCTAAAAAGTGTACTATATCTGTTTCGTCGTTATTAGTATGGTCTTGAACAATCTAGAAAACTCTGTCATAACCCAGTAGTATTTTGGATATGAAAATCTTATCAAGATATTTCTATTATTCTCTCTTTTTAGCTGTACAAGGACCACCGATAAACTGTGGAACTATCCCTTCCAAGTTTGGTCTGGCAGCTTCGAAATATTCTCATCAGGAAAATACCGATGTTTACTTTATTAATCTGGAAGCAAAAACTTATAAGGTAAGAATTCTAATTTTTTGACAATTATTATCTCTATTGTGTATTCATTATTTAGACAATAATCTCTATCGACAAGCGAATCTACCATATAAACTATAATCCAAATGATGAGCATATATATATTTATATTAGTAGTCAATTATACAAATTCCCTTTGGCTGACGCTATAGATAATACCATAACTGGGAATTGGAATAATTATATTATACCGACAAGTACTTCGGAGTATATATACTACCTTGCCCAATTTATCGATATTTATGGGAACGTGATATGGTCTGGTGAAGATAGTTCTAATTCCAAAATAGCTGTATCTAGCTTGGATGGTAACCATAAAAGCGTTGTTGTAACGGGTGAAAGACCTCTGTCTTTAGCTGTTAATCCTTTTAATGGAAAATTGTATTATTATTTCGAGGATGGTGCAAACCCAACTCACGAACTTATCAGAAGAGATCAAAGTGGAAATAACCGAGAGCTGATAATGAATGGAGTTCACATTTCATTTAGTATGGATTACAGTACAGGAACCTTATGGGTAACAAACAACGAAAATAAAGTGTTTACGATTGATTCTTCCGATAACCTTCAAGAGATTGGGGAAAATAGTAAAATAAGAGGTAAATTGGCTGGTATTGGCCAGGATAAAACAAAGATATATTTCAGCGATATCTTCGATCCAAATATATATTCAATTCTAAAGAATGATGTATCAGTATCTGAGAAAGTTGTTTCGTTATCAAAAAGTATTGGTACACTTACAATATATGATTCAGAAACCCAACCATTGCAAGGTTTGTCCTCTATAACATAATACGTTTTATGTTATCCTTTTTTGTATTCTTCAGCTTCTCCTCAACCACCTTGCTATAATCAAAATCCCGGAAAATGCTCCAATGGAATATGTGTTCCCACTTCTTCGTCTACGTCTACGTGTTTATGCGATATTGGAGAAACTTGTTCATCAGCCACGAATGATCCACATATTTTAGTGCATGTTGAAGGAATCTCTCTTCCTCTTTGTTTTGATATCGAAGGAAAGGACGGAGATGTTATTAGTCTCTTCCAGCATCAATCTTCACGGTCGGAACTTCGAGCTCAGTTAAGAGGAGATCAATATTTTAAAACCTTTTATTTTACTACTGAAGGAAATCAACTCTTTTTTACCACTACTAAAGTCATAATTAATGGAGAAGTGGTTAGTAAATGGCCAACAACCAGACCAAAACATATAAATCTTCCAAAGTTACAAATTAAAGTAAGTTATACGTTTTAATAGTTTGACAACTTCCTCCCAAAATTAGAAATATTTTCATCTAATAATTTAGAGCTTGGGTACTACTAAATTTGACATTGAACATTCCAAATGGACAATTCGTATTGAATATGTTCAAAAGTTCCTTCCATATCTAAATATATATCTAATAAAGTTAAACGAAGATGGCAATATTTTTGAAGGAATGATTGGTAAATATCCAAAAATCTTATTATGAATTTTCAACATTTTCAGTCTATTTTCAGGTTCAATATATTCTCAGAATTTTACTTTATCTCTCAACCCACAAACGAATAGTAGATCAATTATCACTGCCAAACATAAAGTACTTCCCCTGGACTATAGGCATATACAAGCCGTAAAGAGTATTAAAAGCGACATTGAATGTTGGATGACATCATCTAAAGATGAAGGACTTTATGTACAACCTTCCATTGAATATTTGTTACCTTGTATGACCTGTTGAAGACATACGTGATGAAATTCAACTGGTTAGGAGACTTATGACCGAAATTTTCTATTATAATTCTTATTGAAAATAAATAAAGGAATCAATAAAAAAAAACATTCATTCAAGTTTTTAGTTGTATGGAAATTTTATGAAAAGAATAAATATATCGCAATTCAATGACCCCTATGTGAGTGGAGAGCCGAAAACTGTGGTTGAATGTTAAAGAGGTCACACTATTATTCAGACGTCTCCGTGGCGCAATGGATAGCGCGTCGGACTTCTAGTAGGCTAGAACGAGGTTATTCGGAGGCTGTGGGTTCGAGTCCCACCGGAGATGTATATATTTTTTTTGATTCTTTTTTTTTTACATACAATTTCATTTTTCTCTTGAACACTCTAAGAAAGATTTAAATTACAGCAAAACGGTTAAAACTTTTGGGATGATCTAGAATTCCATTCTAGTTTTTTAACTTTTGATAATTGGCAAAGAAATATTTATTCGTCTTCTTCCCTTCTTTCTAATCTATTATCTTTAAAAAAAATGGCGTCAACATTTCCGGCTTCCGATATTTAAAGAATAATTTGACCTATTATTTTCTTGACACATACTCACAATATATTTGAAAGGCAGTTTTCATCAAAATAAAAGTAAAATAATGTATAGAATTTACCTATAAATCCTAATATACAGTATATAAATACTATAACTTTAAGAAGTCAGTATAATCATAAAGTTTGCGCTTTTGCTAAAAGTCATAGAAAAAAGAATAAAGACCAAATTCTAGGTCATGTCTCTTTAGTAAAATCTAAATAAAAACTTTTCTATTTTTTTATGTAAAAACAATCATTACTCAAAAATATCCGACAACCTTTCATCTTTTATGAAGGATAAAATGACAGATGGCACTAATAATACTTTAATAGTGTGGTGCACAAGTAATCTGGTATACCAGGGTGTTTATAAAAAAAAAACAAAAGTTAACTTAATTACCTTTCAAAGAGTTAATTTCGCGTGCTTTTTTCATAAACAATGGACAAAAACCAAATAAACTGTCTTATCTGCTTTAACAAAGTTGAAAGTGAGTTATGTAATAACCTTTCTTGTCGATATGGACATTTTTTTCATATTGCTTGCCTGGAAAAATTTGCACGTTTTAAACAAAAACGAAATAATGAATTTATCTGCCCAACATGTAATAAAGAGGGCACAAAGGCAAAACAGAATGTTAATACATCGATAACTGTTGAAGATACTGACGATTCTTGCGATGAAGGTATGGATACGGAAACCCTGAAGAATAACCTTCACGACGACAACTGTAATGCAACAAATTTTGAAGAGAAACTTTTGAAAGAGATAGAGAAAATACAGGAAGATAAAAAAATTGAATTAAAGAAATTAGACCACGAAAAGAAATATTTAACGGCTGAAATTAATAAAAAAGAGGCAATACTCAAAGAAGAATTGGAGTCATTCTATAAGGATAAGGAAACTAAAATACGTAATTTAATTGACGAGACTAAAACCTTTCAAAATATTCAAGAAGGTATGACAAGTGCACTCTTTCAGAGTGGTCTCAATGATATGAGAGAGAAATTAATCAGTTGTATTGATCATAATATAAAGAGAAAAGCTGTATTTAATAGGTCACAATCAGTGTTTATGGGTGAAATATTCTATCCTCATTTAGACGAACCAGCTAAACAATTCTGTATTCAATTAGATAGAATACCCACAAAAGTTGTATTTAAGAATCCAGGCTTTTACGCTCTAGTTCATATCGATGAACCTCAAAGGAGTGAAATAATTAATATAGAAATGAATAAGGTTATGATGTCATCAGAAACTGATATTGGCGATTTATCTAGAACCTATGATGGCAGACTATCATTTATATCCTTATGGAATGAAATCCCTACAATTTTCTTCTTAGATACCTGTGGCATTGTAAATGGTTCTAGAGAGGTTTCATACTTGAATAAGAACGCTCCATTACCTTTATACTTTTATCTTAAAGATAATATCTGCTACTTTTCAACAAGAATCTTACATGTTTATAATAAGCAGCATAATACCTACCTATTCTCTTTTATTCTTAAAGAAGATGTTAAGATATTCGATTCAAGAATAATTGAAGATGACATCTATATTGTTGATTCTCGTCAAAAAGTTGTTTATTTCGATACAATTGGTCAAAAGATGATTGAAATTCCTATTTACTTTAAAGAAGGACCATTTTCATTCCAAAAAGATATTATATCCGAATTAAAAAATGGTAGCTTTATATTATCCAGTGGAGATTTTCTATTCTTCATTGATCCTATGGCGAAAACTGCAGTAGGTTTTAAAATGGACATAATATTTCCAGACGGTCTATTATTAAACTACTGCATGACGGATGAAGAAGTTATCTTCTGTGTAGCCGATCACGATGATGAGAGTAGACTTAAACTCAAATACTTTTCTATAAAACCTAATTAAGTCTAGGAGAGGGATGCAAAAAATAACACTTTTTTATATATATTTTTGGTTCTGTTAGTCAAAGAAAAACCCGTTTTTTTTCCAATTTTTCATACTGTTTCTAGTGTTTCCAGTTGAATTGATAGTATTTAGGTTATTGAATTGTGTGTAGACAAAGGAAGAGAAGAGAGAGAGAGATAGCCAAACAGAGAAGAAATGAGAGAAAGTATGCCCAAGTACAAAATTATACCCTAGGCCTAATTTTTCAAATGTTTATTACCATTCTATAATAAATGGAATAATATAAAAAAAAGTCGTTTTGTAATTATCACAAGTTATTTATTTATAATGGAAAATATTTAAAAGTTAATTTATTCATATTTGATAAGTTTTGAATACAGAATATTATTTCATTTCGAATGAAACGATAACATCTAAGATAACCATTCCTAAACATATTCTTTTGCGGTAATGCAATCAATTTCTTTTCATATGGATCAACAATGAAAATCATTTCTTTATTCGTTAATAAAAAGTGGCCTCCTTTTAGTTTGTTTATTAAATATTCCTTTAATAAAAGTTGTTGATTTATAAGGAACACTGATATTCTTTTACCAATAAAATTTTCAATTATATCTTGACTAAATACATTATAGTATCTAACGTCAAATTCAGATTGCAGAACATAAATAATATTGTCCTTAACCTTTAGATCAGTAATAAATTCAACTGACATACCTTTCTTAAATGAATAGAAATAGTTAAAGTTAGTGTTATGTATTAATATTTCATTTTTTGGAAAAAAGCAAAAGATATTTTCTCCAGTTTTACCCACTTTTTCACTTAATAGAATAGACTGGTTATGACCTACAATATGTAAAAATAGAGGACTTTTATCAAGTGTATCAATAATGTAATTATAAGAATCTGATTTGGATTGATCTTTCCTTCTTGATAGAAAACATATTTGTCCTTTTTCTGTTACAGTTAAATCACGTATATTAAAATCCATAGCTTTCAGCGGGTAATATAATACTTCTTTTGTATCAAGATGAATTATCTCATCCTTAGTCAGACCATAGAATCCGTCGTTATTCGATACTATAATAGATGGATATTCATCCAACTCCGTTGAATATTCAAAACTACTTTCTATACTTGTAACAGATAAAGGACTATTTCCGATTCTAGAAGATTTACTACCAAGATTTAAACCTATTCTCTCTTCGTTAAATCTATTCAGAACAACTGTACCAGTTTTCAATTCGTTAATAAATTGGTGTGCTTCAAAGAAATTATCTTTAAATAAGATATTTGTAATATCACATTTAAGTTTGTTCTTCATATACGAAATTTTCTCTTTAATAGAATTAAAAGGTAAAATTCTTGCACAAGTTTTTAAGTCGTTAATTTCTTGATTTATTTCTCCAATTTTCAATTCTTTTTCATCATAAAATCTCTCAATATCGGATAAATATGAATTTTCCTTGTTTTCAATCATCGACATAAGCTTATTAATATTTTGATGAAAATTATTCAATTCCTTACTCCTTTCTCCTCTTATTTTCGTTAATTCCATAGACAATTCCATTTGAAAATCTTCTAAAATATAATCAACATTTTCCATTTTATCTTCTTGATTTTTTTCGTATTTATTGGCTTTATCTTGTATTTTTTCTTGACATATTAACGTTTCGTCATTTTTCACATTTTCCCTTCTAGAAAGATTAATCATATATTTAGATGTAAACATTAGCTTGCAATTTAAATTCTTCAATCAGTCCATAAGAATTAAAGGAAAATTATTTTTGACAGTAAGTATTCATTTCTAGTAAAATTATCCTTGAGAAATAAGCTTTTGAGAACCGCCCAAATAAAGAAAGACCTTTGAGCCGATCATCCTACAAAACAAATTGTATTTCTAAACTATGGCTGTTCTGTACTATTACTTTTCTTGAAGTTATCTTCTCTTCTTTTGTTTCTTTTTGTTGAGAAAATGAAGTATATTATTGATAATCGTAACTTTTATATTGTACAACATTTTCAAGCAGTATGAATATTGACTTTTTAACTAAAGTAATTAACAGTGAAAACTTGTTTTTGAATACAATAAAAAACGATATCACTTTTGTTTATTACTCAAAGATATGGATGGACACCGTAAATATTTAATACAGTGAAAATTGGAATAATTTTCAAGTCATTGGGAAAGAAATCCTAAAGTGCGAAACTTCAGTTTCATTCTATTTCGAAAGTTCGAAGGTTAGGAGGTAAAAGAGATGGAAAACCGAATAAATGGAAAGTTGGTAAAGATTTGCAGTGTTTGTGGAGAACACATTAAACCAGGAATATTTTGCTTTATTCCTTGTGTTTTATTTCATATTCATTGCGGAGTTTGTTTGGAAGAATATCGGATTTTATATGATAAAAACAAAGACCCTGCTATGGCTTGTCGTCCTTGTAAAGCTGGAATCCGAGCTGAAAATGACAATCACGACCCTAACTCCATTTCTTTTCTTGTTAGTGCTTTTGAAAGATTGAACTCTAATGAAATCCAATAGACAGTGTATTAGTGTAGAATCAATTCAAGCGTTTCAGTGTAATATAATTTTTAAATATGTCTATATATAATTAAATATAGACGCTTTATGAATTGAGACGTTAGAATATAAATTATATTTTCTGAACAAAATCTAATGAATATAGATTGTTTATTTAAATGGTTAAAAATAAAAAACACTATTCAACAAAAACATTTCAAGAGCTATTTATAACTTTTAAAAGTAGAAAATTAAAGGTTCAACACTCAAAAACAGTCAACAAGATACTAAAAAAACAAGCAATGAGTAGTTTGTATTTTTTTCCTTTGCTAAACTGTCATTGAACTCTGTAAACAGCTACATTTAACGATGTTAAAAGATTCTAATTAATGTTTAATAAATTAACAAATAGTATAATAAGAAAATTTTTAGTTCTCTACTTTATTTTATAAAGTTATGTTAATTTCTATTGTAGACGATATCAAACAAACAACAAATGAACCAAAATTGTATTGATTGAGGAATTAACATTTGACAATTAAATTCTTAGGTGAAGGTTTGAGACTGTTTAACTCTAATGTAAGTATTTGAATCTGAGGAATGTGTTGAATATTTCAATCAAATATCTGATTGATCATATGTTTTCAGGTATTATGGGACCAAGGCACAAATTGAAATTGCAAGTTTACTTATACTCTTCATTGGGCTTAACAGAAAACGTCTACAAATGGTTTATTTTTAGGCAATACTATGGATAGATAAAGGATTTGAAAGAATGTAAAAAAATACTAAGAATCGCTACTTAAGCAAGTCTCAACTAAGGGTTAGGAACAGAAAGAAGACTGGGCATAGATTGGCAACTTCAATTTTGACAACGTTTTTTGCTATACCCCTCTCCGGTGATCTGATATTGTTTAGGATCATGAGAGAATAAATCTTCACACTCAATTAGCTTTTAGTAGCAAATTCCATAGTTTTATTTGAAAATTTGTCACTATGAAGTATAATTTTCTTCTTAAATTAATAAAGGAAAAGTACTAATTACATCTAAAAGAAGACTTGGTACCGTAAGTATTGTATCTAGTTTTTAACCCTTTCCTGTTTGCTATGTTAATAAGGAAGAGAAATAAAATTTCATATACATAAATGTGCAAATATTTTATAGTAACATTATATATAACATTTGAATAATTAATTATAAGAAAGAGTAACTATGAAATTTTTCGCCTTTTCAAAGTTTGATTGACTTTACCTCATAAGATATTACATATTTCATTTTCTATATTTTTTCTAGATAAGTGCTTTTCTTTTTCCTTATAAATTGTATTGTTATCTAACATTGTACTGTCAATAATCGAAGTGAAAAATACTAATTTACATACTATTTAATGAAGGCAAATATTAATTATAAAAAAAGTATATATTGTTTGAACAAACAATATGTTCAACAAATGTTTATTACCTTCTAACATATAAAGCCACTTTTTCAATTCCTCCTCATACTGAAAGATTTAAGGAGTTGAAATATGATGGGAATGATTTTTAATTATACTTTCCTTATGTGTTGTATAGCTTTTACCTTTGGTAGCGATAACTGCTATGTGTCTCCTAAAGTTTTATATACTTCCACATCTACTGGACATAGTGACTGCTTTGTATATAATGGTTGCTGGAATAATGCGGAAAATCTTTGCTATATGAGTAAACACTATATTTCCGGCTTTAAAATGGCACATGGTATTCAAATTTCCCCTGGCAATACTATTAAAACGTTAACTAATCAAACTGCGCTTGAATGTGGTATACAATGTCTAAAAGATACTACTTGCCAGTGTTTTTCATATAATAAATCTAGTGAAACTTGTGCATTTAAGAGTAAAAGATGTAAACGTACTTCTGTCGATTTTACTAATATTCTTTATAATAAAATAGCTGAAAACGAAGTAACATGTTATCCTCTAAATTGTGGTGAGATTAGGGTATCACACAGTTCTGAACCAAGCTCCTGTAAACAGTATTGCAAAGATAACACTAATTGCGATTTCTACAATTATAAAGATGAAGCCTGTCATCTTTTCAACGAAGATTCTTGTGATATTACTGATCCTGATAAACTTAATAGCCCCTTGGAGTACCGTTGTATTCCTAATCCAATCTTCAGTGATGAAATGAAAAGAACTGGTCCTAAACTCCGGAAAATAATCGATACGGAAGACGCTACATGCATTAAAATGAATACTTCTACATCTTTCAATTTACGAATACCTTGGCCATCTTTATCACCAACTCTTAATTTAAATAATACAGCATTTAAAGTAAACATCACTGGAAAGAATTTAAAGCAATGTATTAGAATAAATGAAGGTATACATGGTTCAGGATCTGGTATTCTTGCCTTTGTACCTTTTACTGAACAGGTTGTACCTACTTTTGAAGGAAAATTTTACGGATGCGATCTGATATTTGGTGATGATAGTACTGTTTGTACTTACACCTGTTCTTTCAATGATAAAATTCTCCAAGCAGTTCATATCAAAGCGTTTGCAGTTGATGAAGATGACATGGAAATCTGTAGTTATAAAATCACCAATTAATCTTTTTCCATGTTAATAAAAATCTTTAATTAACTGTATTATTCATGTACTTTCTGATATTTTTTAAATATACTTAGTATTGATTAATAAATGAAACCTTTTAAAGGCGATTACATTATTTTTAATGTCTTTTCAACATTCTTTTATTCAATTGATATTAAGTAACAGTCTCAAGTCTTTGTAGTTTTTCTTCAATTCAATCTATATTTTGCTAATAAAACATTTTTCATTAGACATATTAGCATCAATATCTTATGTAGAAACAGTTGAATGTTAGTTGAACACAAACATTTCCCGCAGGTATAATTCTGTGTAAGCAATCAATTGACACATGAAATATACAGTATTTTAAATATCAATATTCGGATAATGTAGGACTTATACTTTGATTGTAGAGGCTATTTTTTTAAAAATGTTGTTATAGAAATAATAATATACCGGAAACATATATGAATATAGGTATTGAATGAAGTTTGCTCAATTTGGGTTAAATAACGCTTCATTCAAATAATTAATCAATATACTCTCTATCATACCACACGAGTATAAACAATAATAAAAGAATTCTCATTCTATCTTTATTTTAAAGACTGACAATCATAATTTATTCAATTTTAATAAGAAAATCACGTTGACAGAACATTATAGAAACAAATTTCCATATTATCGTCATCAGAGCCAAAGCCTCTTATGTAAGCTGCCTGACAATAGTCTTCTCCACATGTACACTTGTATATACACTCCGTATCATTATTGCCACTTTCGTATTCACAAGCGTTAAATGGACCACTAAAAGATGGACTTATTTGGCCATCTATACCAACATACGCCAGAACGCCCGACATTGTTAGACCATATTTGATATTCATACAATTTTTCATGTTTTTACCTTTAATAACAATTCGAAAATCGGGATTTCCATCTCCAAGATTTGGCCATGGAATTCTCAAATTAAAATCTTTTTCAGTGGTTGAAGCAACGCAAGTATCAGCTAATTCTGAATCAGTTATATGGATTAGTTTCGATTGACTGTGATCATTTAAATCTGAATATATAGGGCCAGGCAGAAAAGTAGTTGCTGATAACTCGCGAGCATTACCTGGATCAAGTATATCACAAACTGTATCTTTCATAAAGCAAGCAGAGTTGCTTGCGGTACTTCGTGGGGCCACAAAGATTTTGCAAGTAGATTGACTTTTACAAGAAATTGCACAGGTATTAACATTTTCCATAGTATTCGCTATATCATTTTGCGCGCAATTTCCCGGATATTCCGTCCATTGTTTCACAGCCATTTTGGCATAGCTTCTTATATAATTAGAGGGTTCAACACTGGAGCTATATTGATGACATATAGTGTCTCTTAGTTGACAAGTGGTAATGTCAAATTGATAAATAAAGGTTTCACAATTTTCATTGAAAAGACACCTTCTTCCACATTCTTGCAGACTGAGATTGTTATGTTGGCTGATCACCAGCCCCACTTCGCATATTCTTTTTACTGTCCGAAAGCCAGCAACGTAATCGTTACCTATATAACATCCTTCAGCATCCCAGCAGCCTCCATAAGCTAAGCACTGTACCTCAGGTGTTGTAGAACTACCATAAGTTATTCTTTTAGAAACTACACAGTTATTACTAGCATTACCTGTCTTAAATAGCAACAAAGTAATTAACACAGATAAAATGTATAAGATTTTGTCCATTTTCAAGTTGTAATACAAAATGAACTGAAGCAAAATATGACGTGAAAGATATATCGTATTTTTTAAAACTCTAACACATTTATAGATTTTTCATATTAAAAAGAAATATCTTATTAATTTATTGAATGAAAAACTTATTTTTCAATTTATTGAAGTAAAAACCCTATTGACCTGCCTTTTTATTTAAACTATGGGTGAAAAATAATAAGATAGAAATGATTCTTCTACATCGATTATTACTTTTCTATATAAGTGTACAATACTTTCACCGATTTATTGAAAACTATTGAACATAGAATAGGAGAAAGCATGTATTTATAAAACTTTGTTAAAGTTCTTTCAACTCTTTCATAATCATATAGAATCAATATTATTATACAAATATCATAGATATAAATGTACCCAATCTAGAACCTTCGACTAAAATCAAAATTTTACCCTAATTAATCAAATATATAGCAAAGTGCGAAATAAACTTTCGAGAAAGAAGAAGAGGACTCAGGATATACAATTGCTCGATAAGACGCCATCTTTTGCGTATTTCTTTAAAGATGATTGTTCAAGTATAAAGATATGTACTGCATAAATATTTGTATAACCTACTAATTCTCGTACACGTAATTAAATTAGTTGGTTGTATATTTCCAATATAAGTGTAGTATTGCTTAAATAATTTACCTGCCTTTAGTGATGTAATAGTCAAAAATCTCTTCAAATCTAAAGAAGGTAAATAAATTGTAATCATTTTGCTAAAATATTCATGACATTGAGCTGTTTTTGAAAGAAAATAGATAATTGATACATGTGTTTCTCTACGTATAAGAAGAGAAAAAGCAAGTCATTGCAAGGTTGAGAAAATAGATAAATCTTTGAGATAGTAGTTAAATAGTTGTATTTGCTCTTACCTTATTAACTACAATAATGTTTTAATATCAAAGAAAATACAAATATAGTCATTGTAAAGAGGAAAATACAAGATTTAAAGAAATATAGATGTGAAGATTCTTAGAGGAAATTATAAGATATTATAATAACATATCTCCATATTATCATCATCTGATCCAAATCCTCTTATATATACTGCTTCACAATAGTCATATCCGCATGAACATGCATATTTACAGTTAGTTTCATCGTTGCCCGATTCCAATTTACAACCTGCAAATGAGCCTGTAAATATTATGTTTCTTTCCGGATGTATTGGTAGGTAAACTATTACTCCAGCAGATTGTAAAGCATCCGTAGATCTAAGGCACTTTTTCATATTATTACCCTTTACTATAACTTTAAAATCAGCAACATATTGGCCGATTGTTGGCCAAGGAACTCTAAGATTAAAATTTGATGCATTGTTAACTTGCACGCAAGTATTTAATGCTTCGGCATCTCTAATTTTGACTAAATTTTGATTATTATTATCATAAATTCCAGGAAATGCAGGTCCAGGCAAGTAAAGTTTACTCTCGAAGCTTGATGGCGTATTGTCGATAGGACATATAGTTTTCTTTAAAACACAATTTTCGTTAGTGGCTTGGTCACCATTTCGAACAACTGTAATAAAATCACAATCCGATTGGGTCTTGCAGTTTTCCGCACAGGCAGGTGTATTGACATTCGGGGTACCAATATCTGTGGTGACTGTTGCTGTGTTAGGACAAAGGAAATTGTGAAAAGTCCAATCTTTCAACGCTTCTTTCATATACGTTTTCATTGTTGCTGAAGAGCCAGTTTGGCCAACGTTAGGGTTGGACCTTCCCGAACATATTTTATTTTGACTATCATAGACAAAATATTCACACGTTGTCTTCCTTAAACATATTCTTGCACATTCTCTAGCAGTTATATCGCTTTCGCTAAGAACTAAAGTTCCAGTTGTATATTCTCCATTCAATCTAATAAATCCAGGAATGTGGTCATTCGCATAATAACATTTGAACGTATCATTCCAACATCCACCATATCTTAGACAGTCAAATTCTTGTGCTAGTTTAGGACCAAATCTAACTTTCTCATCAACATCGCATCTGTCACTAGAAGCGCAGATGATTAGAGTTGATAAGAGTATTATAATCATTCTCACCATTTATAGATGTAAAATATGAACTATTTGAAGCAGACTTTACATATATGTCTATATGGAAAATGAAAATCAATTAATTAAATATTACCAATACTGAGAAAATATTTGCAAGTCCTCAGACAAGGATTACCCACTATAAAGACTAAGAACTAGTATTTTTGTATTAATCTCTGTTAACTCTACATCTTTATGTTTATAGGAAATTCAATATCAAATATTAACCAACCTCCACAATTTAATTGATTATCAATGCTTTGCTTACAAAATGTAATAATTTCTTTTTACAATTAGAGTTAATTAATTATCAAAAAGTGCTAAAGTTAAGGATTAAGTTAACATTTAACCGTTAAACTTATCACTTTAGCCGAATTGCTTGAAATATTCAACAGATGATATTTGATTAAATGGATCAAATTTTTATTTTTGGAAACATAGAACAACAATCAACTAAATTCAATACGAAGAATACAAAATGACATTTTTCTATGACAGAACTTAATTATAAAGTATTTATCCAAAAGAAATGACTGAATAAAAACAAAAGAATCGAATGAATAGGAACATTTCCTTATGAACCTTTATCTAATTGTTTTTATCCTTTATATCGGTATATGATGTATTCGTTCCGTTTCCTTTGAAAAAGACAGTCCAAATATATTTATTCCTTCCTAAGTTATTCTCTGCCGGATGAACTAATAATTGTATAGAACTATACATCTTTCGGTTCTGTTTGTTCTATTATACGATAAAATGCTAATAAATCAGATATATTACTTTAAGAAAAGTAAAATATTCTCATAGACAAGAAAGGTAATAGCATTTACAGGAATTGCCTAACCCTGTAAAAAAGCCATTCAATCCTTTTTTGGAGTATATTAACTTTATTGTTGTTTTTAGGTTAAGTTTCCAACCGTCAGTTTGAATAACTGATTTTACAACGTCGGAAGGCATTGCAACAATCCATGAAACAACGCCACCCAAAGCACCAGCAACAAGAATTGATGATGACCTGCCAAAGTTTAAATTTTCTAAGAGGCCTCTGCTAACATCGTATGTAAAAATATATAGGCCACACGCTGGAAGATCTCTTATCACAAGCATATTTAATCCTCTGTATAAAAGAAATATCCCCTCCTCTTTAATTAGAACTTTATCAATTAAAGCATTCAAATTAAAGTACAATAATCGTAATTTAACCTTGACTCTTGTCAATCTGAGATTGTAATATAACTTTAATTGAATCGACAGGACACGCTACACTCAACTGAGCTACCCCTTGATCTTGTATCATTGTTAATGTAGTCGTAGAGAAGTTCTGAACAATGAGATTGAACACCAAAGTAAATTGAATTTATAGCACCATAGGATAATAGAGGAAAAGAAAGGCCTCTAAAAGTTCCTTTTGTCTGTATTAATTTTAATTGAAAGCGTTATTTGTCTTACCCGACAAAATCAATTTAAATTTTTTATTAACTTACTAATCCGCTATGTAGAACACTCTTGATCGCTTTCAAGTTTCCAGAATAGGGTTTACCGATGAATTGTTGAGTTTGTATTTGTACTTTTACTGTATCCAGAGGATGGCCAACTACTAAACTGGCAGAACCTAAGTTAAAAACATACACAATATACTTATAGTATTTTATACAATATTACTATTAAATTATAATTAACCTCCAATTGCTCCTGCAATATATTCGTTTATACTGGCCATTTGGTAAGATGAATCTGAAAAAGATTAAAGGTCAAAGGTCATATCTTATTATTTTTCTATATTGGCGTCAGCAAAATTTCATCTAGAAAGAAATTAATAAATTTTCCTCGTTAACATTGTTTCTTTTTATATTAGAGTTAAAATTGAGAAGAACATTTAAATTGTAAAATCTGTAGCTAGGCCTGGTTTGTATCTTCGGAATATGCTAATTATCATTTATTATTATTATTATTTAAGTTTATGCGTAGATTTGAAACCTTATGACTGAAAAATAACTGCAAACTATTCAATTCATCTACATTATGAAATGATAATTATCATGAAAATATACAGAGAATGAAAATATGCAGAGAGAGATTGTTCGGAAATGATTAGAGAAGAGCTTATATAGACAATAGGAAAACAATGGAAGTCTACCATTCTGGTAGGCCTACTGGACAATTAGAAAACTGAAAGACGATAGAATTTTCTTGTTAAATATTTACATTTTTAATATTTTTAATTCTGTAATTTGTTGTTCTTAAAGACTTAAAAGAAAACATGGCGATTGGAAATCTAAATGCAACCGGTATTAATAAATTTAGGTCACAAATAAACTTAAAGTCTTTTTTTTCCCTAAATGAAAAAGTCAGCGAGATAGTGAACCTTTATTATTGATGGAACCTAATTTTGGAAAGATAATCTCTTCTACATCATCTGTAATTAAAAACTATTATTTATTATTAATTCGAAAATTTCATATTAATGAATCTAAACTGGCAAATCATTAGAAAAATACCAATAAGATAACCTTGACAGAGTGTATATTAAATACTATAACAATACACTTTCGAAACAGTTAATAGATGGCCTAGAATTCGGTCCTGTTAGATGGAGAGTGGGTATGGCTAAAACAACATTTAAACTAAGCAGTTAGCCAGGCATTGTTTAAGAAGAATGATAGTATTGTCTCTATTCACCAGAGCACACAGTTAGATCTTTTCAACTTACCTAGAACCAGAAAACCAGTTGCTTGGCTTTTTTTTAATATTATGAAAATGCAATATAAAAGAGCTGGTCTGTATTATACAGTATAACCCTTTAGTTGTAACCGGCAAAGATCTCTATTCGTATCAGCAGGGTGGTGGAAAGTTGGACTTAACTTGGGAGTTACTATAGCAGTTACCCGTTCACTTTGCTCATTAACCTCATTCTCGTACGTCTGCCAGCAATTAATTGAAACCTAATCTACATTAGTTGTGGATTGATATGAAAATTTGAAACGTAAGAGATCTCTAATCTCTTCTATGGCCGAAATGACTGACGAATGGAAGAAGCCGAATGTTGTCTTGGATAGAGATGATGATGAAACTAACGCTTATTTATCAGATGATGCTATTCGTTAAAATCGGTTATTTATCAGAGTTGATCCTTTCGAGATAGATAGCATAAGAAGCTTTTGGTCATTTTATGTTATAAAGCCTACAATAACAAATGAACGATATCAAAGAGAAGGAAAGATGAAGATGATGAAAACTTTTCTTCACAGTTGCTTTAAAGCTATAGTTACTTCCGTTCAGAATAATAACAATAACGAAATATCGACTCAATGAATATCTAGAAAGATCTCATCATCAAATGCTTCATACAATGAGAAATTTAATATAAGAGAGTCCTAACAGCGATACTTTCTCTTTATATTCTTACAATCTAAATAATAGTTTGTACATCAAAGAGAAAATGTTAATAACAATTGTATAAATCTGAAAATATTCAATACAGTATATCCTTTCACGGAAGAAACTTGGTTTGTTAGATATACGATTATTCCTAAAATTAGCTGAATTTGATTGTAGCTTACTTTAAGAACAGTATAGAACTAATGCATAAGTATACACTGTATTACACAAAAAAGTGAAAACTATTTACGTCTATACTTTTTATGGCCAAATTTTATTTTTGAAGTTTATATGATTTCTCCTCAGAACATAAAAGAAACATCTAACAAAAACAAAGTATTTTAAAGCATAAATATAATTAACTTCTGACTTATGACAGAAATATGGCAAGCTCAAATTAGTAAAAACACATAAAGAAGGCAATTTAACTCCAAAATAAATATTCTTATTTTATAGCCCAATAGCAATTCAATTGCTGAGATCTTCGCTCCTGGTCCTAATTAATCAATTATTCATTTAAATTAGCATAATAGAACGCTTCTGTTTTTTTAAATTTCTCTAATACCTTATAAGTCTTTCAAGGTTGGCTTTCGATAACCGTTTCTTAGCTGAAAATTGAAAAAATTATAAGTTTTTTGAATTTTAAAATAATATAAATTAATAAATCAAATGGAAGCAAATTGTTAAAATTTAAAGAACTGATGATTTCTAATGAAGCTTAACTACAACCTGGAGATGAAAATACGTCATCAGCTATTTAAGTAATCAGCATAGTTAGTGATATTTTGCTAAAATTTCAACAAAAAACTTTAAATTACTTACTAGTTTCAGGCGCTTCTTCAGCCAAGATGCTCGTATAAACATTTGTTGTGACTATTAAGCAGCAGAGAATCATTGGTCCGAAAATAGCTCCTTCAAGACCTAGCCAATAAACTCCTCCTGCTATTGCTAAACCAGTTAAGTAAGGATGACCTCTAAATAAAGATGAAAAAATTGTCATTACATTAATAATAACAAAGGTTTAAGAGAAATAAATAATAGAAAATTGGGTCATCAGAATAATTAAACAAATGTTATTTAACTCTAAATGAAAGGCACAATATGCTGATTGGAGTAGGAATCGGACTAACGTAATGGAAAGAAAAACAGAATAATATCCTTATTCATTCATTAGAAGAGGAGCATATTGGTTTTCCAGTTTCCGGGAATTAAAGGGAATGCAAGATATGTATGATAAAGATCAAGATCACTCATCTGAGACTCGCGTTTCCCTATGATCAAGTCTCACCTTGTTCAATTAATAAGCCCGGAAGCGGAGACACGAATGGTAAACCAAAGAAGAAACAGACTTTTATTTTTTATATAAAAGAGTGATGCACATGATTTTCCACTTGTATCTCCCTTAATGTTTAAATATAAAAAACAAGGCAGTAGTAGTAAAATAAACTAACCCTTTAATTTCAGCATAAATTGTAGTATCAACAATATATGTAGGAAGAACATGAATAGTAGCTAAAATTACAGCTGATATCCAATCATTGTGAACCAGCCATAATTCCAAAACAGCCGGTAAAGCTGCCCAATATGTACCTATAAAGGGAACGGCCCCAAATGTTGCTGCTAAAGCGGCAGGAATAAAAACAATATTGATTTTGAAAAAGGTATGCGTAAGCCAAGTGTATAATCCATAAAACATCATCATCTTTAGAGACGCTTGAAACACAGAAGATATAGCTTCGGATATAGCTTGCTCTAAATTACTTAGACTTATAGCACTAATCCATTGGAGTGGCTTGTAGGTATCGTCGCTCGAAGCGAGTAAATAGAATAGTGTAGTTACGAATACGACTAGAGATAATAAAAAGTTCAATATTGCCGTACCACCTCCTAAAAGCATGGATAACGTTGCCGTTAAAATTGTTATGACTAGATTTACATTTCCTTTCAAAACAAGGTAGACAGATTCCAAAACGGATGTAAATACGTGCATATTCTCTTTCAAAAAGCCAACTATGTCTAGGTTTAAATCAGCTATGTTTCCTGTTATGTTCCACAATTGGGAAATGGAAAAATCCATTGAAAATGATCTATAATACTGTGGTCTCTTCTGTTGAGATACGGGAATCGAATCTGTTGCATTCTAGAATAAAAGTAGTTTTTATCAATGTTTTAAACTTGAAATATATCTATATATTAGCGTATATAGAAAACTTACACGATATAACCAATTGTGGTAAAGCTTATCCCATATAGCTAAAAATTGATTTTGAATTCTCTTTTTACTTTCAGCGTCAGCATCGCTAAGAGAATCTGATATCTTTAGCTTTATCCATTGTCTTCCATAGTGATATCCCTTATCCAAAACTGAATCAAGTGCTTTTTGCATATTTTCATTTTGAGGAATCCAGTCACTTATATCAGAATTCATAGATTTATTTAAAACGTTGCTTGTTACTGTAACAAGATGAACACTCTCTCTATGAACCTAAGTTAAAAGAGCAAAATCAACAGATTTTTTTATTTTACATTTCTGAGAATTTCACATACCTGTGCAATGATAAAGACAGATGTTAACACTATGGCAAAGAACAGCATGAAGATAATAACGAGACTGAGTAACTTGTCCAGACCATTTTCAAATACAGTTATTAGCTATTGGGATTGGCAAAAAAAAAAAATTCAGTTATAATAAAATGCCATATCAATCGAAACACAAATTACTTTAGAATCGCCTTTCAATAAAAGTTTCCAGATTCCTCTGATGGGTCTTGGAGCGATTAAATCTAATCTCGAATCTCCTCGCACTTTCTCGGTCAAATACACAGCAAAGTCGGCTAATTGCTTTCTGAAAATTTTCCATGAAGTCAATTGCTTTCCTGCTCTTTTAGCTAGAACAGGAATAACTATAATAGGGCCAAGTTGTATAAGGAACCAAAAATTATTCCATATTTGAACAACTACAATAGCGTAAAGCAGATAAATGAAAAATTTGTCGCTTAATTTCTTTTGTTTCTTTTTCTTTTTAGGCTTTACTTTGTCGGATGAATCAGTATTGTCAGTTGATTGCTCTAATTTGTAATAATAATTAGTCTCTTTTTATTATACAAAGGTATTTAATTAAAAAATTTTACAAACCAGTTTCTTTCGGTTCGGGTAATATTCCAATAGAAGAGAGAGTTTTAGTGAGATCAAAACCATCGTGTTCATCGTCACTGCTACCAGTACTGGATGTTCTAATTTCAGTCACGAAACCAATAAGCATTAGGGAAGCGATGATTATGATTAAAGGCAGACTCATTCGAATAGTGCCAGAGGCTGACGCCAAATGAAATATCATAATTATCCATATCGGAATAGATAATTTTTTTAGTACAAATCTAGTCTCTTCCGACCAAAAGAATAAAATAACAAATACATAGCATGCAACCAAACTCCAAACCTAATAAGTAATAACAAAGTATATTTCTGTTCTATTATTTTACAATATAAGAGTATCTATAGATTTACTAACTATATAGGGATGATTAAAGTAACCCAAAATATAATAGAATGTATATATAAAATATTGAAGCCAAGATATAATTGATTGTAGTGGACCAAAGTGATATAGAGTATAAACTGAACACAGAGTGAATATTATAGAAATAAGAATTTTCCATTTTTCAACAAGAAAGGCACCAAATGTCTCAGATATCAAGTCTGCAAGCTTTAAAAGAAATAGTAAAGTTATTATAAAACAGTCGTTTTCCTTTTTTTTGTTTACATAATAAGAGGGAAGAAGAAATAATTATTTATTGAAAATAATCAAATTATATCATTAACAGCTTATATCAGTTTTATTATCGTATTAAAAAAAGAACAGTTGCGTCAGAGATAAGAGAATCTTTAAAAATGAAAGGTTCGATTTATAGGGTATAAAAAATATTAATAATTGTAACATTTCTTCTTTCGTTACTTTTCTCTAATCGTAACTTTCTGATAAAGTTAAAAAACTCAACATAATGTCTATAATAGACAATATATTGTACATAAAATAAGTTTATGTTAGAAGATATATATTATACAAATTTTACTAATGAGGTTATCAAAACAATTTCCTAAGAATTTTCTCTTGAATGTTAAAAAGGAATGTCTTCAATATGCTAAATTTGGTTTATAAGATTATCCTAACCTGGAATGGAACTAGCGTTGTCCCAACAAGAATGGGTGTTCCGGATATTTTCATACCCTTCAACCATTTTCCTACTATATCGTATAAGGTTTTTTTAAAAGGGTAAAGGAACGATCCGCATAGTAGAGCCCATAATAATGGTTTGATGAAGAATTGAAGTATATAATAAACAGCAAGACATACTGCCAAAACGATTGCAATAAATAATGTTGCACCAGTGTTATAGAAGGCTTGTTTCAAAGCCTTATCATGTCCTTGCGGAAGAATATGCAAGACATTTTCAAATGGTGAGCGTAAATAGGCGCTCGGTGAGGCGGCCATTAAAAATCGTCTGCTATCAAGTTATTATTATTTTATTTAATATGACTTTCGTAAATGAATATAATAACGAAAGTTCACATAATCACTCTCGAAATAATTTTTATATCTATTGCTCGCGCACAGTTCGCTCTTTGATACTAACTGATTAAATACATATCGCGACAACTGATATTTAAAAATGGAGTCACTTCTCACTGACTCATATTCCACCATTTTGAATATGAAGCTTCGTCTTGTGCCTGAAATGCACCCGGCATCACCGACAAGCAGACAAGGAGCTAACAGCAATTAAATTAAAACACCAAGCGTACTAAAATTTTGGCCTATCTTAGCAATGAAATCAACTAGATTTAACCGATAGAATTAGCTTTTTCCACAAATAATCTATAATAGCCGAGTAATTTAGTTGGAAAAAAGAAATACGTCGAACTGTAAAAAGAAAATGCAGTCATTGCAGTATTTTCTCTAACTGTCTAAGGATATATAAAATATATACTGGAAAATGGGTAATAAGAAGAGTTGTTGTTTTGTACCAACTGACGGAGCTATCGATCAGAAGAAAAAAGTGGAGGAAAAATATAAAACCAATCATAAAGAAGCTAGATATAACTTGGAACCTCCTCTAATACTGACAACCTCTGCTTCAAATGTTCAACATATCAGCGAAAGAGAACCTGAGGATTGTCAAGATCCGTCAAATGACCCTGTCACTAAAACTCTATTTGCTGTTAAAGGCGAAAGAGATCCTGCTGGGAAAAATCGTAAGTTCCATTGAAGATCTTAGATATATATCATGTATTAGTGAAATATATAATATTCACATATAGTGTATACTATATATAGATATATATATAATGAGAGAAGGAGAGAAGAGAGGATAATAGTAATATGTTTATATCAGTAATTAGGACATTTTCACTCAATGAAAAATACGCTTGACTATTTAATTTTTCTATAGCAGCATTTAGTTAAAATATTACTGTCAATCGTATCTTGTAGAGCTCATTTCTTGACATCATAAAGTACGTAATTACGTAGATTTTTAAAAAAAATATATATTCCCTATTAATTCTGTTTTTTTTTACTTTCTATCCTTCCCTTTTACTTTGTATTCTTTCTTTCTTCTTTCTCTCTCCGTCCCTCTCGCTCCCTCTCCCTCTCTTGGTATAATACTTACTCTTATCTTATTTCTCCTCTTTTCTTTCCCTCTTCTAATTATAGCTAAACATACTTTTTAAGCAAGATGCTCTATGGGGCAGCTTAGACCTTCTTTATTTAAGTATAACTGAAATATACTTCTATTAACCTTGCAACTCAAATTAACTTTGTAAAATTGAGTGACAACAAGAAAGACTAGATATTTAGAGTAGCAACCTCTTTCCAAGACATTTATAGAACATCTCTCTATTTTTGATTTCTGCATAATATGTAATCAATGAAATGTATAGGAGTAAAGAAAATCATAGGATCAATGAAAAAATATTGAATTTAACAACTTTCTTGTTTATTTATACTCGAAAAAAAACAGATAGGAAAAATTCTTGTCGGAGAAAGAGTCAGTATGATAATCACGTCGTTATCCATCCACACTCGGGAAAATTAAGGAAAAAGTATAGTTCCTGTTCAACAATATATATCGACGATTCCACAGTCACTCAGCCAAATTTGAAAAATACAATTAAAGCAGTCGCATTAGCCGTTTATTTACATATAAAGAATCGATCTAACGAAGACGATCACGATTTAGACTTGGACGATGAAATTGTTGAAATTTTTAATGAAAAAGTTCACCCATTAACGGTAATAGAGATTGAAATAACGTTAAAACTTTATTTATATATGTAGTCTTCAATAATTCTTTCCAGAGGGATTCCTTGCCTACAGACTACTGTCGGAAAGATCCTGAACATAAAACAATATATCGTTTTATAAGAACATTGTTCAACGCCGCCCAGTTGACTGCAGAATGCGCTATAGTTACATTGGTAAGTAACACAGTGTAACTTACGTAATAATATATTGATAAAAATCGTAATAAAAGCAGTATAAATCAACAAATTTTCTATTTGATAGACTTATTTTAACTATGTATTATAATTAAGTTATATATACAAAAGCAATTTGATTATTACATTTCTTAGTTAATATGAGAAATTATATAAAGTATATGATATATAAGCTTTTAATTACTATTTATGGTAATATGTAAATGTTATTCGCTTTGTTCTTTAGCTAGATACTATTATATAATTATGCATACAGATATATTAAATGTATTATTATATATATATATATTGCTGTAGGTTATATAAGAAATTACAGTGTAGGCGTATATTAAATTCTATACGATTTTGCTGAAAATATCTTTTAAACAAATGACAATTATTTCCATTATGTACGTTATACGTAATATTACTTCGTAAGTAATATTTGAAGTGAATTGATTAGAAAGGTTAGATAAGAGATGGGGCTAACCGTTTTTATTCTTTCTTCTTTTAAATTAACTACTGTGTATAAAAAGTTTCGTAATCAAAATTTTATCGATAAAACTTTGTGATAAAGAAATATATATCTATGTAGGATTTATCATTTTATGATATAGTTTATTATCTTTTATTTGCTCTATACTGTATTGTTTTGTAAGTAATACTGATAATAACTACTTAAATAAATCATTAACTTCTTCCTGATTTTCATCTCTGTTCCACAGGTTTATTTGGAAAGGTTATTAGCTTATGCCGAATTGGAATTGGGTCCTCTAACGTGGAAGAGAGCACTTTTGGGTGCAATAACTTTAGCCTCAAAAGTTTGGGATGATCAGGCGGTTTGGAACATTGATTATTGTCAGATACTAAAAGATGTTTCTGTGGAAGATATGAATGAACTGGAAAGACAATTCCTGGAATTGTTACAATTTAATATTAATGTTCCCGCAAGCGTATATGCTAAATATTATTTTGAATTGCGTGCTCTGGCGGATGAACACGATCTAAGCTTTCCTTTAGAATTACTCAGCAAAGAACGAGCTATAAAATTAGAGGTTAGTTTAACTATGGTTAACATATGCCATCATGTAGTGTCCTCATACATATTCATATTAATAGAATAAGTGTTAAGGATATCCTCTTTACTTTTAGAAAAATGCACGAGAAATTGATTGATACTTTGCGTCAATGTTCATTTTAATTAGTCGTTAAAACTTATCCCAAAAAAAAACATTAAAAAGAAATCTTCTAGTCAATGTTTTTTAATTACTTTAATTTTAAGCCAAGTGATAGGAACAAAGATACTTTCTTTTAGCATTTATATAGGAAAAATTGATTGAATAAATGGTTGTTTTATCTAGCCGTTGATTAGAATAATATTTTTTCATTATTGCTTTATTTTAAATTATGCCCAAGCTGTGGGAAATTTGTTAAATTTTGTTAATGGCTAAAAGAAAACATAGTGAATCAACGCAATTGTACGCAATAATCTATTAAAGAAATTGTCTAAAAAGTGCTAACTATAACCAATGGAGATTATAGAGAAAATTGTCAAATCATTTATCACACCATTACAAAACGGGAGAAATTTTACAACAAGACTTAGCGAAGATTGCCCAGTCAATTAAAAGATTTTTCAACAGTAAGAGGATCAAACGCTCTCTGACGTTAAGTAAAAACTTTCCAATGTTTTTAGAGGAAATTTACCGGGAGTAGGTCAAAGACTTTATTAGTAATCGCTAAATTTCAACTAATACCATCTACAATTCTAGAAAAACACAGGATATAAACATTATTTACGATACCCTACCCTGTATTTTCTATTAGTATACAAGCATATTTTTAGTATATATAGTATTATACTATACATACTGTATATGCGTATAGAAAATGATACAAATTTGTCTACTAATGGTGTGTAATATGTTATAATTAGACTATAGATTCTATTGTTATATTATTTTACATTTTATACAAGTATTATTTAAATAATTAACTTTGTTATAATAACAATTGTATATTTATAATAATAATTATATGTTATATTTTTCCAACAGGCTATGTCGAATAATTGCGAAGATAAATTGAAAGGCGGCTTAAAAAGATCTGTCTCAGTAGATGGTGCGATGAATAAAATCCATACTCGCGCCATTCTTTCATAATGTATAGTTTTTTTTCTTTATTTTCTTTTTATCTTTTTCCCAACTCGTTCATTTGGATTTTTGATTATTTTTTAAATAATTACTGTTTTTCTCCATTTTTTTTCATCTACACTTACACATGCACATAGTCTCTCCCTCTTTCGCTCTCTCTCTCTCTCTCTCTCTCTCTCTTTCTCTGTGTGATATATAAAGTATATCAGAGATTATGTATATCACTCTTACTTCTCTTCTCTATCAATTTTTTTTTATCCTATGTATCTTTCTATTTCTCAGTCTCCCACCCCCTCCCTACTTTTTTTTTTATTCCTACTAAATTATCTTTTTCTATCTCTCCTATTCTTATTTTCCTTCTCCCCTTCCCTCCCTCTCTCCCTCATTTTCTCTTTTTTCTATCCTTACCCTTCTAATACCTGTTCCTATTTATTAGATACGAATTGTATTTAATTAGAAGTATTTATCCTTCTATTATTTATAGATGTTTTTAAAAAATATCATTCCAATTAATGGATAAAGAGAGGTGTTTTTTTTACCAAAATAATAATTATATTTAAAAAAAAATTGTTTTTACGAGAATACAAATAGATTTTTAGTAATAAAGTGTTTCTGTTAATGATAATTATTATATTGTTTATACTAGACGACATACTTTTAAGTTATCCTATCTATCATCTACAGAAGGTGATGAACCGGATTAGATGTAAAGTAAGTATTATTTTAGGAGAAACAGAGGTTGGATATCGCCGTGGTTACCACTGAGAAATTAATTAAAATGTTACGCAATTTCTGCAACAACCCTTATGACTAATTGATTTTTAGTATAGTTTAGTTAAACTGATAAAGAAAATGGGGGTTTTTACGTTCAATCGATAGGATGGAACAACTGAAAGATTTGATCGACAATAAAATCAATTTAATTCTCTGATTTCTAATCTGAATTTTATTGAAAATAAACAAAAACAAGGAAACAAAATATACACAAATAAATAAATAATTTATAATGAAAAGCAATAAAATAGAACGTGAAACACTTTTAAAAAGAGAACAAAAATAAAGCTAATTAGCTAAGAATATCTTCTATCTTCCTATCTCGAACACTATCAAAGCATGTCTGAAGGATCTCTTTTTTTTCTCCATCCTATAAAATTTCAAGGTGAATAAATAACAACAAACTATTTACGTTTAGTTTAAAAGTGCTTACAAACACATATACAGAAATAGAATGTCTAATCATTCTATTCTCTATCACTTACCATAAGATAGGGATTCACTTTCAATTCCATTGCAAATCTCTTAACCCAAATCATTTTCCCTTTTTCGATTAATTGTATATGTGTCTCGAAAGATTTTTGCCTAATTTTCATGTAATGAGCAAAGCCAACGCAAATTAGGAAGAATGATGTAATAATTATGGGAATAAGAATAGCTCCGTTATAGATAGTCTTTTGGAAAAACGGTTTGGGTACCAATTTTATATTCTCCCATTGAGTTGTCCATATTCTCATTGTTTTTCTATCAACAAATTTACATTTCCATTCGCCTTCGTGTTTTCTTTTCATACCTTTAATCTGAATATGAATATAAACAAAAGTCATATCAGTATAAATTAATAATGTATCGGGATTATAAGGTTAGTAAAGAAGCGTGAATGCCAAAGAACGAAGAACTCTTTTCTTGTGTCAACACAATACATTCTATTCTTTCGTTTCGTATTTCTAACTTCCTAGTAAAATATACCCCATTCGTAGGCCTCATTTAGACCTGGCGATCTCTCTCTCTCATTCATTTCTAGGTTTTTATTCATTCACACCAGCGTTAAAAGAAAAAAAATATAAAAAAAGATGGAAGATTATGAAAGAAAAAATGATTTGAGTACTCTTAACGATATCAACTTATCAAGTATTACAACTATACTAAAAAGAAGATTTGAGAAAGATATATTTTGCGTATGATATTAAATTAAATTAATTTATTTCCTATTAATTGATTGATTTTGTAGACATTTGCTGATAATGTTATGTTTTTTCTCGAACCTGAAAATCTACCGAAAAGTTTCCTTTCAGAGGTAAGACAGAAAAAGATAAATACTTAATGATTTCAAATATTTAACTTCCTTAATTGATTTTACTTAAAGTCTAGACGTATTTATAAAGATATAGAAAATGTTCACAGCCACCGGACACATATATACAGTTTGGCTAAAATGGTTTTTGATGATTTTACCTTTCGTAAAGAGAATAAATTAATTGTATTACATGGAGATATTTTAAATAACGACAATAGATTTAACATAATAAATATGCTTACTTGCCAACTTTCGTTCTTACCACAAAAGAGTTTGGTTAAGGAAGAAAATATAACTTCGGTATTAATATTCGATCATTTATATTTTAAAAAAAAGGCCTATATCTTTCCAATGAATGTTAATAATCTTATAACTTTTAAATAGAGTATGAGAATACTGCAGGCATTTAGAGATTGTCAACAGTTTGATAATAGGATACAATCAAAATGTGTGAAGCTATTTAACCTTTATTATAACGATGACAATTTTTTTACTGGCGGTAAGTGAATCAAGTTAAAAATATTATTAAAATATGCTTAATGTTTGATGTATGTTTAATAAAATTAAAGCAAATATTCAAGAGTTCTTTTCGGATTGTGATACAATAACAAACAGAGATATAGGTGAATATAACTTTCACATTCTCTATCAATTATACTATGGAGGAAATTTGGAGTGTCTTGAAAAAATCAAGTATCCTAAGCTGCTTAGCGTATTGACGAAAGACAATGAAAGAATTATGCCTGAGGATCCTAATTACCGTGAATCTTATATTAATATTAAAAAAGACCTAAAAACACTATCATTCTCCGACAATGTTTGTTGTTTGTCAATGAATTAAGTTGTTTATTATTCATTTATTTATTTATTTATATTAGAATATAAAATATATGGAAAATTGTTTGGCAGCGGTTCTTCTTCTTGGTGAACTTCGAATTTCAAATAAAAATTCAAACTTGCAAGTTATTGGGCCTGTTGAGGACGGTAACAAAGAATTTTCTATAATCAGTTAACCGTACATTGTAACCTATGTTTGTAAACAGCTGCTAAATTACTTGATATGTCAAGTGAGTCCTTCATTGAATTTATTTCGTATGAAATATTTGATAGGGAAGAGAAAGTCTTAAGATCGAGCTATAATGCTACAAGCTTTTGTTTAAAGTTGGCAAGGACCCTATACAAACAACTATCCAAATGGGTAGTAAACAAGATCAATGATCATTTAAAGCAACACTTAAGGTTTGTCTTCTCCTTCTTTTCAATAGAAATGTTAATATATTTAATTACTTTCGTCCTAGTTCTGTGAATCATTCTTTGGATAACTATAGAAAAGTTTCTATCATGGATTCACCTCCTCTTTTTCAAGATTGCCATTCGACGTCCCTTTGGAAATTTTTATCGAATGCCAGAGTAGAAAATATGAACTACATATATAATAAACATGTTTTCAAGGATCCACAAGATAGCTTTAAAGCAAAATTTCCTTGGACAGATATTGTATCGCATTATGAAAATGATACCTTTGATCTTTTATTCAATGTGAGAGAATGATTAAATTACCTTTATTTTATTTTATAAACCTCTGAAGTTTATTCCATTAGAAAAATAATGGACTATTAAAAAGACTTCGGGACATTTCCAATCCAGAATCTAGCAGCTCATCCGATTTTAAAACTGAATTGAGAAACGTTAAAAATAAACAGATAATATTACGAAATAACACGCAATTCGGAATTAAACATTTCTTAAATGATGAAGTAAGGATAAAACGTTTCTTTCCTCTTTTCCTTATCGTATCCTAGCTAGTAAAATTTTTGTTTTATTTTGTTTCAAGGCAAGTTACGATTGTAAAAACTTTATTGAACTAAATAAGGACTACGTTCTTCCTAACGAGGTATTTTCCGATTTTATTGGACTATGTAACACATCTGAAATAGGTAGAATGTGTGAAGTATTCAAAAAATCAAATACAAGCTTTCAAAAGTCAAAGGTTTTGTTATCTGCATCTGATCTAAGAACTCAAAAATTGGAGGTAAACTTAACAATACATTTAAATGTAATTTATTAATTGAAAGCTAAAATTGGATACTCGACTAGGATGCTTTAAAAGAAATCTTACCGGAATTCGAAGCGAGTGAAGTGTATTATCTATGGTAAAGTTTCTTATCTATTTAAACTTAGTTAATCTATATATTTAATATGTATTTTTTAATATTTATAGCTGCGTTAATCATGCATCTACGAATGAAGAGAAAAGTCTAGAGGAAAAATTAAAAAGTTTTTCTATTGAACAATTAACAATGCTAAAGAAAAAAGGTTTTAGAACCGTCTTTTACGACACTGAATTACCTATGACGTAATTAAAATTTTACTTTAAAGTATTTAAAAACACTCTATCTATTCCTCTTTTTTTCTTCTTCTTCAATAAATCAACAAAATAGATTCAACTTTCTACCGCGAGACAAAGAGATAGAAGGTATACGAAAGTGTTTGGAGGAACATAAAGATTCTTATAAAGAAGTGGGAACAGCAATTTACCTTAAAACTATGGCTTTAAGGATATTGAGAACTCATAGGAACAGAATTAAAAATGAAACATTAAGAGGAACTACCGGAATACCTAATCTACATGAAGAGATAGAGGAGAATGAAGAAATTTCTGATAATTATTCGTACGTTTCATTTTCATCCATTAATGAAGCTAAGCTAGTCTAAGTAAGTTTTATGCTGTTTTCTTACAAGAACAGATGGGATCGTCCCAAAATACTTCCAGCTGAAACACACTCGTCTATTAGCACAAATAGTTGCTGTTTAAAATTCTGCCGAGTTCTGGTATACTTTTTAACATTCATTTTAGTTCTTGGACTTTCCATTCTAAGTCAAGGCAGCTTCATTATGCTTCTGGGAACGCAAAGAAAATATATGAATGACGTAAGTATTGCATAACTTTATAAAAACTAGAGAAGAAGAGAGTAATTAGAAAATTTTATCAATTAGAAGTCTAAAGATGATCTAAGCAATACAATTTATGGACAGCTTGTAATTATAACATTACTTCCAGAAGTTTTACAATTACTTTTAGAAACATTCCGATTCTTTATGAATAAAATTAAGCTACCGGATATAGTAACTATAGTGGTAATTAATTCATAATTTATAATAAATATTTATCAATTTTAATAATATAAAATCAATATATCTACTCAAAGGCAGTCATTCCAGAAGCAGCTTATGCGTTTGGAGTATCCATATTAGTTTTTAAAGTTTTACCAACTTGTGGATCATTTCTTGCCTTCTTTATAATTCATGGAATAACAATAACACCGTCTATTATGAAACTACTGGAATATACTACTTTCTCTAAAAAGACTATAAAAACACATTGCATAAAATTTATAGTAGACATTTGCAATTTTGCATCACAAGTGATCGGTTTAATTGTTTTAACGATTGCTGTAGTGAGTTCATTCGCAGGGATAAAATCCAGCCAAGAATCACAATACGTAGCAGCTCTTGCGATTATAATAGTTTCATTAAAGTATTGGGAAAACTTTGTTGATTCTAAAATCTTAAACATAGATTTTAAACAATTCAAGACAAATATTCAAGATCACAAACCAATCCTAAATTTTATTTCACTTCCAATAAAAATTGGAATTATAGTTGGAATGGCGTAAGTTTTGAAATAGATACGTAAAGCTGAACGAATTGAAATATAATTAAACAATGTTCGTCTAGATACACGTTCAACAAGGATATTGATTGGAAAGGATCACTTTCGGATAGAGAGAGTCAGAAAGATTCTTCAGCATCTTTCACCTCTGAAAGAGTTCTATTAATAACCAATTGCATCTCATCATTCTGCTTGTTTCATATTTGTCATATCGCTTGCCAATTAAGAATGCAAATTTTTAGTTTGGCTACGCCTTTGATTGTTTTCTCTGGTCCTGTATTAGCTGGATTGATCGCTCTGCAATGCGAAGGTTTTATTGATCCAATTAAAACAAAGACAGTTGGCTTGGAATTTAGTTTTTATGCTGATTACAAGAATGGTAATAAGAGCAGTATTCTATTTTTTGGCATATTCTGGCTCATAGGGATTGTAATAACAACTCGACATATTTGGACGGAACCACGTGACAAAGAATCAAAAATTGAAACACTCTTTACTAATACAAACTTCACTACCTTCGCTCCTGTTTGCAATATTTTATTTAGCAGAAAGCAATACGCTGATGATTATCAAGTACACGAAGATTATCAGTTTGGTGCTTATCAACATCTCCCAGAAGTGAATGTGAACGAAAACATTCAAAATTCACCAGAAGTGATTGCTTGCGCAACTATGTGGCACGAAACTAAGGACGAGATGAAACAATTGATAAAATCTATTGTGATCTTGAGCAGAGACTGTTATAGGAAAAGAACGGTATCACAAAAAGCAAATTATCTTAAAAGTGAATACTTCAACTTTAGCGGTAAGATATTTCCCGTTAGCTTTAACATCTCAAACTATCAAGCATATCTCATTTCTTTATTATAGCCCACATCTTCTTTGATGATTGCATGACGTTAAAAGAGGACAAGAAAAGAAAAGGGAATTTCTTCGTTGTCAATGAATATGTACGAAGATTACAAGAAGTTATTAGCGAGACGCTTTCACTCTTCGAAACTAATAAAACTGATGAAGTTATAAATCAGAGTCCTAGAAAATATCGTACGCCCTACGGAGGAAGATTGGTTTGGGTGTTACCAGGCAATATTGAACTAGTAGTACATTTGAAAGATAAGCATAAAATAAGGCATAAAAAGAGATGGTCTCAATGCATGTACATGTATTACTTAATAATGTTCAAGTTACTTGAAAATGGGAAGGCTCTACAAGATAGTTCTGACGCGTGGAAAAAAATTGTTTATACAGGATCGGAATATATTAAAAGTTTGAATCAAGCATCGCTAAAGAAGCTGGCCAACACCTATATTCTAGCCTTGGATGGTGATGTAACTTTCAAGCCAAAAGCTATAGAATATTTGGTCGAATGTATGAAACAAAATATACAAACAGGAGCAGTTTGCGGTCGAATACACCCTACTGGTAGAGGACCAATGGTATGGTATCAAGCGTTTGAATATGCTGTTGGCCATTGGTTTCAGAAAGCAGCTGAACATATTTTCGGTAGTGTACTTTGTTCTCCTGGTTGTTTCTCTTTGTTTAGAGTAGCCGCCCTACTGGACAATAACGTTATGAAAACCTATTTAAGTATTGCAACTGAACCAGAACACTTTATTCAGTACGATATGGGAGAAGATCGGTGGCTATGTACTCTACTCATACAGCAAGGTCATCGAGTTGACTATATTGCCGCATCAGACGCCTTAACAGTTGCACCCGAGAGTTTTAGCGAATTCTTCAAACAAAGAAAACGTTGGATTCCGTCGACTTTAGCAAATATTGTAGATTTATTATCGAGCCATAGAAATGTTAAAAATCCTAATATCAGTAAATTCTTCATATGGTATCAGTTCTTTCTATTAGTTTCAACCATTCTTGGCCCATCAACTATTATCATCGCTATAGCGTCAGCTTTAGATACGATGTTCCAAGATTGGGATTTATGGATTTGCTTCCTTCTTTCCTTGGCCCCTTGTATAGTCTACATAGTAATTTGTTTGACTACAAAGTTGAAAACACAAATTAAAGTGGCCCAATTTCTATCTACAGTCTATTCATGCGTAATGTTAATTGTGCTAGTCTCGATTATAAAATCATTCGTAGATGATAACATTCTCAATCCATCGCTTCTGTTCATAGTTATTGTTGCTGCAGTATTTGTGTTTGGTGGTCTTCTACATCCTGAGGAAGCATCCTGTCTCATTTATGGCATCCTTTACTTCCTATTTATTCCAGCTGGCTATCTCTTTCTAAATATTTTTTCCATATGCAATCTTCACGATATTAATTGGGGTACAAGAGAAACTCCAAAGGTAAAAACTAAAGCCGAATTAGAGAGAGAGAGGAAACTAGCTGAAGATAGAGAAAAGAACAAAAAAAGATCGTGGTATAGTGGTCTATTAGAGAGATTAATTAGAGATATTTCAGCAATATTTGCTCCTATATTAAACAATAGAAAGAAATCGATTGAAGAAAGCAATCTTATCTTCATGTTGAAAATCTTGGGAAAAGATATCAAGAAATTACGACAAGTAATAGTTAATATATCCAATAAACAGTTGGAGCATGAAAATGTTGAGGATACCGATGATGAAATGATGGAGAATATTGACAATAGTTTAAAGAATTTGAAAGATGAGAAAGATGAGGAAGAAAAGAATCAAGAAAATAAAGTAGAAGAAATTACATGTGAACCAGAGGATATCGAAGAACTAAGAATCCAATTTGAAAATTGGAATACTGCATCTTGGATTAACGATACTGAATTGAATAGCTTTCTAACCGATGAACTTGACAAGGATGAGATTACTTTTTGGAAACAACTCATTAAAAAACATCTACAACCATTCGAAAAGAACGAAAGAAAAGAAAAACAAAAGGGAGCAGCTCTGATAGAATTACGTAATTCAATGTGCTTTATGTACTGGTTTAGCAATGCACTTTGGATATTATTGAACTATTTATTAATGAGCGATCAATCGTTATTTATAAGTATGTTTGGGTCTCGAGTACACGGCTTAGGTGTAGTATTTATGGTACTATTTACAGTGCTTCTATTCTTTCAAACTATGGGATTGATCCTTCATCAATGGGAAACTTTCGTAAAAGTAATTTCGAACATACAACTAAGTCGTAAAAAATTATCTCAAGGTGAAATGAGGCTAAATCAACTATACCATGAGTTTTATGGAAAAAGTCAAAATCAAACTAACAATATGAAATATCCACCCCAATATGACAAATATCGAAATATTAATGAACAAAATAATAAGAGATTCCAAGGAAACAGACCGCAAAACATTTACCGCGAAGCGCCAGTTTAACAAGAATGAGAACAACAACACTTGTTTGTACAAACTATTTATATGTTAATCTATGAATACTCACTGACACTTTATTCATATTTCTGAAACTTTTATCTTTTATATACAACCATTTATCTTGTACCTTTTTATACCAACGAATAGTCCAATTGCTGAACAGTATTATCAGACGGTCGGCGTTACAAGAAAATGTTCTTGGATTGTATAGAGTTTCCTCTATTGGAATTGGTCTTTGCCTATTAATAACTGATAATGCCCAAAAATCTATTATTCGATATAATCTTCTTCCGGTTGATTTACTTCTCCAATATTCAGCTTCGCATGTATAAACACCAGAATTGAATGGGTATAATTTCGTCAAAAATATTGAATCTCCCTCAAGAGACGTATAGGCTGATAAACCCAACGAATGACCATTAAATGTCCAATAAATTTTTACCGATGGTATCTCATTTCGGAACATCTTTGTAGCTAAAATATTACAATTTAATAGATGTCTCTTTAAGACTATCTTTTCAATATTATTGAATGTCTGATTAATATTCTTCTGAATTTCATTCTCAAGTGCGTCGCTTAATTTTGGCATTAATGCTTTTTCACAATCAACATTCTCATTGCAAGCTATTCCTGTAACGAAAGCCGACCCTGAACAGACAAAACCACCGAACATTGGAGGTGGATTTGAACACCATCTTCTCTTTGACAATACACCACCAGGCGAACAAGTCGCATTACATTCGAGAAGAGTCCATTCTGTCCAACCACCGTTTATAGGACATAATAAGTTTGCCTTACACCACCGAACCTCATTCGATCTACCAATACATTCTTTCCCACCAGCTATTGGAGGTGGATTATTACAATATCTAATCCTACTTCGTCGCCCCTTTTAATTAATACAAACTGAAGATAAAACTAATAGAAAAACAATATTTATAAATTGTACAAACCCAACCACATGTGACGTCACAGTCCCTACTCCACATACTCCATGAACCCCATTTACCATTGACTTTATTTAAATTGCATCTATCTATTTGATTTTTGATGTGTTTTAAGTTTTTTCCAATCATTAACTTATAACAATTCACCTTCTCCACATCCATAATTGGAAATGTTTGCTCAACTTTAAGTAATTGTTTTACAGTATCATTCCATAATAATTTTATTGTTTTCTTAAGTTTTGGCAAACAATATCTACCAAAACCTATACATTTTCTAATTCTAACACTTTGAATGGATTGCCAAGATATTATAGTTTTACAATTGTCGTTTATATTTTTAGGACAAGCTGTCCACGCCGTCCAAACTGTCCATTCCTTTCGGCATCTGGGTAAGTTTTGTAGTTTACCCTCGACGTTTACCTCTTGCATACAACTTCTAAATTGAGCCATTAGTCTATCCGTAAACTATTATGTATTATTAAAATTAATAGAAATAATATGCAAGTAAAAGAAGGTTTAAAATATATTTACTGGATCAGAGCTAATCCATCGTTCTTGCCTTAATCTTGTATCCTCTTTTAGAACTCCTTCACATGTATATTTATCCTTTGGTTCGTTTCTAATGCACATTCGCTTCCTATAAGCCATAACCTTTTTCGAATAGCATTCAGTTGGACAATGCCACTTTGAACCAGACTCAAATTTAAGCCACGCACCCCAATGTATATTTAATTGCGGTTCTCTTTTAGCCGTACGACTATTATTGCACAAGCAATTCGTTATCTAAGACGTTATTTAGAAAAATATTTAATAAAACATTTAATTGATATATTCACCTTTAAAACTGACCTTTACCTTACCAATTTTACCAGGACATTTGAAGCGAGAATTTCTACTTTTCTTAGTCTTTTTACAAAATCTAATATATTTTGATTTATTAATTTTATAGCAAGATTCACGACATTCTGACAAACTTTTCCATTTCGTCCATTCACCTGTAAAATCACCATCCTCAGTACAATCAAATCCAGAGGTTTCGCAATCAATAAATTTTGTTTGACTTTCCCCATCTTTATCAAATCCGCAAGCAATTGGATGCTCCGCTCTACAATCGATTAATTCATCCATAAACACTTTACAACTATTACATATTCTAGAGAAAGGCTGACGACCTAACTAAATTTTAGGTCAAAAAAAAAAACAAACAAAGATAAAGAGTTTTTAATTAAAAAAAATTAAAGAGTCCAACTTTTTCCCAACACTTTCTTCTACAAACACCGGAAGCTTCCCAATTTGACCATGTATTATTTCTTAAGATGTAATCATCTATTTATTCATTAAGACATCGGATTATAATTGCTTATCATTACTTTTGAAGAATGAATAATAAAAAATCTACCTTTTTCATTAAAGTCAACTGTTTCAATATTTTTTAATAATTTTTGATTTTCACTACTAATTAATTCAATGTTAATTGGTTTTTCATTATCCAATAAATTGAGGGTATTACTAAAATCTAGACGATTGCAATTAATTAATAATTCATTAATTAATATATTTATTAAAAATTCATTAAATATATTAAACATATCTCTATTTAAAATAAACAAAATAAACAAATATAATAATCGTCATTTATATATGTTAATTTTTATTGGTAGTTAATTCATACTTATAGGCCTACTATTTTTTTTAATTATTAAATGAAAAAGAGTTTAATTAGTAGGGGAGGCCTAATAAAAAATATTTTAAGATATCGAGTATTTGAATGATCGCCTAGATATAATCTATTTTTATTAACTACTTATTATAAAGATAAGACAATTACTAATCAGAGTTCGTATCTTGTCTTAGGAGTTTCTCGATTTGCTTTGTAGCGATAACATTTTCAAAATACAGTCTTTATATTCATTTTTGTTATCTGAGACTCAAAGAGCTGATACGTAATATCAGCTAAATCTAAAGATCATTTATATCAATCTGAAGCAATTTCTCCTGGGGATTCGTATAATTAAAAAAAGAATCATTTTAATTAAATGAAAGAGTAAAATTTCGTTTAAATAGACTTAAAAGCATTTTATTAATAGATCTTTTATCTTAACTTATTAAGTGTAAATATAGCAAACGCTTAGTAATCTTAACTCTACCGTAAAAGATGCTTTTTGACGATATTCTTGGAGAAATTGGCGAATTTGGGCGTTATCAAATAGTTTCTTATGTTGTCCTTGGAATGTTAGCAATACCTGCTGGATGGCATAATTTAGGTATTACCTTCTATGGTAATAAATTACATCATCATTGGTGTAGAGTTAAAGAACTCGATGAATTTAATAATTCAATAAAATGGAATGTTGCAATTCCAAGAGATGATAGCGACGATAAATTTGAATGGAATAAATGTAGAATGTTTAATTTGAATTATTCAAGTTATAGACGTGAAGATTTTCTAAACTGGAATAGATCTATTAGCGAAAATGCAGGGACAATTGAATGTAATAATGGCTGGGATTTTGTTACTGGCTTTAGAACCGTTATGCAAGATGTATTTTTTTATTTTCTTTTCTTTTTATTATATCTGTTATTATTCTATTATTCATTGTTATCAAAACAGTAAAACTATTCAATATCTCCATTTTAATCTTCCTTTTTATTTCTATTTATCAGTTCAATTTGGTTTGTGGAAGGTCTGCTTTAGTTTCTTTAATTCAAAGTATTTATTTTACTGGTTTCCTTCTGGGTACTATTGTTTGGGGTCAATTCTCCGATTCGTAAGATATAATAATACTGATAACAATATTTATTAAACTTTTTGCATTAACTACTCTCTTAGTCGTGGTCGGTTAAAAACTGTTTTGATAACTGTAGTAGTTCTTATTGTATCTTCTATTGCTGCCGCGTTTGTACCCTCAAATAATGTAGGATATGGTCTCTTTGTTACTTTGAGATTCTTTGTTGGCTTTGGAGTGGGTGGTTCATATACTACTGCCTTTGTAATGGGTAAATAATTGAATAGAAAATAACCTTTACTATAATAATAAATCTTCTTAGCAATGGAGATTATAGGACCAAAATTTAGAGCTAAAGCTGGAATATTTGTTCAAGTGTGGTTTGCTCTTGGCTTCATGACTTTACCTTATATGGCTAAAGCCATGCCTAATTATAGAACATTGCAGTTAGTTACAGGCGCTATACCAGCTGTGTTTTTACTATGTCCTTTGTAAGTTAAAACTGACATAAGCCTATTAAGTAAAGAGAAACTAATTAATCCTATTTTTAAAGGGTAATAGACGAAAGTGCTAGGTGGTTAGTAGCTGAGAATCAAGATGAAAAGGCAGCTAAAATCCTTGAAAAGATTGCAAGATGGAATAATACAACATTACCCGCCAATTTGAATTTAGAGGAAAATCGTAAAAATATTGTATCGGATCGGAAATATACAGTTGCTGATCTAATAAAAACTCCAAACTTACGTAAAATTACCTTAAATATGTGGGTTAATTGGTTAGTAGTTAGTCTTGTTTATTATGGACTTTCGTTAGAAGCAGGAAACATGGGAAATTTAGATTTTTACCTATCGAATTTTATCTCTGGTGCCGTTGAAATTCCTGCATGTCTCTTCACTATTCTTATATTAGATAGAATAGGAAGAAAGATACCAGTTTTAGGTACAACCCTATTTGGAGGAGCTAGCTGTCTGATTGCAATAGCCTTTATGAAAAATACGAATTGTAATTTAGAATAGAGTGGATTGTTTTATTGTTTTAATATATTTCTAATTTTTAGCCGTAGCATTGACAGTTTGTTCTGTTATTGGTAAATTCTTTGTCAGCATGGCCTTTGCTGTTATTTACGTTTGGGCTGCAGAAGTATTCCCAACAGTTGTAAGAAATGTTGGTGTTGGTGGTTCATCAATGGCGGCTAGAGTAGGTTCTCTCGCTGCTCCTCAAATAGGACGTTTGGTAAAATTTAACAACTATAAATAATTAATAGTATTATCATCTTATTTATTTTCTATATAATTTCTTAGAAAGAAACGTGGAGACCTTTACCATTCGTTATTTTTGGAGGTACTTCTCTAATTTCGTGTGTTTGTTCGTTTTTCATACCGGAAACCCTTAACAAACACCTTCCAGAAACCATTGAAGATGGTGAACTATTTGGAACGTAAGTAGTCAACACTAGATTTATTGTAGATTAGAAAATGTACATTCAAAATCAAATTTTGGTTTAAAATACAGATCGAAAGCTAAAGTAAAGCCAATAGAAGATGAAGTTTACACTATTTCCAAGTCAGATTTAGGACAAGAAAACCTAGATGATAAAAAAAAGGAATAATCTTGACTTAATGCATATTAGATAAAACATAATTGTTCGATTCAAACATATGTTAAGTAGGCTAAATGATAAATGGTTGTCGCTAAAATATCAAATAATACATCAATATATTGTGTATACAGTTTTTAAACCTTCCCTACTGTTTAGCTTTATAAGTCCTACATAAAGAGAGACATCACTGTTTACGAATTGAATATACACAGTACTACAATAAAGCATATATGTATATACTTAAATATATTTATATACTTGTATATAAATATATATATATATATGTTCATAGAGGCCTTTTTAATGTATGTACTTAAGTATAAGATGGTATATTTATAAGCTTTCTTTATCATAGACAAGCATGTGTTCATAGTAAGCACTATCAATGTATAAACTGACACAAACCGAAACAAAATCGTATATACAAAAAAACAAAATGAAAAAAAAAATAAACAAAATGCAATAATATTTTATTCGAGCGACTCGTAAGATTGAACCAATGTTCCCTCCTTTGTAACTGTATAATAGGTTCCGTCAATACCTTGAAGTATGGTGCCTGGGGGATAACTTTCAGCTGCTTCTTGAGGATCTGTATAAACTTCTTGTTGTTGTTCTTCTGCTTTGATGTACATATTTCGTTGATCATCTACTCCAAATTCGGTGCTATATTCGTCTGCTGATCCTTCAGGAACAGGAACAGTGATAGGCTGGAAAACTGAGGTTGAGATGGGATTCACTAACTCTGTGGCGGTAACAGTTAAAGAGCCTCTTGTAAATTGAACTGGTTCTGATGCTGACTGGGCTTCCACCATAGAGTCTGAGTAGCTCTCCTCTGGTTCGGGATTTAATAAAATAGGCTCAGTTGCTTCATGAACTGTTTCAACAATAGTTGGTTCTTTTTTCTCAGAGCTATGCATTTCAATTATGCGAACAGTTTTTCCATCTCTTCCGACTATACGAATCCTGGATTTCTCTTTTCCCACTCTAGTGGGAAGCTTAATGCAATATCCTGATTTTCCTGATACAGGATCAACTCGAGGTTGAACTTCCGGCTGAATAGTTTCTGTAACAAATCTACCTGATGATGTTGAAGACATAACTCGAATTTTTCTTGAGTTTCCATTTTCCGATGATAATGATTTCATAATATCACCAGAATGTATATGAACTCGGGGTTTAACACGTATAATTTTCGTTGACTTTTTATCAGGTGATTCGTCAAAAGCCTCCTGAACATTTGCATTGCTGATGGAATCAATAGCTGCTTGGATTCTTGCTTGACGTTCACTTTCAATAGTGGCAACTTCTACTTCTTCGGCCACTCCTTCAGTGCTGCTCAGGGCAGGTACATTTCGTGAGGTGCTCAATTCTCCAGTTGCTTTCTTGTAAGTAATTTGCTGAGGGTTTGTTCGGGCAGAGACTTCTGTTTCACCAACTAGACTCTCTTCATCCTGCTGTGACTGCTGCTCTTCTACGGCTTGTTCTGAAGTTTGAGAGGATGGTATCGTTGCATATTCATGAGATGATAATGTTGAAAGAAGATTTAAACCAGCCAAAGAGTCGTCTTGAGGTGGTGTTCGGGCAGGAGGTGGGTAAGTTCTGATCATGGGTCCGCTGGGGGGTGGAGGGCTTTGAGGCCTATTGGCCATCATCAAAGTTGCAGAATGCATACGTTCGGGTGTAATTGCTAAGTCATTGAGAGGATAGAGACCGTTATGTAAAAATTTTCTGACCATATCCTGTGTCCAACTTTGTTTCCTCCAGACTTTTTGAAGTATCATAGCTAGTGCTCTCTGATTAAAGCTTTCGCCTGTATTTTCAGATTCCCATTTTCTGGCTTTTTCCGTCATCGTGGTTTCTAAATTATGAGACACCGAGTGATCCAGCGGCTGGAGGAGGTGGGCAACTCCGGGAGGCATGGATATAAGAAATATACGCTCTTCTTTGGCTCTATTCATTAATTGCATCGATATGGTGCTAACTGGTTGGGACAAAAACAAAGCGACAGGCCTAACTGGAGGTATACGTTTGATAAAACTATCAAACCACCAAAGCATCATATCATCATTTACACGACCATCATACGAACACACAAAAGTAGCATCTGGATTAGTCTCCTTTGCAGAAGAGAGTTTCAAGCGTTCACCTTTAAAAATAACGAATGGAGGTAACATGATACCCTCCGCTGAACATGTCAATACCATAGTAAAATTTAAATAAACATTCACTCTGACATCATTAGCCACATAAATTCTATCGGGTTTGGTTATCAACCTTTGCCTTTTCAAAGTATAATTTGCAATTTCAAAAAATCTTCTTAACAAACCCTTTTGTTTATTAATACTTGGGACTGGTGTTTTTTGGTTAGTTCGATGAAATTCAATTCCAGGATGTCTTCTCATAAAGCCTCCTAACCAATTATGGCCCGGTATGGTATTCTGGTATGGACTCTTGTGGCCATAATTTAATCTGAGTATTTCACCAGCCCTTTCCCTAATATCTTGACAACGAACTAGGAAGCCAGCATGAGCCATATCACGTATATAATGTACCAGTTCTAACTCTTCTTCAGGTGAGAGTACTGTTTTAACCCCAGGTCTTGCGCCATGCATTACTCTACCATTTACTCGATCTTTCAACGAAGAATATGGTACATTAAATCTTCGAGATGCAGCGCGAATTGTTATTTTATCAGCTCGAACCATATTTAAAGCTTCTTCCATGTCTTTTTGTCTCCATTGCAATCTATGAGCGAAAGGACGAGGTTTGGGCCTTTTTTTGAGTCTATGTCTTTTCCCGCCACGGCCAATACCTTCTAACACACTGTGTATTCCATCATCATCCATATCGTCGTCGGGATCCGCTGAATAAGGATGATGTCTACTTTGCAAAGAACTATAGGTATCGTTCTTCATTTTATGTCTAATCTCACTTTTAACTTCCTCTTCAGCCCCAATTACAACCTATTTTTAAAAAACAAAGTTTAGTTATAACGAAATGATGGGCCTTCATTTTAATAATAACAAAGCATAAAGCAAAATGGCGGCAATCGCGTGATATTGATTGTAAAAGATTGAACCTGATGTGTCTCTACAATTGAATCGTCCATCATCTCTTGCTGATCATCATCTTCATTCGAGTCTACTATTTGTTCAGTAACTTCTATTCCTTGAACATCGCTCAAATTGTTTGCAGCTTCGTCTTCGTTTTCGTCATCCCTATATTCATCTTCAGTCGGCTCATCTTTCACCGACTTATTTTTTCTCGGCGACTTTGCCGATGTGAATCGTCTCTTCCTCTGTCCCCTTTTCGGCATTCGGAATACAGAGCGAAAATATAAATTAATATATGAAATTTCGCTCGACCAAAATGGCTGAAAACTAATGTACTCTCGTTTTCTCTCGCGTACCCTCGTTGTATACAACTGATAGAGGTTGTTGGTTGCCCAGCAAGCTATTGATCGGGAAATTCTGAACGGGACCACTGAACCACACTAATCTCTGTTTCTTTCTGATAGGCCGACGAAAAAACCTCTAATATTTACAATGAAATTGTATAAAGATAGTCTGCTATTTATGCACAACCTACTGCGTAAAAGGCAAAGTATATATAACAATGTATTATGGGATTTATCCTAAACGCATACAACTTTTACTGACCAATAAAATCAATTTTAAAAGAGACAGATCTACGAAATAAACAAACAAAAAATATATGTAAGCTGATTGGTCAATTCAAATAAAAAGATTAACTGATGAATGTCATGAACTTCCACACCACCCAACCCAAGAGATTAGATAAAGCACTTGATATAAGTAGTTCTTATTTGAAACATGTTAACCTAATTATTTATTACTAGATAAACAAAGAACAATTAACAATAATTCGGTGTAGCACTCAAGATAATGCCAAAGGATAGAGGCAGTGTACAAATTATGTAACATAGTATTATGAGTTAATACCACAATTATATTATGCAGGTTTAGTCTTTTCAACTAAAGACAAAGAAAAAAACACTAATTGCTCTCACAATCTTATGAGAATTGATTTCTCAGTAATAAAACATCTTCTTTAACAGAACTAACTTGTCTAGTAAAATTAGTTAAAGCAGTTGCTTGCTCTTCACTTTTAAATACCCAATCCATCCTTTCCGTTTCTAAGCTGTTCACTTTTCTCCTTAATTCATCATTTTCATTTGATAATTTCGTAAATTTTTCATCTGCTTTCCCTAATTCAATTTGTAGTTGATCAACAGTTCGTTGTAAATCGGAATGAGCTGAAATTACTTGATTAAGTTGGACTGCTAACTCTTTCCTCTCTGTATTAGAATTATCCATGGAAACCTTCCAACCAATTTCGGCAAGTCTATTCTTTTCGGTCAGTTTATTTAGGTTGTCTGTCACCTTCTTTAATTCTTTAACAGCGTCATCACGACATTGAATAGCCACTTGAAAATCTCTTTCCTTTCTCTGACAAGTTTCCTCAAGAACCGATAATTCCGATTTGAGACGATTTTCCTCTGATTTTGACAAATCAAGATCCCTTTCAGCTATTGTTAATGTATCTTTAAGTTCTTGAACTGAATCACGCAATTGGTAGACTTCCGTTCTCGTAAAACCTTGAAAAGAAAGAAAAAATGTATTATACGAAGCAACTTACAAAATAAAGAATATAAAGCAATTTTACTGCTATTTTCCATTTCCTTTTGTAAGCTTTCTACACGCGATTCTAATCGGCCTTTTTCATACGATAGTCTTTGCTTTTGCTCAGTTAAATCTTTTAAGGTCTTCTCTAATTTCTCCTGCGCTCTTGAATGCTGAAAAGAATTGCTAATTCTTTCTCGAAGTTGTTTAATTTCTATTAAAAGATTGTCTCTTTGTTTTTCAACTCTTTTCAACTCTTCAACAAGTTCATCTATTTGACTATCGGCGTTCTGTCTTTCCCTAACAACATGATCCAACGTTTCGCCAACTTCATTTAATGCACTATCTTTATCTTTGATTATCATTTCCTGTTCATTTCTCATAATATCAATTTCCATATTTCTTTCATTCAATATAGATTCGTATTCTTTAATTTTCTTTAATAGTTCATTTTTTGCTCTAACTTCAATTGTAAGTTGCTTTTTCAATGCTTCATGATTATTTGAATGTTGACTGTATTTTCTGTTTGAAAAAATCAATACATTTATAATGTTAAAACTATATTTATTTATACAAATACCTTGCTTTTTCCGCATTTTCTTCGCATTCAGCAATCAGTTTAGCATTATGGGCGGCAGCGTCCTTTAGAGCTTTCTCAAGATGAGAATCTCGAGATGAGGACTCAGCGCTGGCTTTTTGAACTTTCTCCAATTGCTCATTCACATTTAAATATTCATCTTTCAGTTTCTCAAGATCTATAATTAATTTCTCTCTCTCTTCTTGAATTTGCTCGTATCGTTGTGAAATATTATCTCTCTCAGCTCTAGTAGTTTCTAATGTTGTCTCTAATATAATTCTCTTTTGTTTTTCTGTTGATGTCTCATATTGAGCTCTAAGAATTTCTTGTTTCAAAGTAGAACAATTAACAGATAATCTTGTTAAATTCTCCTTTTCAGTAGAAGAAAGATATTCAACTTCCTGAAATCTTTTCTGAGAACTTTCGTGAGCTTCTTCGAGGCTTTTCCGAACGCTAATTTCCCTATTTAATTCAGCTTTTATTTCAACAAGCCTTCTATCGAGTTTAATATTCTTCTCTTCATATTCAGAAGATGATAATTTATACTTGTTTGCTTCATTTTCTGCTTTTTTCAAACTTCTCCTTAGTAATATGATCTCCCTTTGTAAATTAGAAACTTCCTTCTCATATGCCTCAGTTGCAAGAGATAATTTCTCTACTTTCTTCTTCTTTAAAACCTTCTTGTCGACTCTAATTATTTAAATAAAGCGCAAATTAACTGATTTTATGCGGCGAATTTAACGTCAATTTATTAATTCCTTCTCTATTTAGCAAACACTACTAGTATTCAAATAGAATAAAACGTGCCGAAATAGAAAAATACTGATTTTTCTTTATACTAGATTTACAGTTTAACAACAGTTTACAAAGCCTTTTATTTACCTAGGCTGTTCAAAAGAAGATTTAAACGTTTTAACAGAGTTTCCCAATTTACCAGCGTTTTCGGTAAAGAATAGATCCTTTTGGTTACCATTAAGAGACAAAGATGCCACTGAAGCCGCCATATCTTGAGTATCTCTCTCAGCAACCGTAATTAGTTTATGTATTCTATCTAAGGCCTTTTCTTCAGGATCCTCGAAAATCTGTAACAAGTGTTGACATGAAATACTTTGTTTAACAAGTAACAAGAAATTAAGTCGATTGCAAAAGAAATAACAATTATCCAATACAACAATAAAAGCAAAATTACGAACTTTATGAGTATATAAATCTTGATTTGGGTCCAATTGAAATGATGGGTACATAATTGAAAATCATATATTTAAATATTCTTTATTTGGTTGTTTAGAGAGCGGAGAGTGTTTTACTGAAGTACCAGTTTCGTTTCCAAGCATCGAACTTCGGATAAATATTATGCTAAAAGAATATAAACATAACACAAAGTTTATAGTTTAAAAGTTTAGTTCTATAGTAAACCTGTTAAGTATAATGAGAGGCAGCAAATATATCTTGACTTTATTTACGAGGCCAGGCTTGAAACGAGAATTGCCCTAATCTAACGAAATGCAGTTTCAATAGACATTTAAGAGATATTAAGGTCTAATAAATCTTGTTGAGTGTATTAAAAATCTTCAACTCAATTTGTATTTTGACATTAATCGTTAATATAATTGCTTTATTTCAATATCTCCTGTTATACACATATATATCGTGTATATTTCTAAATTTGTCTGAAGAAATGATATTAAAATTAATATTAATATACTAATATAATTATTAAATAAATAAATTAATTAAAACCTTCGTTAAACTTTCCGTTGTTCTGTTTAAAATATTTAAAGAACTTTTGTTTTTAGATAACATTAGACAGAGATTTTTTGGCGGGAAAAAATTAATATGTTTTTAGTAAAATATACAATTTATATTGTATTTTTTTTCCATTGTTTAAAAAATTATCTTCCAATATTCACTTACTTGCCGTATATATTGATATAGATAGTAACAATTAATTTTAACTAACAGATGGCGCTGTATATACTACATCTACCGTTCTGTGAACGAATATTTACTATATAAAATATCATTTTTATTGAGATTACCAAGTTTTAAAATTATTTTTCACTAAAAAAATAATAGCAATTTTCTGGATAATTAATCTTCTCCATAATGTAAGACTGATTTATGTTGTAGTTAATGGTTTTTTAAAATTCTCAAATATCTATCCCAATATTCGTTCACATTTTTATATTCGTTTACAGGGCAGACTATTGGAAATCAAATCCCAAGCATTTTTGTGAATTTTGTAATTGTTGGTTTGCTGAAAACAAATCGGTAAGATTTTGAAATACATATCTGCGTATCCTTCTGCTAAACCAGTCATTCTTTAGAGCGTTGAACACCATGAGCAAGGCAAACGTCACAAGGAAAACGTTCAAAAAAGATTACGAGAGGTTTGTTCATTTTTTACTACCATATTAGAAATTTACAAATTTCTTCTAAACAGTTGGGAGAGTTGGGTAAACAACAAGACAAGGATAAGCAGTTTATGAGTAATTCACTAATGGCAATGGAGCAGGTAGGTATTCTCATCCTCTATCTGAAATGTAACCGCTAATTTTCATATCTTATTATTATCATTTTTCAGGCTGCAATGAGGGCTCTACAAAAAGATATCACTAAAAATCCTAATATGGCTGGTGCCTATGGAGTTAGATTTAAAGACTCGACATGCAATTACGTCCCTATACCAGAAATGGCTACAGAAGAGCCAGGCGCTTCGAAAAGACAAAAAGTAGAGGCAACTGAATCAATAACAATTCCACAAGTTCAAGAATTTATCCCAAAACCGAAAGCTGAGCCATCAGCATTAGTTAAAGACTTAACTAATGCAGCTTTGGCCGCAGAATCGTTAAGAGAAGGAGAATGGCAAGAATTGAAATCAAATGAAGGTTACACGTACTACTGGCACACTGGTACAAATGCTGTACAATGGGAACCTCCTGAAGGTTTTATACCCACGGAAGAGTTACAAGAAATACCTCTGCCATCTGGTAGCTGTCCAATAGAGCCACCAATGCCACCAGAACAGATGGCACCTCCAATACCACCAGTAAAATTAGAGAAACCCGAAGCATCCGATCCACAACCGGACAATAGTCAATTTGATTACCTTGCAGTAAAATCTGAACCAACGTACAGTGCACAAGACATAAAACCTGAGCCATTAGAAAGTAATATTGTAAAAACAGAAGAAGAAGAAGAAGAATCTGATATACCTCCAGCTTTCTTGACACTTGCCCCCCAAAAATCTAATACGGATTTACCATATGGTACTTGGCAAACAGTTAGAGAAAGGTAAATATTTATTTGATTATCATATCTTCAATTTTATTTATATTATTTTTTTTATCGTTTTCTAGCCAAGCTGCACCTATTGACTTAGGTCTCCCTGAAGTTGTACAGAAAAAATCCAACCAAAAAATTATTAAATTGGAAGATTCAAAATTTACTATTCGTGAGAAGAAAGCCAATACGTTTAGTAAAGAATTTGAGGAATTTAAAAAACGAAAATTAGCTTCAAAAAAGAAACCCAACTTAAGGACTAGTAGAGAAAGAACTGATTGAATCTTTTTTTTTCTCAGATTTTTATTCAAATTAAATAAACTAGATAGCCTAAGGAATTGAACGAAAGAAGAGAAATAACTAGTTTCCACGTTCGTTTAATAGAATTTATAAACCTGAAGGAAAAATCTGGTCTAATTGACAGATATCTATTTAAATAAGGATATATTAGTTGTTTCTTATAAATAGAAAGTTCTTACAAGTATCAATGATTCTTTTATTCTTAATTGAATTATTTTGAAATGAACAATGCTTTATCTAATCTTAAATGAAAATGAGTCAACGAAATAGAAGACAAAGCTAATTTACTCAAGTTAAGTGTTTAAATGCTATACAATCTAGCGATTACAGAATAACTAGACTAAAACAGTTGATTTTTATTCTTTATTCTTTACATTTAAGTCTTACAGTATTCCTTCCCTTCCTTAGTTTCTATTTACTAATATGTGTGCTCATACAAAGATTTGATAAGTATCAGAAATTTTTTTCATTTAATTCCTTTTACTATATTTCTATCCCATTTATTAGGATATTTTTACCATCTTTTAAGAAATAAATAATAGGTGCTTGTCAGTTGTTGGTAAAGCGGAAAATAAAAGTTTCCTTTCACTTAACAAAAGACCTGCTAATAATCCTAAGTAATTGTAGGCCGTTAAAGTTTTGATGAGAGCGAAAACTGGTAAAAAATATCTGTCTGAATATTTTACACTTGTTTTCGGCAGAAATGGATGGTGAATTAGTGGAAGAAAATATCTCCATACCGGAGAAGAAATACGAATGTAAGCAATCGAAATTTCCATTAAATCTTACTTAAAAAACGTAATTACATGTTTCATAATAGATCTAGACCACACAGCAGACGTTCAGTAAGTTAATATACATAACTATATTGAGCATGCTGTTTCACAAATAACTCTCCTTATAGGTTACATGCATGGGGAAAGGATTTAAAAGAGGCTTTCGAACAATGTGCCATGGCTATGTTTGGTTACATGACAACAATAGAGTCTGTCGAACTAAAAGAAGTTAGGGAAATTCATGCAGAGGGAGACGATATGGAGTCATTGCTTTTTCATTTTCTTGATGAATTTCTCTTTATTTTCTCATGCGAACCGTATTTTATCATTCGCGTATGTAAAAGAACCTCCAACCGTAATATAAGATACTGATAAGAAATATTTTAAAGGTCGTCGAAATAACTAAATTTGATACCGAAAACTTCAAAATCGATGCTGTTGGCTACGGTGAAGAGTTCGATCTGCAGAAACATCCTCAGGGCACCGAAGTAAAAGCCATTACCTACTCGGCTATGCAGATACACGAAGAGTTAGATAAAAGTGAGGTTTATGTCATTATAGATATTTAGACATTATTTAGAAGAACCAAGATTTTTCTTTGTATTTTATTAATAAATAAGCAAATTCCTTAGGCACGCATACACTAGAATCTAAATGTTTGCGTTTAAATGAGTACAAAACAAACAAACTTTATTACGAAATCGAATTAGGCTTCATTTTCTACTACGACTTCCTGGGTCTTCTCTTCCTTTTCGCCTTCACTCAATCTCTGTTTGGTTTTGCGAGAAATTTCCACAATTGGTTTGCATCCGTTTACATCTAAACCATCCAACTTGTCAACTGCCTCCTCAGCCTTTGCAGCTTCGAAAAGAAGAAGAAAAGCAGAACGAGTTTGGGGTCTCCAAACAACGTGGACCGGGAGTACACCACGTCCTCTTACTTGTTCCTTAAGCTCCGAAACGCGAACGTCACGGGAAATCTTTCCTAACCAAACAGCGTACATAGGTTGTCGATTCTTTTTCTTTGCATCGCTATTTTCTTTGTTTTCCTTATTCTCTTTGCCGTCTTTCATTTCCTTATCATCGGTTCTACGACGAGGGCGTTTTTGATACTTTCTTTTGGGAATATCTTTTTTCTCGTTGTCCTCACCCTGTTGGGCATTCGAATTTTCGTTTTCTTCAAGTCGTTGTCCTTTTTTTTTGAGAAATCGGCGTTTAAAAACTTTTCGATTTCTCTTCTTCATTTCACCGTTTCCTTGTTCACCTTCGTTTTCCTTGTTCTCGTAATTTCGTCTACGAATCGATTTCTTTTCTGGAGTAATGATTTCATCATCGGGATCAACTTCTCCTTGATCAACCAACTTGACATCTTTACCATCAGCCTTTTCCTTTTCACGTAATTGTTTCAAAATTCCTGTTGCTCTATATTTCTCTACAGTCAAAATGCTCCAATCAATTTTCGGCGTTGGTCTCTCCTTGCGAGGTTTTACTTCGATAACTTGCGTTGGAGTGACAATCATATCGACACCAAAATCATGGGGTTGAACCAAAGATTCCGGAATGTCAATTACTTGACTCTCGTGAACGACAGTCACAATAAGCGTTTCCGGAGTAATTGCTCCAACCGTTCCCAACAGAGCATATTCAAGATCAGCAAAACCTTCTCCCTTGCCAATACGAACACCAGTCGGAGAAACAGCAACAGAACCGACAACCAACAGATCAAGTTTCACGTTGGTATCAAGGCCGATTTGAGTCTTATAATGTTTCAACCCCTGTGAAAGGACTCATATTACACCTCTACTCACATGAAAAAAAGTTGTACATGAACAAGCATTTTTTTTTAACTTACAATGGTGGAAGAACATGTTCTAAGGACTTTCTTGTTTGCATTTGCAGGTGGTTCAATTCGGTTAAACAGCCCACGTGCTAAACGCGGAGTTGGGACTAGCAGAGTCTTGTTGCATTCCAACGTTCTAAATCTTATTTGTTGTTGCGGTTTATCAGGGTTAACCTTGATAATGTTGGCCTTCGTGAATACTTCTAATTCGGCTAACTTGTCGCATGCAGCGGCAGAAGTCTATGAAATTTAAAAAAATTCAATAAAAGGACGAATATGTCGATAAATTGAATATTAGATATGTTAATATTCAAGGACATACGTACTTTAAAGTTAGGAATACGGTTCTTAACGGGAATAGGATTGGCAGCAATATCGTTGCTTTCAAAATGTTCCCAAACTTTTTCTCTAATAGCTTGTTTCGAAACTTCTGAAATATAACTTATCAGTAGTTCATGTCATACATTACAATATATAAGTATTTAAGTTAAAATAACTTACCAGCCCCCATTTTACTGGCGGCATCCAGTAGTACATTACCATCTTCTACAGAAGCCATAGTTCACTGTGAAGTGTGAAAATTAACTGATCAGTAATCACTCAAACGTCGACAATTGACACGTGACCAAAAGTTGTCACAAAAAAAAGACGACGACTCTAAAACCGCTTTGAAGTGAGTTCAACGGACCGCCCCTTTTCAACGGTTTAATAAAACTCAACTCTAAAGCTTGCGGTTATTTTTTGTATACATCAAACCTTAACTGTAGAAATTTACCCTTAATTTAGAAGAAAAATTCCTGCAACACCTCACCTTTCACAACGGTTCTTAACAGCTAGCAGACGGAAAAACGTGTGAAGTTTCAACGTTATTTCCGTAAAAACTTGAAAACTTTACGTAGCGTTTTCTTGACGTTATATATTTGACGTCATTTTAAAAAAATAACTTTTATAGGCTTATAAAGCAAGTGATAAACCAATTGACGCTTACTTTCCGAAGCGCGTTGTAGTAATTATGATGAACAGTGCTGCCCGTGTTTTTTCTAATAAATTTCACAGCCTTCTCTTAAAATGTCTTCAGAGAAACTGTGCATCGGTTTGTCTTTATTATATTTACCTTTATGAATTTTTGTAAACATTTTATCTAATATAATTTTTTTCGGAAATATAATTAAAAATTTTGAGCGATAATAGCAAAACGTTAATATTCAGGTCGCGGGATTTCCCTCTTTTGTGAAAGTTGTCGAAGTAGGACCAAGAGATGGCTTACAAAATGAGAAAGAAATTATTCCAACTGAAGTTAAAGTTGAATTCATAAACAAACTATCATCAAGTGGACTGTCAGTGATTGAATGTACAAGTTTTGTTTCACCTAAATGGGTACCCCAAATGGCTGATCACAATGATGTTATGAAGAAAATATCTAGGAATAAGTCTGTTAAATATACTGTTCTTACACCAAATAAACAAGGATATATTTCAGCTGTTAGTATATAATTTTTTATCAAAATTATATAATCAAAGAGAAAGATTAATTATAATTTATCTGAATTTCATTGTTCATCTTTTATTTGTTCTTCCTATCACAGAAAGCTGTAAATTCGGATGAAGTTGCTGTATTTGGAACGGCATCAGAATCCTTTAGTAGGTGAATATTCGAAAAACTAGAATGCAAGACCATACCGATAAATCATTGTCTATTATTGAGGTCAATTAATTCTGTTTTATTGATACAGAAAGAATATTAATTGTTCAATAGACGAATCTTTGAAAAGGTTCACAGATGTTGTAGATTCGGCTAAATCTGATAATATACCGGTGAGGGGATATGTGTCTTGCGTTGTTGGTTGTCCATACGAGGGTTTCATTGAACCAGTTAAAGTTGCTGAAGTTGCTGAAAAAATGTTCCAGATGGGATGTTACGAAATATCTCTTGGTGACACTACTGGAATTGGTATTGAAACTTTAAATCGTAATTACATAATAGATGAATTGATAATTTTTAATTATTTAGGAACACCGCAAAGATTCAAAGACATGTTGAAAGCTGTTAGCCAAAGAGTACCTATTGAAAGACTAGCAGTTCATTGCCATGATACATACGGGCAAGCTATCGCTAATATTTTTGCTGCCCTGCAGGTAACAATATCAAATATATGCTGGCAATTAAATTTTCAATAGGGATAATAATTAATTTCAGATGGGTGTTAGCGTGGTTGATAGTTCAGTTTCCGGTTTAGGAGGATGCCCGTACGCAAAAGGTGCCAGCGGAAATGTATCGACTGAAGATGTTATCTATCTATTGAATGGCTTAGGCCTAAAACACGTGAGTCTATTATTCAACAGGAAAATTGAATAGAAGTTAGCTAAAACGCATATGCTACACCCCGTTCAATCGTATTCCATTGTCATCGGATTAGTATTTCCCTAACTACAATGAATTTTTTATAAGGGCTAGCCGTGTAATTAAAAAAAAAACACACATATAGACACTTTTTTCATACAGTCCTTATTATAACTACCACCACCGCCACTACCAATATCGTTTTTTTCTATCATTTTGCCTTTTTTTTTATAAGGATAATTATAAATAATTGTATTATATAATGGTAAGAGAATCTTGTAAAGATGCTTATCAATTTTAATAATTATATATTGTAATACGTAGTCGGAGGTAAATGAATTGTCAGAGGAAAGATTAACAGGTTTGTAAGAATGTAGAATGAAAATGATATTTTGTAGCAAAAGTAAATTTTTGAATAGAATTTAAAGAAGCGTTTATGCTATTCGATAAAGATAAGGACGGAGTTGTTTCTATGAAAGAGTTAGGTAGTGTTATGAGATTATTAGGCCAAAATCCAACAGAGGCCGAGCTTCAGGACATGATGAACGAAATTGACGCAGACGGTTAAATTTTTTTTGTCTATTCTTTTATTTAGGTTGTTTATTAAATAGATTTAAAACTACTCAATAATAACATCTTCTACTTGTTTTTGACAAGTAGAAGAACAATCAACAACAGCAAAAAAAAACCCTAAGTTTTTAACCAAATTAATTAGTTCGTTATTTTTTTTAAATGTTAAATTAGGGAATGGAGCTATCGATTTTGAAGAATTTCTTGAAATGCTCACAAAAAAAATGACAGAAAGTAGCGAAGAAGATGAAATAAAAGAAGCTTTTAAAGTATTTGATAAAAATTCTGATGGTGTTATATCCTTTGACGAATTACGTCACGTACTTATAAATTTAGGCGAAAATATTAAAGACGATGACGTAGCCGAAATAATTAAGGCTGTCATTACGTCCGATGACGATATTAGTGAAGGTATTCGCTATGAAGATTTCAGGCGGATGGTCAAATCTGGCGGTTGTAGCACTTTTATTCAATTTACATTAAAAAAAGACAAAAACAACATTGAATTTTTCTCTCTCTCAATAATATTAATAATAAAGATAGAAAAAAGAAGGAAAAATTCAATAATTTTTACCATTCTTCTTTTTCAGTTCTCATATTTATCTATTATTTTTTGTCTTTTCTCAGGGAATCGACATTAAACGAATTATTGAAGCTGGACAATTTATAAACAAACATTTGAATAGGCCTACGCAATCGAAAGTTGCTCGTGCTATGATTTCTCAGTCTCATTTATGACGATCTTTTTTCATTTAAATTTACATTATTAAATCTTTATATATATATATATATATATATATATATATATATATTTGGATATATATATATATATATATATTTATATATACATGTATAAATATATATATACATATATGTATAGTGATATATATATTAAGAGATCATTGAATGCATGGTTTACGTCTTATGCATATACACATTTAGTTTGTTTACAAGTTTATTATCATTGGAATTAAGTGGAATTTATAATTTGTTTAATCAAGAAATTAACATTCAACATTTTGAAATAGATCAACAGTTACGATGTACTGAAAATTCAAATTGCTCATCCATATTTTTCTTTAATATTTCATATAATAATTTTGGTCGTGTACCCCCATTAAAACCATTTGACAATATCATCATTTTATCTTTGGCTAATTGTAGTATTAAAAGAATTGATAGGAATGTAACATTCCCAAATAAATTAAGAAAACTATATCTTGATCGTAATCCTCTATTGTCGTTATCTTATCAACCATTTTTAAAGCTTGGACTATTGCAAACAATGACGTTGAGACAAGTTTTATCGATAACTGACAAGTTGGAATATAAACCAAGAAAAAGTTATCATAAAATATTGGATGATGTCACAAAGATTTGCTTCGAGTTGTATAGAAATTTCAAAAATTCCCCCGTTCAGTATAAATTACGGATTGATTTAAGAATGAATGGCTTAAATGGATTTTGGTCCTCAATCCATAATTTAATAGATAGTACAAGAACGTCGAAATTCGGAATTGAATTAATGGTTGATGAAACTTTTAGGTATACAGCTAAACGCTGGAATAATACTGATAAGAGTATAAACTTCATCTCGGAACAATCAAGAAGATGTCCTTCTAATTCTAAAGTTCACTTGAAAATTAATTATTACGAACCAGTTGATGAGAACGCGGTTTTTAAATGTAAAGCTACTGGCTGCTTAGCTACAGATCCCGAAATTTGGACGCAAATTCAAGTTGAGAGTAATAAATACATAAACAGGATTGCTTGTAACTTTGATCGTAATATATCAATGCTAAAGTCAGATAGTCTAGAAATCATAAGGACAGCATCGTCGTCAGCCTTAACGTGTAAGATACCGCTAAGCAGCATCGGCGAAAATGATTGTTTCGCCTGCCATCATAAACAACCGTTATCAACTACAATTTGTAGTACATATCTAAATAAAAAGAAATTCAGCAATGACATACTTTTTCTCACTGCAACTAGCTTTCTAATATTCCTGTCAATTCTTATTTTCACATTGTTTTTCTGCGATAAAAGAGGTAGACGAAAGATTCGACGACGTTTCTGGATGTGGAAACAAAAGGGTGAAAGCCACCGACGAACTACAGCAACAACAAAGCCACAATCAGATAATCAAGAATCATCGTCACAGAGTTCCGGAGACTCTTGTTCGGAATATAGACAAACAATTTATCATAATATGTCAGTTTGTAAATTTAATGAGACAATATTTGAAAAGTATTGTAATTACGATAGAAAGCAAGCAGAAAAGTTTTAATTTATTGAAAGAATTATATACAGTAGTATAGATATATATATATATAGTAAATTCATATTGAATAAAATATAAACGGAAATATAGTCTAATTCTCTTCCTCTTTTACCGCCTAGTCACGTCTTTATGAAAAGAACGAAACTAGAAGGGAAAATAGGCATGAATCAGGGGAATTTTTGAAGCAACTTTTTATTTTATATGTAGACAGGCTGTAAATAACCAACGGCTAACATCATGATTTCCTTTTCTATGACTTTTTGCCTTATTTTTGTATTACTTTTAATTAATGGAATAATATCAAAATCAGTAAAGATATGTTTTAGTTCTTCAAAACCTCCGACGTTCTTGCAATGTCAAGGAAATACGATTATAAAATTAAATACAGCGATTTTGGCTCATAGTCCCAATTATGAGAATGATGGACAAACTTGTCCAAGATCCACTACTGATTGTTTGTAAGTATACCATTTTCTGTAGTGTAAGAAAAGAGAAATATTCAATGTTCAGTATAGACAGTATATACAGTATATACTGTGCCTTATGTGAACATCGTCGATGTGTCATCGCTATGAGATTTAAAGGGTGACGAATAAAACAAATGATAATTTATATAATCAGGGCTCAGATGAAACACCATTAGCACTGTATATTCTGTTGTCTATTTTTCGTTTTATTTCTTTTTGCAGTACTACAGCTGAGTACATTTATACCCTTTGCCAATCAAGACAATCTTGTTCTATAGAGACAAATGCTCAAATGTCTGTTGCACTCCGTGATTGTAAACCTAAGATTACGTCTAGTAATTATTTGTATATTGAATACGATTGTGAGGATGGTAAGGAATTAATGACATTAATTTCAACTGAAAATTTATTTAATTTAGCCGTTTTCTATAATGAATAATGTATATTTACACTCTAACATAACAAATATACAAAAAGAAACAATAAATTTATACAGGTAATTCTAATGAGCAGGTTGGACTATGCTCAAATTCATTAAACCAATTATCCAGCGGAGACTTAGTTGGTAACGATTGGCCAAATAATACAAAATCTGAGAAGCACTCTTGTTCCTGCAGTATATACCCGCCGTCTTCTTCAAAAGTAAATCTCTTCTCTGTTCATACTTCGTTAAAAGGTACTGTTGAATGCGAAGAAGAGTTAATAATTAAAAGAGATAATCAAGAAGTGATTAAAGCCTGCTCCGGAGCGGGCGGTGATCCCTATCAAATATTTAGCTCTTTCTTAATGAGAAATTCATCAGGAGTCATGACCGTTCAACTAACTAGAAAATTTCAAGCGACTATCGATACTGGTCGTGTTTGGTTAGAGTTTTCCAGTAAATATTACACATATAAATACACAAACACGTCTATTGAATATTGTTTATAACCTATTTAATTGCATAATAAATATAACAATAAAATATACAGCTTCCGACAATGAACGGGCAACAATATTATGTGGATCCGCTCAATTTCCTACTACTGTGTCGGAACATACTACTGAACCTATCACGCAGAGTAGCGCTGCAAGTACAGCATCAGAAAAAACAAGTCTTGGCACTCATCTGGAAACGGGAACAATTTTCTCGTCTACATCAGAAGGTCTAGTGACTTCTGTGACGCAAACTTTGATGTTTATAAATAGCTCAACTATTGTAGCTGAAAATGACGAGTTTCAATTAAAGAAGGAAAATAGTAGCTTATCCATAGGTAGGAAAAACATAACCAATTTGTTACGTTTTTTCTAATTAAGTAATACTAATTGATTATTTATCAACAGGTGGAATTCTTTCCGGTATCCTTACAATATTGGGGTTTTGCCTAATCTTGACCATAATGGCTTTTCTAGCATATTTAAATGGTAGAAATGTACTCAAATATAATGAGATGAAGTAATTTAATTAGCAATAACTAATAATAGTAAAAAAAACGTTTTAATTAAATTAATATTTCAAGTGAAATATATGCTTTTAAGTTTATTCGAAAGTCAAAAATCCAATAATATTGGTATTAATCCTATTTCAAAGATACTTATTAAACTAGATAATGGAATAAAATACAATTAATCACCTTTAGCTTGGTTTGAAGTACCTATCTCGGAAGCTTTCTTCATAGTGGTTTTTACCAAAATGAACATTATTATCGGTATCGGGCTATAAAAAAGAGAGATTGGTATTATTATCAACGTAAGCAGTATTTAATTGTATGTATTTGTACTTGAAATGCTCTTGTTTTTTGATAAGTTAATAAACGTCTTGAGACTTTAGAATTAAGTATTTGTTCACAGTTGAATATGCATTGCATGGCTTTGTTCTCGGGTATATTTTCTAGTACATACCTATCAAAAATGATCTTACTTTTGACAAGTTAATATTATTAATTATCGATAGTTACTCTTCCCTATAAACTGGCAGCCAAAAAACAAGTCTACCGCCTATATGTAGGTATTTTGCTGCAAAGAGCAGTAAATCTGATAAAATATCTGTCATCACGTATACCATCTTCGTTTGATCGTTTGATCTATAGAAAATATGATTAATTAGCTCAATTACATAAAAAAAATTTAAAGATAATTTTTATGTACAATTTCGTCTCATTATTCCCACTTTTCACAGTTGGTTCTCTTATACCATATGGAGCTGAGTGTATATAAGGTATGTATATAAATATAATTAAGTGGTGGATGATAGTCCACTTCAGAATGAAAATAATACAAACGATCTGTTACTATAGCATCAAACATTGTATCTTTAATATTCCACATAGCTTGTTTTGAAGTGTCCGCGATAAGTACGTCAAAATAACGATTATCTAATCCGTATTGTTTTAAATTACCCCTAACAGTTTCGTCTCTATCTCTCCATTTTTGACCTTTTCTACTGGATTTACCTTTAAAAAGTATTAACGTTTGAAAATTACAATTATTGATAAAATTTTAATTACCTCTGCCGGAAAGTAATTTTTTATCGATATCACAACCAGACACGAAAGCACCATGTTTAGCGCAGGCAACTAATAAACTACCTGGGAAGATATAAATGATTTTTAGTTCAAAAGAAAACAAAAAGAATCAATGAAGATTCTATCAAGGAATTAAAAACAAAGAGGAGGGGAAAAAAAACCTGTTCCGACAAATGGATCATATATAAAACCTCCAGACTTTGATTGTGAAATATTAGAGATAATAAAGGATAATTCTGCGTCCATACTAGTATTTCCTGATAAATTATTCAACAACCAATATAATAATATTGTTATTTTTATTGAAATTCGATGACTTACCTATAACTTTTCTTTTACTTAAATGAAAATCTTTTATTGAATTTCTATCGCTATCGCATATCTAAATTTATTTATACAGTTTATCAATTAATAAACTATATACAGTATATAAATTATATCAAATAGACTTACAAATCTACCAAAATACATTCTATCCAAAATAGGTATCGACGTTTCACGTTTATCTTTGTAGCATTCGATTAAATGGAATACTTTTTCCGGATTTTTTAAATTAACTTTTCCATTTATTGGATAACTTTCTAAGAAATTCTAGGAAAGAGGAAGGGAGGGAAAAAATAAGAAATGTTCTTTTTTTTTAATATCCAAGCAAAGAAATATTCCATTAAAAATAAACTCACATCAATTTTTATGACTTTTTCTTGTAAATCAATATTGTGATTAGAGGAATGGAATTTTACCGAAAATGACGTTTTCTCATTCTTAACATATGGTTCCTAAAATGTGGTAAAATATGACGGGAAAATAATTTTAATGCACTTAGTAGTTTATTTGCCTTACTGTTATTTCTTTAGGTAAATTTTCTATTTCTGATTTAACTTCATCTATAGTTTTTCCACTGCCCCAATATTCGATTACGTTTCTAGGAAATAGTAATATTTATTTTACTAGATAAACATTGGAATTTGCTATTTTCCTCTTTAAAAACTTGCCCTACCTTAACAGTACAGTTCTATTTGCTATTTTTCTCAAGCACTCTTCAGATGGAACCTCAACTACAAGGACAGGATTCTAGCAGTGGACAATTGAATTTTTGTTGTCATTTATAATTATTAAACTACAATATTGTTACAAACCTGTTTACTCGATAATTGATCATCTATCTTGACTGGTATATTGAAACTACTAGCGATTGAAAAGAACTCCTGAAAAATTGGAATGTTCTTTTGTGTAAAGGGAACTTAAGAAAATATTTAAATATTTTTGATTTTTTGGATCTATTAAGCATTTTTATACAATTTTAAAATACTAACTGGCAATCTAAACTCTAGATAGTCTTGAGTAAATTGTAAAATGTACTTGCGCAACATGCTTGCATTTGCCGCCATTTTCGTAAAAACATTGATGGTGTAAATAGAAGTTTTCTGCTGCCACCTATTGTTAAGCCTCGAAATTTCCATAGAATAGCAACACCATTTCGAATAGTCAATATATTATAAACTATCTGAAAGCTTGTCTATGATCTCGAATATTGTTCCAAAATTGAGCGATAACAGGGACTCATGAGCAAGCTATTATAAAATAATAAGAGAAAACATCATTCTAAATAAGAATGTTTGGTTACGAACTACTTTTCACACACGTTCAAAGTCAATTAAGAGACAGTGAAGATGCTCTAGTCTCTGTAGCGCATTGGACTTTAATAAGTAATGGTTTCCTCTGCGTAGGAAAAGGAGAACAGGTTTTTATTTCTATTTTTTTAGGCAACTTTCGATTTCAGTTACATAGAACATTTTTTTAAAAATTGAAAATATTATTAGCCCAGTGATGATATGCGTAAGTCAGAATTATTACCAAATGCTTGGAATTCTGATAAAGAAGTTTTCACCCTAATGTACGTCCAACCACCATCTGCACAAGTTCATCTTTTGAAAGTCGTTAGATCCTCTGGAGATTTACTTTTCTATTTCATGGTTTGTAGATTTGAATGAAGTTTGTATAGGCTTGTATTAATGAAGATATTTGGTTAAATAATTGAAAAAATAGGATCTTCAATCAGATGAAATGCGAGATGCAACTATCCCCGTGAACAATTACTGTACTGGGAATTTAATTTCTTTTGCCAGTGCTTTCAAGAATATCGAAGAATTCCGAAAAGAATTAGAAAAGAATCTGTTAGGAGTTGGTGTATCCAAAGCTGAGGAAAAGGCTAAAAAAGATAAGAAAGACAACAATAAAAAGACTGACGATTCTTTAAGACACGAACCATTCAGAAGACAACCTGCTCTTTTTCAAAATCCAAGTATAAGACCAGGATTTGAGTCACCATTTGATATCGGAAGAAATGATTTGGACCCATTAGGTCATTTTGGAGCAGGGGGTGGAATGTATTTTGACCCTTTTAGAGGAGGTCATGGAAGAGGAGGCCCTAGAATTCCAGGACTGCCTCTGTAATTAATAATATAATTAATCTATACAACGAGTATTAATAACACCTTATTCTTTGTATTAACAGAGGAGCTGTACCTCCAGGCGCTAGATTCGATCCAATTGGTCCAGGTCATGGACGAGGAGGAAGAGGTGGAGGTTTCAGTGGGAATAGAATGGGGTAAGCCATTCACATAGATATGTAATATTTATATACAGACACTTAATTATTTTAAAAATTACGTATTTACTTATATTTTATTGATTTCTTTCTATATTCCTTAAGATAATATTTCTTATTTAACCTGTTCTTAGCCCAGATCCAGATCATCTACCCCCACCTTCGGGCTACGAAGACATGTTTATGTAATAAATACATGCTAAAGAGACTGTGTTGCGTGGATTTAATGAAGGAAAAACATGCAAATATTTTTAAAATAAAAAGAAAAAAAAAGTAATATTGCAGATAATCAATGTAGATAAGTATCATGCCGTGCGCTATATGCAGTAATAATCGTGACCAAAGACTTTTTAAGCAGTTTATCGAACGCTGTTCAACCTTTCCTTTTATTATTTAAACCTTACGCAATAATCCGACTGTTGTATTATAAATTAGATATATACTGTATAGACAAGGCCACATTGGATAAAATCGATCTGGCTGAAAATCGGCCGTTTTTCTAATTAAGCGGCCGTTTGAAAACTGTTTGTCAACCTGATTGAAAACTATGGAACACGAGTACGTTACTAACGATTTATACCTATTTTATTTAGTATTAGCTATAATTCCTATACAAAACCAAATAAAACAGTAAAAGCCAACTTGCAAAGGTTTCCTATGAAAATTTTATCCTATTTATACGACTTGAAAGATAATTTTTAGTTGAAAGCAACTAGAAAAAAGGGGATTAGAAATGAAAATATAAAAAATATAACGACTAATACAATATTATTCGTTTCTTCTTTTATCGTCTTGTTTATTCTGTATAAACGTTAAAGGTATATTTTTTTTTGACATGTAAATTTGAAATATCTTTTCTCAACAGTTTTTATCGTTGTATCTATAACTAGATGCTTTCGTATGGCTGTCTCTATTTTTTTTCTCTCTCTCTCTCTCTCGCTCTCGCTCTCTTACTCGCTCGTCAAACCCTTCTCCCCGCCCCCTTTTCTTTAGATCCTGCTCTCTTTTCTCACACACTGTTTATCTCTTTCTCTGTGCGCGCGTGTGTATGTGTATATCTACTGCTCCAATATTCTCTTTCGAGCTAGTGGCGACGAACGAAGACGCAGTCTCGCGCGCTTTTTTGTTGCATTCGTTATTTGTAACTCTTGACGACCGTATTAGGCGGTTGCGTTTATAAATGGTGAGTGCGATTTATTATTTTTCTATACATATATATTAATATATACTGTATATATATATATATATATATATATATATAACTGCGTTATACTAGGTTTATAGTCGAAATTTACATATTCATATTCAATAGAGATTGATATTTATATGTAAATAATAGTAATTACCTCTTCGAGTTTGTCTACTAAAAAAATCAAACAGGTACTTTGTATTTAGTACGGCCTGAAAAGGTTTTATTAGATATATATATATATATATAGGGAGATATACACTTACATAGATTTGGAAGAGTCCAAAACTGTACATAAACCGCGTAGATTGCATATACTATATGTGGATTGAGTTCATATGGTACATAAGCTACTATATACTTGACCATATTCACGATAATTCCCTATATATGTATACAAGTGTCTCTCTATTATATATTTAGTAATATAGATAGTTTTTCCAAGCCTATATGAACGGCATATATACATTATATATATTTCTGTAACTCTGTATACATAAATACATATTTATATAAGAATTATATAACGTATGATTTTAGTAAAAGACCTTTCATTCGCTGTCTCTTTCTTTCTCTCTCTCACTCTCTCTCTCTCTCTCTCTCTCTCTCTCTCTCTCTCTTTCTCTTTTTCTAGATTGCTCGATCTATCTATCTCTTCTCATGTTGTCCATAAGTAATTGCCTATTTGCATTTCATGTTCAATTGTAGGTAGTTTATATTTTTAAAAAGAAAAATGAACTAATATAAAAATGAATAGAGAGAATGGAAGAAGAGAAAGAAAAACAAAGAGTAGAACAATTGATATCCGATACAAATTCAATAAGCGCACCTTATACGGTCGATATACATATTCCTCTAGTACTAAAACATTTATACAATTTGGGCTTAGGGTGTCTAGATTGGCTATAAGTCAAAGCTTTTATGTTTACATTATAGGTATATATAAACTATTTAAAGAATAATTTCTTCTTTAAACTTAATCAATCAAAAATTTCTCTTTCCTATTAAACCGATAAACATGATTATCGATTTTGGCGGCAGTTTGTCCAAGATGTTTACAAACGTCAGCTGTCCATTATTTTTTTTACCTCTCCGTCTTTCTTTTTCTTTCTATCTCTTTTATAGCTCTATTCATAAGTTTCTTCGTTAAATACACACTCGACTCTTGTTGAGGAAATGAAGCTTAAAGGTTAAAAGGCACCTAATTAAACTATTGATGATACGAAATGGTAGGTGATATCGACCCATAGTTCTTTAACTGTCTGGTATACTGAAGAGGGGAGCAGGGGGAAGGCAAAAGAACCGTTTGTCGCGGGCAAACGAGTCCAATTAAGCTATATACTCAGGAGAACCTTTTGATGTTTTAGCAGATGACGGACGGAAATTAACGATGCGAGGAGAAAGTGAAAAGGTCAATAAGGCTGATGAGAACGTGGCTAAAGCGGTTGCTTATGAGTTTAAAGTAATAATAGTCGGAGATCCAAAAGCTGGGAAGAGCAGCCTTGTACAAAGCTACTGCCAAGGAATATTTAATAAAACTTATAAAGCTACCGTCGGCGTTGAATACGCTGAACGCTTGGTTGAAGTTGAAGGCAAATTGATAAAGTTAGCACTATGGGATATATCGGGCCAAGAGATGCTGCTGAAAATTTCCGACAAGTATATCAAAGAAGCAGACGGTTTGATTTTCGTCTATGATGTAAGCGAGGAATCTTCATTCAATTCATTTCCAATTTGGATGAGATATGTTTCTCAGCATCTCGGAGGTAATAGCTCTTTATTAAAACTCCCAAAAGCCGTTGCTGGTAATAAAATAGATCTACGTCATAAACAAGTTGTCGCGCATTCTCACGCCAAGGAAGTAGCTATACCCGACGGTGTTGATGCCGACCATGTGATAGAAGTCTCTGCAAGAAGTGGAAAGAACCTAAATTTGCTATTCTATCTACTCACAAATCAGATGTACAGACTGTTTGCAAACGGAGGGATTAGGAGAATAGGAAAAACGTCTATACCAGCCGAAGGTCAAGCTGTATTCGATGAAGAGATTTATAAACATTCGATAGACGGCTCACCGTCGTCTAGAGATGGTAGCGAGTATAGTCACGTATTTAAAATACTCTTATTAGGGGCGTCCCGAGTAGGAAAGACGTCTCTCAGATTTCGATTCTGCCGCGATTACTATTCAGCTGAATATTTTGCAACTGCCGGTTTCGAATACGGAACGAGGACAGTTGCAATCGACAACGTTAGGGTCCGTATTCAAGTTTGGGATGTTGCGGGTGACGATGTTTACGATTCAACACGAAGAGGCTATTACAAGGGAGCGAACGCTTTTATAATCGTTTACGACGTCGGAAATAAATCTTCGTTTACTAAGGCCGAAAACCTCTTGAAAGAACTAGACTTGTACGGACATTCCGAAGCCCCTAAAATTCTAGTTGGAAATAAATCAGATATTGGAGGTAAAAGAAAAGTTGGATTTTGTGCGGCAGAAGAATTTGCCGCTGGTTGGCGAGTTCCTTTATTAGAAAGCAGTGCCCAAACTGGGCATCAAGTAGATGCTGCTTTTATGAAACTGGCTATTGCCTTAAAAAGGCAACTAGCTCCATGGAAAAAACTTTATGATTTTTCATAATTTATGCCAACTCCAATTATTTTATAAAAAAATTTTGAATAATTAATAATAACACAAATTTAACAAGAGAACAAGAGGCAAATCAGTTTCGGAATCAGTACTGTCCCCTTTTTCTTGATCGTCCTCGAAAGTTAGTTCGAAAGTTACTTCGAGTTCCACCATCCCCTCGCCCTCTAAATGAAGTTGTATTACTATTGCCACCTCTGTATGGTCTTATACTTCCAGTACCACTTGAGGGTCCAACTCCTCCTCCATTTCCGCCAGTTGCCCCTATTCGAGATCTATTTTCCGATTTTTGCCAGGGCATTGAACTAAAATCTTTTGTTGGCATGGCAGTTGGCATAGTGAGCAAGGACGGAATAGAAGGTTGCTGCCCTTCGAAGCGTTGAGGAGGAGGCTGCTGCTGTTGCGGCTGCATTGGTGGCGGTGGTTGCGGCGGCTGTTGTTGCTGTTGCGGCGGCTGAGGTTGTTGCTGAGGCTGATTTAGAGAAAGAGGTGGCCTTTGGAGGGTAGGTGAAATGAAAAAGTCTGTACCAGATGGTCGAAATCCAGTTGCTTGCATAGGTGGTCGAAATCTCGATCTTTGATCCTCTCCAAAGGGCATTGAAGTTGTAGGTTTCGTAATCGATTGATTGTAAAATGCTGATTGATCATCAGCTACTTTTTGTTCTTCCGGAAGTTTAGGAGTGGGTAGAAGAGCTCTTGTTTCTTCAACGTTAGAGTTCGTATCCCACTTTGATTTTTTTCTCTTACGTTCCTCTTGTTCATTTTTAATTATATTCAAAGCATTTTGAGCCGATAACAACCGCTTCTCTAATTCTTCAATATCCTCTGGACTATCATCTCCGCTGTCTGATTCATTTCCCAAAATAGTATCTTTTTGACATGCTGGTGCAAGGTCTCTTTCAAAAGAGTCCTTTTCCTCTCTTTTTTGTTCAGGTTGTACGACATCATCATTATCGCTTCTTTTGTCTCGACGATTTACTTCCAATGAGTCTTCTCTATAAGACCTTTTATCTCTTTTTCGATCTTTTCTATCTCTTCTATCTCGAGGAGACCTCTCTCTTGACCTTGAGCGTCGAGGATGCCGTCTTCGTCTAGGCGACCTTGATCGTTTACGTCTAAGCTTTTTATCTCTGTCCCTTTCATCTCTCCTATCCCAATCATTCTTTCGATCACGTCTGTCCAGTCTTTCTGATCTTTCATTTCGCTCAGGTCTGTCTGATCTTTCCGGCCAATCTCGATGTTTGTCATTTTCTTGGAAAGTTGACTTTGTCTGCATATGACGATATAAGGATCGCTCTTCCTCAGCAGTTAGTGTCGCCGACCTCACAGTATTTGGTGCACTAGATAAGCCGCTAGTTGATGATGTTGACAGAAACCAGGACGGTTGCTCTGAAGGAAAAGGTATACGTGGTGGAGACCGTTCCACTTCCATATCCTTGAAAATATTTTTCTCAACTGGAGCGAATTTCCCATCAAGTCCTGGAATAGTTTCCGCACTAACTTCTACAGAGCTTGGTGATGCAGTACTTTTAAGAGCGAAACCTAATAAACCTGCTGCTGACTCATTTGGAGACTCTTTTGATGATTTAGAGAAAAGATTACTGAGAACAGTTGGCAAAACTGGTTTCTCTACTTTTCCCTTTCGTGCCATTTCATGCATTGTCTTTTCCATATTCTGTAATTGTAAGGCGGTAGGAGGTTTCTTTTCATTATTTTCCGTAGGGTTAAACCAACTTGGTCCAGATATTGGAACAGCGTTTTTGTATAAATCACTATCATCTTCGTCATTATCGTCTGATTTGTCTGCGGTGTTAATCCCCAAAATCTCTTTCATCTCTTCATTCAGATCAGACATTGCTATCAAGTTTCCATCAACAACTACATTGTCCTTACTAGAGCCAGTACTTGTATTCGAAGGTTCGGTCTTTTTAAGCTCAACTCGTGCAGATATCTTAAGCAAATTCTGTTGAGAATATGTCAACTCTTCAACTTCTGCTATTTTTTCATAAACGGCAGACATAATTTCATGAGATAGATGAAATTTTTTAAAATGTTCAATTATTTTTGTTATATTCAAAGAGCCATCATGTTTTCTATTTTCCGAATCAGCTAAAATGGCTTTAAAATCGAAAGAGTTAAAAAATTCGTCCACTTTTTTACTGGATTGCTGCTTTGGCCTTTCCTTTTCCAGAACAGCTGCAGGATTATAGTGCGGTTCTATTCTTATTTTTGAATCATCATTCGCCTTCTCATTGTCTACTACTTCGTGTTCATCATCGTCATCGATTGTTACACTTGATGCAACTACATGAAAGATAATATCAAATAATAACACATATTTCTAGATATAAAAAAAATATACCTAATCCTGCCTGAGCCGGATCGTACTCGTCCTCCTCTGGTATTACTTTTTCATTAATTGTGTTATCGATCGGTTTGCTTTCTTGCTCCACTTCAGCCGGTTTTAACACTGAACTTCGGATTATTGGGGCAAAAGGCTTAGCAGAACGTGTTTTCACAACTATCAACAACAGAGTCTCTTTGCGTTGAGACGGTAATCCTGGACCTTCAAAAGGGAGGAATTCCGACGGAATAATAGCGTCGGGAGTTAAAGGTGCTAAATAGATATCCTTAATAGTATTAGAGTAGTTACTAATAACCCCATATCGACCCCTCCCATGTAAATATGTAAACATTTGTGTGAAAAGATGGCGATCTGCTTCGCTCCATAGTTCTATGCGCATAATTGCAGCTTCCTAAGAGCAGACAAATTTAAAGATATAGCGAGTGAACATGCACGAAACAGTTTATGAATATTAATTACCTTATTAGATCGTCTTGTTTTTAGTTGCTTGACATACTCATGAACTTGGTATGGACTTATTCTTCCGCATAACGCTAGAGAGTCTGGCAAATCCTCATCAAGTCCCTCGCCATCTCCCGATACTAGATATGCGTTAGCCAGGAAGTTGGCCGTATTATCTTGAAGGTAAACACTCCCCCTCCACAATGGCTCATAGTCGTCATGGGTTACAGTTTTTTGAACAGTTGGATTAGTTTCAATTGGTGTAGCTTCTGGACTTGGTTCGGTTACAGCTTCTTCCAAGTTCTTTTGTTCGAATAAACGATCTGTTTCTTGTTGCATTTTTTCTAATTTTTCGACAAATCGCTTGTCTTCTTCAGCAAGATCAGTCTTTATTCCTGCTGATTTGATAATCGGTGGTTTGACGGGCTTGGGTTCATCTTGAGGCTCTTGAGAGTAGAAAGAAAAACCTGGGGCAACGTTTGGTGTCGATTGCCTATTGTTACTCTGATACTCATCCCGAACAGTGGGTTTATAAGGACGATTACGCAACGACTCAGTTAATTCATCTGTTTTCCCTGAACAGATTTTACAGTTCATGTCAAATAAATGGCTTCCATGTTGAGAGGTCGTATCAGTTGCACTCATAATTCCCCCTAGGAGGTCAACTGGTTTATTCGATACGGTGCTGGTAACTTCTCTTTGTTGTGTTGCCGTACTCTGGTTTTAAAAAAGATATAATAAGGCATAATTATGGTAAGTTTCAAGGCACAACGCCTTTTTTTATAATACCTTTAGACTCTTTTCAAAGAAACTTGCTGCCATTCGTACTAATTTACTTGCAATCAATTCACCCTGGTATACTTTCTTGAGAATCGACTATAAATAGAAAATTATTTATAAATAACAACAAAAGGTGTGTAAAATTTAATGTAGAGCGTAACATACACTTTTATTCTTAAAGGAATCTTGGATAAGTTCGGCTTTTTTCTTATATTTTGCATCGGTATTTTTATAGAATTTATATAGTTCTTCCTCAATATTCATAGCCAATTGCTTTACTTCCGCCGACGATAGCATAACTTCATCGTAAAATTGCAAGCTAAAATGAAATTAAAAGAGTAATCAGTATTAACTTAATATGTTGGTTGTCAATAGATGCAAATTTTACTTTTCTTGCAGCAAATCTCTAAAAGCTCTTCTTGTTCGAAAACGCTCTGAGGCTAGCGACGATGAACTCTGGGAAGTCGGAGTTGCATACTGCTTACGTGATTCCTTTGGAGTTCTCTCAATTTGCATTTGTAAAATAGCTGCCGAGGTTGTTTCTTTGTCCTTCTTCACTGCTGATTTAGAAGGCGCTATAAGAACAGTAATGGGAAAGTTATAAATTACAAACACAAAAAGTGATAGTTACTCACTAATAGGTTTAGTCGCTTTTCTGACAGAACTACTTTCGGGTGTCATGACATGAAAATCTGGGTGAAGTTTTAACCACTCAACAAGTGTACTTCTAGTTGGAGCTGCAGGTCCGGTAATTATTTTCCCATTATTCGGTTGCATCATAACTAAGCGTTCATCTTCGTTCATCTTTAATAGGTAACACATTTCGAATATTATAAACATAAAGTAAATAGACAAAAAGAAATCATTAGTGCAAATTACCTGACTTTTGTTAGTAACGCCGTTGTTTAGTAATTCAATTGCATATATTGAATAATTTGATATACAATCCTGACTGCAGAAGAGCCCTTCAGTCATCTTATTACGACAGTCTGGAGCAATACATCTTTCCTTTTCAGAAATTTCTTCAGTAACACTTTTCTTCTTTTCTTCAAACTTCTTTAGTTTTTCCCGTCGCTTCTCCCTGGTTTCTTTCATTTCACGTAATCTTTCATCCATACTTTCCAAACGTTGCTTTTGTCTTTCTGATCTTAGAACTGTACGAACAGGAGAATCAGTATCATTATCTGTGCTTTGTTGACCTTCGTCTCCAGTGTCAATGTATAAATCATCTGACATCATTGACTCATTTCTGCTTCTATTGCCCACTTGATCATCTTGATCTGTCCTTTTCTTTGACATTGCCTCTTTAACTTTTTCGTAGTCAATATCTTTTTTTTCTTTCAGTTTAGCCTTCAATTCTTTCTTTTTTTCTTCTATGTTTTTGTTAAACTTTTCCTGATTGAGTTGT